GGCCTGCCCGCGTCGCACCCAGGGCGGTTTGCCAGCGTTGCAACTGCAGGTAACCATGTACGCACATGTGCGCACCTACCAAAGTAGGCGTAGGTCGGCTCAACAGGCCGTTGCATGCACGTCGTGCATGTGAAGCATGTTGCGCAGGTGCCAGCTCGTCGAACATACAATGCTCGACACGCAAGTCGACTTCGTCAAAACCACCTGAGGCGAAGTTCGTGCACCATTGGAGAACTTCGCAGACTAGTTACCTGGTCGACTAGAAGAGGTCGCTGAGCCAAGGCCAACCGCTGTAGGTCGGCGTCTGTAGGCCGGCGCCATTTTAACAATCACCTTCGTCAACCTTCGAGGCTCAAGGCCGTCCGCCGACTTCACCTCGTCGACTAACGTCTCGTTGGCTTCGCTGTAGTTGGCTGCACCGAAGTCGGCTTCGTTGCCGTCCATTGCATGATACTTTCAACCAGTTTTTGCAGCTTATAGACACTCGTAAACTGTGACAAACGTGAATGAGGCTCAGGTCGTCTTCAAAAGTTATGTTTTCGTAGTGTATAAGCAAACTGACAAAAATAATAGAACGCAAACAAACGCGTCTGTTTCACATTTTGAACGGAACACCTATTAAAGGAGGGTCCAGCAGCGCAGTGACTCTGTGGTCCCAATCAGCAGCTGAGGGTTTCACCCAGCCAATGCCCTGCGGAAGCGCAACCAAACCAGCACGACTCAGCGTGTGTACACACGTAAGCACAGCCAAACCCAGTCCAGCCAGGCAGAATAAGAGCATGTGATGTGATGTGACCCAGAAGCACGTCACCCGCCTGACGCGGCATGAATGCACTGCGTTATGCCCGGACTGTTGCTGGTGAGTATTGGAAACCTTTCTTGCTCTGTTCCATGAAGCCATGAGTTGAGGGAGTTTTGTGATCGCCATTGAGTTGCGAGAGTTTTGTAATCGTCATTGAGTTGAGAAATGCTGAGTGTTCAGTTGCTTGCTTGCCCAAAACATGAATCACGTGCATCTAAATTCTGTTGCACTAGTCTACAAGTCATAGCTGGAATTCTTTGTTGGCACCACCTCCAATACGCAGTGCGATTCCCACATCGCGAACGTGGCGCCTGCCATTTCCGTATTCTTCCAGCCGCAATGCTGTCTTTGGCGCGGCTCGAGCCGCCAAAGATGTGTTGTCCAGGAAAACGGGCCGCGGTTGAGCCAATTCTTGGCTCGTCGCCGCAAAACAGCAAGATTGTGTGTTTCGCTCCGTACGTACCTTGAATCGTTGATATTCCAGCAACACGCGGTTGAAGCAAATCAGCTACTTCGAGTTGAGGTTTCACAATTTACGTGCCAGATAGTTCTCCGCTCGGCTGGATACTCGTACGTTGACGCACCTTCCCTTTCTCGAACGCTATACACGAAACAGATTACCCCATATTGCTTCCCATGGCTGCCTCTGAATCATTCTGGTCGAATTCCACACCGCACACGCGCCTCCTCCTCCTACTCCTCCTGGCTCCCCTCTTCCCTCCTACCACCCTCTCTGCACGCCACCTCTTTCCCCAAGCCACCAGCGAGGTTCTTCCGCAAGTCGCCACCACGCAAGCCGGCGCCACCCTTACGCCGGCGGCCAAGGTTCTCCCCCAAGCAACCGGCGAGGTCGACGCCGTGCGCAAGTTCCTCACAGCGGCGGGGGTCACCAACCCCGTCCCGGGCGCTCCCGCGACCGCATGCAGCGTGACCGGCATTGGCTGCGACGCCAACGAGTTCGTCACGTCGCTCAAATTCTCCCCGTGCGACGCCTACCCGACTATCCTCACCGGCTCCATTTCGACCGACATCAGGAATCTCGAGCATCTCACTCATGTCGACTTTTCGTGCAACGACCTGGGGGGTTCCCTGCCAACTTACACTCGGACTGCTGACGAATCTGCGGCAAGTGAACATGAGCGGAAATCGACAACTTTGGGGGAGCATTCCCGCCTCGATTTTTGGGCTGGGGTGGCTCTCGGTGATGGATTTTCGCGGAGCGGATTTGTACGGTGCTCTTCCGACCGGTTCGACGGCGTTTTCAGCGTCGCTAAGGCACTTGGACCTGTCATATAACCGGCTCTACAATTCAATTCCGTCAGCGCTTTCTCGTGCGACGCGCCTGGAGCGGCTGGATTTAAGCTTCAACAATCTCAACGGCAACATACCGAAGCAGCTGAGTAACCTCAACCGGCTCACCTATCTTAATCTGCGCTGGAACAAGCTCGGTGGAAGTGTTCCCACGGAAATATCCAAGGCGTGGCGGCTGGAAAGGCTGCACTTGGAGGGAAATAGGCTGACGGGAAACATTCCCGTTCAATTGAACCAGCTTTTGAATTTGGAGCACCTGAGCCTGGATTATAACTACTTGTCTGGTGGTGTCCACCCTGCGATTTTCCGCATGCCCACTTTGCGGAAGTTGAATCTTCGTCGCAACAATTTCAATGGCACAATCCCCAAGTGGAAATTGGGTTACCAGACTGACACGCTGGAGCATCTTGACCTCGCGAAGAATCGTTTCAATGGAACCCTGCCCCCTGGGCTTGGTGGTGTTGTGACGCTCACACATCTCGATTTGAGCGAGAACAAGTTTGACAATAGCATTCCGTCAGTGTTGGGCGAATTGACGGCCCTCCAGTTCCTGAATCTCGCGTGGAACAAGCTGAACGGTTCGCTTCCTGGGTATCTCAGTCACCTTCGCAGCCTTCGCTCACTTTCCGTCGCACACAACAAGTTGACTGGAGTGAGTTCCAACTTCCAGGATAACGGACACGAGTCGCCGCGAGTCGTTCTGGATCTGAGTTACAACTACATCGGTGGAAGTCTGGTCCCCTTCCGAAATCTGGAGAGGGTTGCGAATCTCGACCTTTCGCACAACCGACTGACGGGGAGCATACCCGTCAGTTTTTTGACTGGATCGACGGTTCTCAAGCGAGTCAACATCATCGAACTACATCAACAGCACACTCGATCCGCTCACCACCCTGACGAATCTCGCTTCCCTGGATGCGTCGCATAACCGACTGCGAGGGTCGATTCCGTCGCGGCTGGTATCGCTGGCTCAGCTTTCGCACCTCGATCTGCACGATAATGACATTGTCGACCACATCCCCGACCCCACATTCGAGAACTCCGCTTTACGCTTCATCGACATCAGCTACAACGAGATCAACAGTGAGTGCATTTGCTCAAGTGCTGTCTGTGTTCTGTTCAAGATTCGTCTGGTTTATCTTAGTTGGAAGAGATGGAGCAGAGTTAATAGAGGTATGAAATCAAAAATGTCCATTGATGTTTATTTTCTGTCTTATTACGCCCCTCCCTCTTTTGCAACTTTCAGGTCACCTTCCTGAATTTGTGGAATGCCCACGAGTGATCAACTTTGCTGGAAACCACCTTTCCGGCACCATTCCAGCCTCCATATCCTCCTGTGGTGCCTCTCTGATCAAACTCGACCTCGCTAATAACCGCATCGGAGGAGCACTTCCAGCGGCTGCCCTTGGTGACCTCTCCTACCTCCGCTACTTGAACCTTCCTAGAAATCTTCTCTCGGGCAGCATACCTGAAGAACTTACTGGGCTGCGTGCCCTGACCTCACTCAATCTGGCCTGGAACCGGCTCACGGGCAGCATTCCAGAAGGTTTGGGAGATGCTTCGAATGGTGGTGCGAATCTCGAGATGCTCCGTCTGGCGGGTAACGATCTGGGGGGCTCTGTTCCACAGCAGCTTTCGGGATTTCCCGTGTGGTCGTTTCTGCCCGGAAATGAGAATTTGTGCGGTCATCCTGTGGGCAGCTGCTGAGAGGGGTGGGGTCATGTACCGGTACTGGAGGGAGACTGAATGGGGAAGCTGGATAAGAATACAGCTACTACTAGTCTATACATGGTAAGGAAGGATGGCTAAATAAATGCCGGCGTATGTATTTGGGGAGCGGCATCGTTACATTAAATTTTCGGGGAACGCCATAGTTACATTTTGATGATGCACCCAGCCGGTTTGGTATACAGGCGTGCTGGATGGGGTAGTTCTGCATGTTGGGTGTACATGTTACGAGCAGTGAGTTCATAGGATAGGATCATGTTGTACCAGTGCCATATGTTTACGTATGTGGAATCCAGTGTGGTAGTTTAGGAATATTACAATTATCAATATTGTACATGTACGGAACCACCACTGGTGTGATTGCCAACTGAAACTACCTTTGCAGAAGACACATCACTTCCATGTACAGAAAATACTCTATAGAGAAAACGGAAAACAAGATCACTCTGGACTTATTTCCAATTCCACAGCTTCACAGTTCACAATCCCGCCCAAGTAATGATAGCGGAGCACTACACAGCATACAGCCACACACAGTCATGGGATGGCATGGCAGTGACATGTCCATCCCATTACTACTAACTTGCCATAACCATACAAGGACATGGCCATTGCAGAAAGGAAGGGCCTCTGTTCGCTCTTCTTCTTCACTCAAGAGTGGCCGCACCCACATTCATTTTGTGTGATCCCTCTGCCAAGGTCTCAGAACAAACACCTGTCTTTCAGAAAAGTGGCCCGGTGCCGCTGGTGATGCGTGCTGCTGCTGCCACCGTCTTTTCCCCGATGAAAATCCTCAACACAATGACTCCATTGTAGCCAGTGGCCCTTCGAGTCGACTCAAAATGACCATTGAGTCGACTCAAAAGTGCTGCCACCGTCTTTTCCCTGATGAAAAATTCTCAACACATTGACTCCATTATAGCCGGTGGCCCTTCAGACGCCACAGCCCCAGTTGGAACTTGAACGCCACACAAACACCCCAGCTTCCCCACCCCCTCCCTGTCAGACATTGTAGCCATACCCGAAGCCAAGCACCCCACCCCTCAGGCAGCACAGCCCGTAAGGCCTTCGGACGCCATACCACCAGCGAGAAAGCCTCTCAGACATGGAAGCACCAGATAGACAGCCTGTCAGACACTGTAGCCCCCCAAATCCCACCTCAGACACCGTAGCCATATGGTGAGTCCTCCTGCGATGCCTCTGCCAGTGTATGCTCTGATGCCTCTGCTAGATAGTCCTTGCTGCAGCGTTGGAGAGAGGCAGAGACATATGCAGGGAGAGGTGCACACACAGGAGACACACAAGCGCGAAGGCAGCTTAGGTATAATCAAATGTTGTAGGCACAGCACCACCAGACACTCATTGCCTTGTGTGGGTCTAACTGCCCAGCCACCGCTTCTCACATCGCACTAACCTTGTCACATCGCACTAACCTTGTCACATCGCACTAACCTTCCCACATTGTTCTCACCTTCTCACATCGCACTAACCTTCTCACATTGTTCTCACCTTCTCACGTCGCACCAACCTTGTCACATCGCACCAACCTTCTCACATCGCTTTAACCTTCTCACATCGCACCAACCTTGTCACATCGCTTTAACCTTCTCACATCGCTTTAACCTTGTCACATCGCATTAGCCTTCTCACACCGCATTAACCTTCTCCCCTCGCCCTCACCTTGCAGCTGCCACTTTGCGGGTGGTGTTGGCCTTGCCCTGAAACGCCACCACGAGACACTTGCTCCAACGCGGGCCGCCCGCATCCTCCACTGTCGCCGCCCGCACAGCCGCTAGAAGACGAACAAACAGGGCTCGGTCGGCAGTGGTGCTGCAGGTAGGGGCAAGAAAGTGGGGGGAGGGGGGAGGAGAGGAAAGACGAAGGGAGAGAAAGGATGGAGAGAAGGAATGGATACTGAGGGAGAGAGGCAACAAAATGCCGGAGTGAAAGAGGTTACGAACAGCTGGATGAAGACAGGGAGGAACAGGGCTCTCCAGGCCAAGGCAAGCACTCACCACAGAGGGGACGACAGCCAGCCGAGGATATCCGGCAGCTTCACAGACGTGAGCAGGCGGCGCAGAGACTGGGGCTTCCTCTTCTTCTCCACCAGAGTCAGCTGGGAGAAGCTCTGCTGGAATGCCAGCGAGATTCCCATACTGTCCAACCACGCTTCCAGAGTCAGCTGGGAGAAGCTCTCACAGCTCACTGCACTCTCAAGGCACTCTCTTGGCGAAGGAAAACTCACCACAAGGGGGAAGACAGCCAGCCAAGGATGTCTGGAAGCTTCACGGACGTCAACAGGCGGCGCAGAGACTGGGGCTTCCTCTTCTTCTCCACCAGAGTCAGCTGGGAGAAGCTCTGCTGGAACGCCAGAGAGATACCCATACTGTCCAACCACGCCTCGAGATACTCCCCTTCCTCCTCCTCCTCTTCCTTCTCCTCGTCCTCCTCATCCTCCTCGCCCTCTCCGTTCACGTCCACTCCATTCGCAGCGCCATTAACAGCACCGTTCGGTTTCTCCGACCCGCCGTTTGCATACCCAGCAGGGGCCCCTGCCATTTCTTCCTTTGCTCCCTCGTCTTCCTCCTCTTCCTCCTCCTCCCTCCCCTCCGCCACTGCAGCATCTCTCTCCATCTGAGCCGCCTGCTGTCGGCCAATCACGTGCGCCCACGTGGCGCACTCCTCCAGGGGCGGCGGCCACAGGTCCTGAGGCAGCGGCTGGGGCGGCTTGGGCGGCCGGAGATTCTTGATCGAGATGTTCTTCGAGCGCACCAGCGCTGGGCGGTCTGTCTTGGCGTTTTCCCGCATCGCCTTGCTGATGAACCGCGAGTTCGCCAGAATGTCGTGCACGCGGGTGCTTGCGCCGCCCGGCCCGCCGCCCGCTCCGCCATAAAAGCTCGCGCTGCCATACCCATACCGCGAACTCATCCCTCCCCCAGAAGCAATATCCCTCCCCTCGCTCTCCTGCGCTCCCACCCCCCCGCCACCACCGCCGCTAGTGGTGGGAACGGCACCCATACCAGCAATAACAACCCCACCGGACGTGGTCCAGATAGCCGGCACGTCGCGGGCATCAAAGGGCACGCGGGCAACGGGGCGCCTCCCCACTGCTGCGCCCAGCACAATCTGATGCAGAGCGGCAAAGCGCTGCGACTTGTTCAGGTCCTTGATCCAGGAGGTGTCTCCGAATTCCGGTGCGGGGACCAGGGCAGTGGAGGAGGAAGAGGCAGAGGCGGCAGGGCCGTTGCCGGTTTCCGCACCACCAACGGCAAGGGAAGCAGCAGCAGCTGGGGAGTTGAGGGGGTAGCAGCAGGCTTCGTACGCCCGCCGGACCTTCATGAGCAGCCTCCGCTCTTCCTCGCGGCCCGGAAGCAGGATGATAGCAGCAATGTGCGGGCGGAACCAGTCAAGCACGTCACTAGGTGACACCTCCACCGCCCCCTCCCTCACATGCTTCGGTTTATTGCTCGCTCCCCCTGCTCCGGGTTTCCCTGCCGCTCCCTCTGCTCCGTCCCCACCTTCCCCTTCGTCGTCTAAAGCCCAGAGGCTTTTCGCTGCCCCGTGCACTTTCCAGACTAGGAGGTGGTTAGCTGATTCGTAGGAGAAGACGAGGAGGGTGGGGACGCAGAAGGCGACGATGACCAGCGCGAAACCGATCTTAGGGAGCGTTTCGAGCTGCACGAAGTTGAACCCCATGGTGGCGATGATGAAGATCATCTCGGCGACGATTAGGGTCGCTGCGAACGCGTCGTGGGTCGAGGCGACGAACGGGGAGGCGGCGAGCTGGAGGCCGATTAGAATGACTTGCACGGGGAAGAGCACAGTCATCTGGGAAGAAGGAAAGGGATGGGGGGACCAGGGGGACGGAGGCAGAGAACGGGGAGGGGAGAGAGGGAACAAGGGGAGAAGGGGGTGGAAAGGGAGAGAGAGAGAAACGAGATTTGGGATCGTGGGATGAGGAAACGATGAGGAAACGATGAGGACGGCTGCGAACGCGTCGTGGGTTGATGCGACGAACGGGGAGGCGGCGAGCTGGAGGCCGATGAGAATGACTTGCACGGGGAAGAGCACAGTCATCTGGTGGCGGGGCGGGGGGGGGTGGGGAGAAGAGGAGGGGAGTTGGGAGGAGAGGAGGGGAGTTGGGAGGAGAGGAGGGGAGTTGGGAGGAGAGGAGGGGAGTTGGGAGGAGAGGAGGGGAGTTGGGGGGAAAAGAGAGGTGTTGTGGTTGAGGTGAGGAATGGGGAGGCGGCGAGCTGGAGGCCGATGAGGATGACTTGCACGGGGAAGAGAACAGTCATCTGTGGTGGTGGGGGGGAAAGGGGGAGGGGTTGGGAGGAAGAAGAGGGGCACAGAGGCAGAGAGCGGAGAAAGTGAGGGCGAGTCGATGAGAATCCGCCTGGCGAACAGCATGAGGTGCCACCCTCGTAGAAATAGCCAGTAGAAATAGCGCTACTCGTATCGTATCGCATCACCATCCACCCTCCCGCACACCCTGTCCCCATCCTGCCTACAACACATATCACCACACCACCTCCCCCCCCGTTCGTAGTGCACGCGCATACCTGGACTGGCGGCGAGTCAATGAGGCAGACAAACAGCGCCGCGACGAGAATCCGCCTGGCGAACAGCATGAGGTGCCAGTAGAAGTATCGGTATTCGTATCGCGTCACCATCCACCCCCATCCCACCCACCCTGCTCCCTCTATGAGACACACATGCACACCTGAACCGGGGGCGAGTCAATGAGGAACACAAAGAGAGCCGCGACGAGAATCCTCCTGGCGAACAGCATGAGGTGCCAGTAGAAATAGCGGTATTCGTATCGCGTGACCATCCACCCCCAGCGCGCGCGGAACGCCCGCGTGTCGAGCAGCTTCTGCTTCTTGCCGTAGAGCATGGTGAGCGCGTAGTAGATGGGCGTGCCCTTCCCCTTCCCCCTCCCCCTCAACCCCCTAACCCTCTCCCTAGAGAGCACACATACCTGTACCGGAGGCGAGTCGATGAGGAAAACGAACAGCGCCGCGACGAGAATCCTCCGGGCAAACAGCATGAGGTGCCAGTAGAAGTATCGGTATTCGTATCTTGTCACCATCCACCCCCATCGCGCGTGGAACGCCCGCGTGTCGAGCAGCTTCTGCTTCTTGCCGTAGAGCATGGTGAGCGCGTAGTAGATGGGTGCGCCGGCCACAAAGACGATGGTGACGGCGATGGCGATGGCAAACAGCGTGATGCGCGCGCTGCTGCTCCACAGGTCCGTGGGGGAGAATGTCATCACTGTCTCGTCGTACGTGCTCTTGGAAAAGGCCTGGGGGGGGGAGGGAGGGAGGGAGGGAGGGAGGGAGGGAGGGAGGGAGGGAGGGAGGGAGGGAGGGAGGGAGGGAGGGAGGGAGGGAGGGAGGGAGGGAGGGAGGGGAAGGGAAGAGGAGGGGTGAGTGCGCCGTTGTGCGTCCAGCAGCTTCTGCTTCTTGCCATAGAGCAGTGGTGTGTGGAGCATGGTGAGCGCGTAGTAGATGAGCGCGCCCGCCACAAAGACGATGGTGACGGCGATGGCGATGGCAAACAGCGTGATGCGCGCACTGCTGCTCCACAGGTCCGTGAGGGAGAATGTCATCACTGTCTCGTCGTACGTGCTCTTGGAAAAGGCCTGGGGGGGGGAGGGAGGGAGGGAGGGAGGGAGGGAGGGAGGGAGGGAGGGAGGGAGGGAGGGAGGGAGGGAGGGAGGGAGGGAGGGGAAGGGAAGAGGAGGGGTGAGTGCGCCGTTGTGCGTCCAGCAGCTTCTGCTTCTTGCCATAGAGCAGTGGTGTGTGGAGCATGGTGAGCGCGTAGTAGATGAGCGCGCCCGCCACAAAGACGACGGTGACGGCGATGGCGATGGCAAACAGTGTGATGCGCGCGCTGCTGCTCCACAGGTCCGTGGGGGAGAATGTCATCACTGTCTCGTCGTACGTGCTCTTGGAAAAGGCCTGGGGGGGAGGGAGGGAGGTAGGAAGTGGAGGGTTGGGAGAGGGGGGGTGGAGGTTCTGAGACCTTGCGAGTGCTGCTCTGCTGCTCCACAGGTCCGTGGGGGAGAATGTCATCACTGTCTCGTCGTACGTGCTCTTGGAAAAGGCCTGGGGGGGAGGGAGGGAGGTAGGAAGTGGAGGGTTGGGAGAGGGGGGGTGGAGGTTCTGAGACCTTGCGAGTGCTGCTCTGCTGCTCCACAGGTCCGTGGGGGAGAATGTCATCACTGATTCGTCGTACGTGCTCTTGGAAAAGGCCTGGGGGTGGGAGGCGAGGGAGTGTGGGGGTTGGGGGAGGAGGGGGAGTCGGTTCGGGATAAGGGGAGAAGAGAAGAAAGCGAGGGCAGGGGGCGTTGGGTGATGCCCCCAGGATTCACCTGGAAGCAGCGCAAAGTGACGGGCAGATAGCACACGTCCAGCCAGTTCCTTTAGAGGAGGGGGGGGGGCATATCTGGAAGGGGAGGTGCCATCCGGTGCAGGGCTCACCTGGAAGCAGCGCACGGTGACAGGCAGATAGCACACGTCCAGCCAGTTGGCCGCCCCGTGAATGTAAATATCCTCCAGAGGAGGTCTCACCCAGTGCAGGGCTCACCTGTTAGCGCACGGTTCACCTGGAAGCAGCGCACCTGAAGGGTTCACCTGAAGGAAACACTCACCTGGAAGCAGCGGACAGTGACGGGCAGATAGCACACGTCCAGCCAGTTGGCCGCCCCGTGAATATAAATATCCTCCAGAGGGGCCGGCGGATTCGCCGACGGCTTTTCCCCCCCAACCTCCCCTCCCTTCTCCCCTCCCTTCTCCCCTCCCTTCTCCCCTCCCTTTCCTCCTCCCGCCCCCCCGGCTTGGCCGTGCGAGTGGGAGGTGTGGGCGGGCGGCGGGAGGAAGTGGCGGAGGGTGCGCTGGGCGGCAAAGAGGAGCGCGTAGGCGGCGAGACCCACGGCCGCGACGATCATGGTGAGCGCCCAGCGGGACGTGAAGGGGAAGGTGAGCTTGCAGTCCGGACCGAGAATGTCCTGCGAGAGGGGATGGGAGTAGAGGGGATGGGAGTGGAGGGGATGGGAGTAGAGGGGATGGGAGTGGAGGGGATGGGAGTAGAGGGGATGGGAGTGGAGGGGATGGGAGTGGAGGGGATGGGAGTGGAGGGGATGGGAGTGGAGGGGATGGGAGTGGAGGGGATGGGAGTGGAGGGGATGGGAGTGGAGGGGATGGGAGTGGAGGGGATGGGAGTAGAGGGGATGGGAGTGGAGGGGATGGGAGAGGAGGGGATGGGAGTGGAGGGGATGGGAGTGGAGGGGATGGGAGTGGAGGGGATGGGAGTGGAGGGGATGGGAGTGGAGGGGATGGGAGTGGAGGGGATGGGAGTGGAGGGGATGGGAGTGGAGGGGATGGGAGTGGAGGGGATGGGAGTAGAGGGGATGGGAGTGGAGGGGATGGGAGTGGAGGGGATGGGAGTGGAGGGGATGGGAGTGGAGGGGATGGGAGTGGAGGGGATGGGAGTGGAGGGGATGGGAGTGGAGGGGATGGGAGTGGAGGGGATGGGAGTGGAGGGGATGGGAGTGGAGGGGAGGGAAGTGGAGGGGATGGGAGTGGAGGGGAGGGAAGTGGAGGGGATGGGAGTGGAGGGGAGGGAGTTAGCGAGGGGGGGCATAAGGTAGAAGGAGCAAGCAGGTGAGTCAAGGGCCCATGGCAGCGACAATCATGGTGAGCGCCCAGGGGGATGTGAAGGGGAAGGAGACCTTGCAGTCGGGACCGAGAATGTCCTGCGAGAGGAGAGGGGAGGTGGAAGGGAGAAAGGGCGGAAGGTGGGGGGGGGGGGAGGGAGGGAGCGGAGGAATAAGAGGTGGAAGGTTCCAATCCAATCCAATCACCAGTGAGTGAGTGAGTGAGTGAGCGAGGGCTTGAGTGAGTGAGCGAGCAAGGGAGTGAGAAAGAGAGTGAGTGAGTGAGTGGGGGCTCAGTGACCCAGCCACGTACCACAGAAAACAGGCTGAGCGTTGAAAGCTCGACCACCTTCCTGGCCCAGTCGGGGAACTGCAGGTCAACTGACCCCAGCACTGCCAGGATCTGCAGCTCACTGTTCACCATCCACACCCACCCACCTCTGTCATGCCATGTGTGTTGGCTGCTCTCCGTGAACCAACCACCGGTGAGCGAAGGAGTGAGACAGCAAGTGTGTGAAATGAGTGGAGGCTCAGCTCAGTCACCCATGTACCCAACACTTACCACAGAAAACAGGCTGAGCGTTGAAAGCTCGACCACCTTCCTGGCCCAGTCGGGGAACTGGAGGTCAACGGAGCCCAGCACTGCCAGGATCTGCAGCTCACTGTTCATCATCGATACCGAGTGGAAGCGGTCAGAAAAGACGGCCGTCGCCACCCACAGCAGGATCACGAGCACGAAGAAGAACCAGAAGAGCTGCGGAAGGGATGAAAGGGAAAGGTGGGGGGGGGAGAGAAGAGAGTTGGGAAAGGAAGAAGGGGAATTTCGAGTCGACTCAAAACTCAGCACGTCGCCACCCACAGCAGGATGACGCGCACAAAGAAGAACCAGAAGAGCTGCGGAAGGGACAAAACGGGGGGTGTTGGGGATGGGAAGAGTTGGTAGAGAGGGGAGAAATAGGTGAGATTGGATGAGCGCACGTGACCAGCGGAGCGCACGTGACCAGCGGAGCGCACGTGACCAGCGGAGCACGTGCAGCCGAGAGTGGAGCATGAGCAGCAGGAGCAGAGCAAGGTCGCCAATTCCCAAGGCACTCACCGTTTCCATCCAGGAGGTGCACTGGTAGCACGTGCCGATGACTGAGTAGTAGCCGGAGGAAGGGGGAACAGAGGAGGAGGAGCAGAGCAGCGAGAGCAGAGCAGGGAGAGCAGGGGGGAGAGCAGAGCAGGGGCGGCAGAGCAATGGTCCCGACCCAACCCTCTAGGCACTCACGGTTTCCATCCAGGAGGTGCACTGGTAGCACGTGCCGATGACCGAGTAGTAGCCGGGGGCGCACATGGAGCAGAGGCGGTTCTGATTGTACCCCTCCGCGCACTGTGAGTCGTTGGGGGATGTGTACTCGTAGCCCGCACAGCCGTCTGGGATGGGGGGGAGGGAGGGGTGGGAAAGCGCAGTGGAAGGGGGGGTATGGAAGTGGAGGGAGTGGCAAAGGGGTGGGAAAAGAGGGGGCGGCAGAGGAGGGAGGGGCAGAGGAGGGGGGGGCAGAGAACATGTGAGGAGGAAGAATGAGTTGTGGGCATATGCAGACTGAAAGCCATTTTTGAGAATTGTCAAAAATTGCTCACAAGGGCGGGGTGTGGAAAAGAGAGGCAAGGCAGACGAGCAAAAGGTAAAAGTGCGTGACACAGAAGTGAGTGAGGAAGGTAGTACTCGACACATCTTGATACAAGATAGACGCGAAAGAGGCGACACGTACTCGACACGTCGCAGTAGTACACCGCGGGGTTGTCAGTGTAAACGCTCCCCGGGTTCAACCAGAAATCCGCAGCAATCGTGCACGTCCCATTGGTGCAATCCATTGCGTTATCCCCGTGAATCGTGATCGTATCCGCACAAGTCGCACACTCGCTCGCAGCCGGAAGAAAGCTGAACGTCCCATCCTCGCACACCACTGACCCCTGCCCCGCAGGGCACATGAACCCCACCTCGCAAGGCAGGCAAGCCAGATCATCCAGGGAGAAATAGCTCCCAGGATCGCACAACCCGAATTCGAGCTCGCGGGTGATCGGCGGGTACGCGTCCGTCGGGCTGCTGACGGTGATCGGGAGGGTGAAATTCGCGGCCTCTTCGGGCGGCAGGACGAGGGAAACGGGCGGCAGGACCGCCCGGCCGCGGAGCGCGGTGGCGCGGAGGAGGCCGGAGATTCTTGGGTCGGGCTGAATGGCGATGATGGAGGAGAAGTCGTCGATGGCGACGTTGCCGTAGGCGTCCAGGATGGTGACGGTGATGTTGACAATGGGCGTCTGCGTGTCTCCCATGACCGTGAATGGGACAGAGGCATCGCTGCCGTTTCCCCCTTCCATCACATTCTTCTCCCACCTGCAGTGGGTTGGCAGGAAGGGACAGGGGGGCAGGGAAAAGGGAAGGGAGACAAGGAGGCGGTGTGAGGATGGCGATGATGGAAGAGAAGTCGTCGGTGGCGACGTTTCCCCCTTCCATCACATTCTTCTCCCACTTGTGGGTGGTGTCGTGAGGGGGGGGGGGGGAGCGGAGGGGCAGGGAAGGCAGGGGAATGGAAGGGAGGAGAGGGGAAACCGGACACGCATATGCCTTTTGAGCCGGCTCACGCTCAGTCACATCACATGCACATACACATGAACACACACACATGGAATAAGCCAGCCCAACCAGAGCACATACATGAGTGAGAAAGACGTGGGCGGGGTGCCGATGGTGTCCCTGTTGCTGCTGTCAGCATCAGCACACGTGATGCGCACGCCTGGCCAGAAGGACGTGTCGAAGAACGCCACGCCCTGGCTGGGCACTCAAGGCAACCAATGCACCCTAGGGGCCTGCCAGCCCGGCACGCTCGGGCACATGCATATGCACACACTCACATGAGAGAAAATGATGTTGGCGGGGTGCCGATGGTGTCCCTGTTGCTGCTGTCAGCATCAGCACACGTGATGCGCACCCCTGGCCAGAAGGACGTGTCAAAGAACGCCACGCCCTGGCTGGGCACTGCCGCGTTGCCTTCAAACACCACGTTCGTGCACGTCAGCTTGTTGCTCAGTGCTACGGCCGGCGGGAGAGAGGGCACCGATGACCCGCTGCCACTGCTCCCACTGCTGCTGTCACCTGTGCTGTTACCACTGCTGCTGTCAGTCATCTCCCCGAGAGGGTTTTTTCGGAGGAGCTCACGATCCACGTACACAGCCGCGCCGCCCTTCTTGGCGTCGTTCCCCACAAATGAGCAGTTCAGGATGCTTCCCTGCGAGTTGCCCTCGTAGAACAGCCCGCCTCCTCCGAACGACGCTGCATTCGAGGTGAAGTTAGAGAGGAAGACGGAGAGGGACGAATTCCCTGTGGCGAGGGCTCCCGCTCCCTTGCTGGCGGCGTTTGAGGTGAAATCGCAGCCGTTGATTGTGACGGTCGCGAGCGAATCGGAGAAGATGGCGCCGCCGCTGCTCCCGGTGTTGCCGGCGAGAGTGGAGCTGTTTATAACGAGGATGGCGGAGTCGGTGACGTGGAGCGCGCCACCGTCGCCCATAGGGCTCGCCACTCCAGTTGCTGCTCCTCCTGTTGCTGCTGTTGCTCCAACTGCTGTGCTGTTACCGCCTTGACCGGTGGTAACATTTCCAGCTACACCGGCAGCAGCAGGAGCAGAAGGAGAAGCAGCAGCAAGGATTCTAGCAGTAAGGCCTTTGGTGGCCAGGCTAGCAGATTCGATGGAAGAGGTAACTGCAGCCGCAAAGGCAGCAGCCATGCGGATAGAAGGCAAGAAAGGATAGGCGGAGTCAGAAAATCCGGTAGCAGTGGCAGCGGCAGTGGCGGTGGCAGTGGTGGTCGGAATGGTTGAAACAGCAGCAGAAGCAGAGGAGGAAGAGGAGGAAGAGGACGGGATGTTGGCAGCAGTGTTGTTGTTGAAGCTACCACCAATGAAATTTGCCTGTGCCTGGCCTCTCACCACCACTGCATGGGCGGCATTCTCAGAAAACGACGAGTTGAATGAGGACAAAACCGCCCGCCCTTCAATCAGCGCCGCGCCGCCCAGATCCGCGCTGTTTGCGATCAGATCCGATCCCGTGAGAGCGACGCTGGCCGAATGGACGGCGTAGATCACTCCGCCGTAAAACCGGGCAGAATTGTTTCGGAACGTGGTGCCCGATGCGTTCACCTGAGAATCCATCTCAGCCCAGACAAACCCCCCACCCCCTTGCGCACTGTTCCCCTCTACAATCACCCCCGATACACTCAACTTCGCCGACCCGCTCGCACGAACCCCCCCTCCCTCGCTCCCGCCCTCGTTCCCCTTCACCTCCCCCTTTACAATCACGCCGGACGTAGAGTCAATCAGCGCCAAACACCCTCCCCCAGATATCGCCTTGTTGCCGTCACACACCGTCCTCTGCATGTCCAGCACACTGTACTCCTCCAGTGCCACCCCGCCACCTGTCGTCGCGTCGTTCTGCGACAGCTGGCAGTCGGTGATTCGCGCGTCGCCAGTCATGGCGGCGTAGACGGCGCCGCCCGCCAGGTCAGCATGGTTGAGGGAGAAAGAGGAGGAGGTTACTGTAGCGACAGTGGAGACAGAGGGAGCGGCGGGAGCGGAGGGAGAGGAGGAGGAGGAGAGAACAGAGCCAACGATAGCGAGTGCGCCGCCCTTAGCAGCGGAGTTGCTTTGGAAGGAGGTGGAGAGGAGGGAGAGGGCGGTCCCGCTGTGGAACACACCCCCTCCTCGTGCCGCCATCGCCTTGTTCTGAGAGAACCGGCTGTTGCTGATTGTCACGTCTGTGGCTTCACCCTGAGGGGGAGGGGAAGGGCAACGAAGGGAGCAGGAAGGGCAGAGAAGGGAACAAAGAGTGGTTCTGAGTCGACTCAAAGATGCTGCCCCCTCTTCCTCGTGCTGCCATGGCCTTGTTCTGCGAGAACCGGCTGTTGCTGATTGTCACGTCTGTGGCTTCGCCCTGAGGGGAGGGAGGGACAGAGAGAGGAACAGGAAGGGCAGGGAGGGGAAGAGATAGTGAGTGGGAGAGCGGGGATGGAGGGTTGAGGGAGAGGGGTACAGTGGAGGGCTTAGACGGCTGTAAAAAAACAGTTGACTGCGTTGACCACATTGACCAGTGATCAAGATAATTCTCGGGTCACTCACCTCCGTTATAAGCACGCCTCCGCCCTCCCCAGTAGTAGCCTCGTTAGCAACAAAGTCACAATCGTCCACAGTGATGGGGTTGATAGTGTTGACTGCCATGCCGCCCCCCCCCATGTCCCCCACGTTACTCTCCACTCTGCTCTTTGACATGCTGCCGCCGTCCAGCCAGTAGACTGGTCAAGTGTACGGGGGGGGGAGGGGGGGGAGAGTGCGGAGAGAAGGAACGCGGTTGGAAGGGGTCGCAAGGAGTCGCAGGCCCTCAAGTTATATGGGGAATTGACAAGAACTCGCGGGTCTGGAGCATGAGGATCTCACCTCCGCCTCCTGAAGCAACGGCATAGTTGTAGCCAAAGGTGACGTTGCTGATGCTGACGGCTGGCGATGCAACGTACAGCCCCCCGCCCATGTACGCCTAGGGAACGGGAGAGAGAGAGAGGGAGGGAGGGGGGTGGGAAATGAGACGGGGAACTGGAAAGGGGGGGAAGCCTGAAGCAACGACATAGTTGTAGCCAAAGGTGACGTTGCTGATGGTGACTGCAGGTGATGCGACGTACAGACCTCCACCCATGTACGCCTGGGGGGATGGAGAGAGGAGGAGGCGAGGTGGGGGAAAATAAGAGGGGGAACGGGAAGGGGGGAAACGCGACGTCATAGTTGTAGGTTGTAACCAAAGGTGACGTTGGTGATGGTGACTGCAGGTGATGCGATGTACAGACCCCCGCCCATGTAGGCCTGGGGGAAGGCAGGTGGAAGGGAGAGCGGGGTGAGGGCAAGCGGAAAGGGGAAGGCGGGGAAAGCCAGACAGAGGGGAGTTTGAGGCGATGTGAGAGGCGGCTGCAGGTGATGCTATGTAAAGGCATGACGTGCGGCAAAGGCGGAGAGGAGCGGGGATTGTGGGGCAGAACTGAGCTGCCAGAGCCAGACCACCACCATAACATCACATCACTGCAATCGCGCCCATCACCATCGCCACAGTTGCCCGCCATTAACACGATCAAAGATGTTGTTACCATCACACCACGTCACACCACAATGCACCACACCCCACCGCAACCAACAGCATCGCACCGTACCTCACATTACCGAACTGCACTCACCCAGTTGTTGCTGACTGTGGAGTTGGAGAGCTCAAACGTCACGTCCAGCTTGTTATACACGTTCGTGCTGATGCCCCCTCCCTGGGCTTTAAGCCCCTCCGTCATCAGCCCGTTGTTCCCCGAGATATTGCAACCGCGCACCACCGCATTGACGTCCGATAAATACACCCCGACACCCAGGTTAACTGCGGCATACCCCGTATTATCCAGGATATTACTATCAATTAACTCCACGCTTCCTGTTGTTTCCAGGCTCCAGCAATCCACACCAATCCCCGTCCCGCTCTCCATGTAATTCGTGCAACGGGTGATTGTGGACCGTTGGATCGAGATCGAGCTCGTACCCATGGCGTAGATCCCTCCTCCACCATACACAGACGTAGTAGAATCAATAGTGGAGTCTAGAACAACAGTAGATACTGTCCCGTTAAGGAAAAATCCGCCACCGTACGACGGGTCGTCGCTATAAGGAGCATAATCGCGGGCCGACGCGGCGAAACACCCGAAGAAAGTGGAGGACTGGACAGAGAGAGAGGGAGAGGAGGCGTCGGATAAACAACCCCCGGAGCTGCCATTGGTGCTGGTGATTTGGACGGATTTGAGTGTGAGGGTGGAGGAGGAGGAGGCGAGACCGCCGCCGAGGAAGCGGGAGGAGCATTCGGAGATGGAGGAGGAGGAGAGGGAGAGGGTGGTGGAGTAGATGGCGATTCCGCCCCCCACGCTCTCGTCTGCGTGGCATGACTGAATGTCCAGACGCGACAGTGTTGCCTTGGACGCTGGGAGGGGGGGGACGGGGGGGTGGGGGTGGGGAGAGGAAGGGGGTTGCAGGAAGGGGAAAGGGGTAAGAGCACAACGTTTATGCAGGAGAAGGATTCCGCCCCCCACGCTCTCGTCCGCGTGGTGACTGGATGTCCAGACCCGAGAGTGTTGCCTTGGATGCTGAGGGGGCATAGGGGGGGAGGAGGGGGGGATGGGCGGGGGAGAGAGGGAATTGTTGCACGAGGTGGGAATGGGTGACGCTGGTTTGAGTCCACTCACAAGTCACCTCCGAGAAGAAGAGCTCACAGAAGAAATAATGGAGGCAAACTGGAAGGGTATGAGAAACTCACAGAAAATGGCAATGCCGCCGCCACCACCATCGATGCCCCCTTGGGTGACCTTTGAATCGAACACAGTCACACCCGCCATAGTCACATCCTTGGATGAGGTTATGGAGACAGCGCCACCGTTCAGGTACGCGATGCAGCTGGCGAAATCCACGCTCGTTAGAGTCACCTTCTGGTTCGCCGCTTCCAAGCACCCCCCTCCGGCCTGCCTGTTCAGCCCGCTCATTACAGCGACCCCCTGTATAGTCACACTCGCCTGCGCGCACGGCACAGCAGGAGCGGCACCACCAGCAGCACCCCCGTTGGTAGCACAAACGGCGCTCAGGCACGGCCCGTTCTTGCAGTTGATGAGAGGCTTGGATGTGATTTTACCGGGGGGCGTGGGGGAGGGGGAGGAGAGGGAGCCTGCGGCTATGGTGAGGGAGTACCCGCCGAGCGCGAGGGGCGCGGAGAGTGCGGAGAAGGAGACGGGGATGGTGCCGTTGACCAATAGGATCGTCGCTCCCTTGAGATTCGCGCTGGGGTGGGGAGAACGGGGGACGAGTGGGGAGTGGGGGACGGGGGAAGGACGAACGGGGAGAAGGAGATGGGGAGGATGCTGTTAAGATCTACGCTGGTAGGGAGTGGGGGGGTGAGGGAGTCGGGTGAAGGGGGAAGGGGGAAGGAGGGTGGGGTGGGGAGGGCCAGGGGGCAAAGGGGGGAGGGGGGAACGGGCAGGGGAAGGCGAGGGAGGGGGAGGAGAGGTGTGGGGAGAGCTACAAGCTGCGGAAAGGTATAGTCATATAAACACGGCGCAAAGCAAGTGGTTGCTAGCGGCGAGCAAATTAGATCAAGTCAAATCAAGGAGGGTGAGACACTCACTTAGTAAGGGCGAGGTCGAGAGAACCTGCGATAAAAGACCGACGAGGCAAGGCGGAACCGGCCCGAATAGCCCCATGGAAAACAAAGGGGGGAGGGGGGGAGGTGGGGGAGGCGGAAAGAGGGGGGAAGTGGGGCGAGGGGGGGAAGAGAGGGGGAAGCGGGGCGAGAGGGGGGGAGGCGGGGGAGAGCATAAGGAAAGGGTAAAAAAAGAGGGGGGTGGTGGGAGAGGAGGGGAGGGAGACGGTTAGAAAGCAGGATACGGCTGGAAGCAAGAGCACACGGCGAGCACACGACGAGCACGGGACGAGCAGGCGTTGACTAGCGCGTTCGTGTGGACTTAGCAGACGGGCGACGACGCCACTTGCTCACTCCCGAAGGTGGGATGTGAAGAACCTCGCGACTCACCGGACAGCAGCTGCGCAACAACCCCTTCCCCCTCCATCCCGCCCTCCTCCCTCCCACCCTTTCCCCCTCTCCAACCCCCTCGCCTCCCCATTTCCCCCTTCCGCCAGAGCGTCCGCTCATGACTCGCCGCACGGCCTCTGCGCTCCTCCCCCTTCCGTTCCTTCCCCCCTTCCCCTCCCCCATTCCTCCTTACCTTCACCCTTCCCCCCTTCCCCCTTCCCCTTCCCCCTTCCTCCTCCCCCTCTCCCTCCCCCCCTTTCCACCGTGCCTTGCCCTCACGACTCACCGCACGGCCTCTGCGCGGTTCCGCAGCAGCCGGTAGCGGTGCCGGTCTCCGTCACGTACACGACGGCTTGCCGGTTGCACACTGGTAAGGAAAAGCGGGGAGCGCACGGTGCACGGGAAGACGGCGGTAGCCGCAGTGGGTGGGTGGGGAGAATCGCGGAAGGTAGGCGCAACGGCGGAAAGAAATATGGCAGAAGGAAATGAAGGCAGAAGGACGTGCAGAATGCGAAGAACAGAGGGAAAAGGGAAGCAATCGATGTTGCATGGAACATGCGTGCGGAGTTGACACATTAATCAAAAGCGACGGAGAAGGAGAGAATGAATGGAAAAGGGGAGAAACGGATTGCAAGAAGGACGGAGACAGCTTCGTTTTAGCCGCTTCGGAATGTGATGTTGACGGTCGAAACCTGCAGAAACCACGAACCTGATTGCGTCCGCGTTAAAGTTGAACTCGATAACAGTACAAACGTCACGACGGCGAGGCGGAGCATTTGACCCATCGAGAATCTCCAGGAGTCTAGTCTCTGGGCTCTACACGTTTCGCTAAGATGTCGGTGCTTTACACTGCTAGCGGGACGACACATCGTGACGATTCTATCGCGCGGCGACATTTTCGTCTCCCGGTAGTCGTCCGCGAAAGTTACGCGGAGCCTCGATACCGAGGCCGACGACTCCGGAGCTACACCTTTTTTGTTTCAATATGTCACCGTAAAACCGGGTCGGAGTGGTGACCGATGCCCTAATCGCGAGAAACCCGCGGGAGAGTTAAGGACGTGATAGGGCTAGCGTGAGACGATGCTATGTCGCCGCTTTGCAAATACAAGGTTTCCGCATGGTGTCTTTCTGAAAAAACTCCACGCCGAATCTAGGGAGAACGCTGAGCGTGATGAGTCGAGCACAGTGAGGCCCTACGCTGATAACCGTTGAGGTTATCCCAAATGTCTCTATCCCCTTTTTTACATTCAACCGTGGACTATTTTCGCGAGAGTCGACAACGGTCTTGGTATTGGTATCTTGTCTCGCGACTTTGTAGAATCCGTTTCTCGCCGAAATGCAGGTGAGAGGATAGCTCACATCACAACACAACCTTGCTCCAACTCTTGCAGCAACACCAGTCACACACACCCCTGCACAAATCGGTTTGGTCGTCACTTGGAACTTCGAGAACAGTTCCAAGGAGTTCCTTGGGAGCACCACGAGATTCCCAGGGTTGGGGTATCACATATTTTTTCCTCACTCTGTACGATACATGGAGTACAGAACAGTTCAGGACTGTACCCCGAACACAGAAGTTTGACGCGGAATTGCTGCATTTGCTTTCTGCTGCCCGATTTCATGCGAATCGAAAGGTTGACGTTGTTCAGGGTCCAGTACACATTGGGGCAGTTGGTGAAAACACGCTGGTCCCTGATTTGACCAACACGGGCAGCGGAACGTGTCGTCCTTTTTGTGTTGGGAATGTGAACGTGGATCGGCGGGCAGCGGAGCGACGAATTGACGAGACGAATTTCTCTTCACCTTTCTCATCCATCACACACACCCTCACCACTGCATCCCTCCCAGTGACCCAGCCACTCTCCCTTTCACGTCTCCCCTGCCCCTCAGCAGTGCCCCACCCCCCTCACCCCACCCCCACCACTGACCCGATGGGCAGATGGACAGATGGCGACAAGCCTCGCAGTTTTGTGTGGCGCCTGAAACCGCGTTTACATGATCAGCCCGCACTGTGCAATGGAATCCCACCAACTTCCAAGACCACCTGAACGTCCGCATCCCCGGTAGCAGCAGGTCATTGTACTGAAAGCAGAACCATTAGCATCCTAATTCTCAAAGAAACCATGAATGGTCACAAGCATGCGAATTCAATCTGTAATCCGAATGCCAAGCGACATATTTACCGTTCGTACCATAACCAGTGCATCCTTGCAAGCCTCGCCTTTCCCTACTCATACCCACGTGGCAACATACCCATAACCCAGCTCAAGAACCTCCCTCTCCTACCCACCGAATTTGAAGGCACATGCGAGAATTACCAGGCTCAGTACAACCAATCATATAATACATTATACATCGCTCTTATCTACCCTAATCCCTGTCCCCACCCCATCTGTCTGCCACAGCAGCATGCCTCTCACACGACCCAGAAGCGCCACTGTCCTGAGCGGCCCCATCCACCGGCCCATGGGGGGACACAAGCAGAGGCGGCTGCTTTACTCTACAGGTAACTTAGCCCCACATTCTCCCTCACCCCTGCCTCTGCCCCCACCCCGTCCGTCTGCCACAGAACAGCATACCTTTCCCCTGATCCAGGAGCATCGCTCTCACCAGCACCCCCATCCATCGGCCCGTAGGAGGACACAAGGAGGGGCGGCTGCTTGTCTCTATCATCTAGCTACATTTTCATCCTCTCCTGCCTCTGCCCCTGCCCCTGCCCCTACTCCCACCCCATCTGTCTGCCACAGCACAGCATACCTTTCCCCTGATCCAGGAGCATCGCTCTCACCAGCACCCCCATCCATCGGCCCGTAGGAGGACACAAGGAGAGGCGACTGCTTGTCTCTATCATCTAGCTACATTTTCATCCTCTCCTGCCTCTGCCCCTGCCCCTGCCCCTACTCCCACCCCGTCCGTCTGCCACAGCACAGCATACCTTTCCCCTGACCCAGGAGCATTTCTCTCCCCAGCACCCCCATCCATCGGCCTGTAGGAGGACACAAGGACAGGTGGCTGCTTAACAGTACCATTAAGCTACATCCTCTCCTACCCCTTCCCCTGCCTCTCCTACCCCTTCCCCTGCCTCTCCTGCCCCTTCCCCTGCCTCTCCTACCCCTTCCTCTACGCCTGCTCCCATTCCGTCTGTCTGCCACAGCACAGCATACCTCTCGCCCGACCCAGGAGCATCGCTCCCACCGGGCCCCCCATCCATCGGCCCGTAAGAGGACACAAGGAGAGGCGGCTGTTTCAGGGAGCGAGCTAGAAGTTCAAAGGCGCTGCGGCTGACATCCGTTGTGAGGGTGGAGCGGGGTGGAGAGGAGGTTGCAGCTCGAGCAATGTACGCATAGAAGACCTGGGTGGGAAGGGGAACAAGAAGAGAAGGAGGAGACACAAGGAGAGGCGGCTGTTTGAGGGAGCGAGCTAGGAGTTCAAAAGCGCTGCGGCTGACGTCAGTCGTGAGGGTGGAGTGAGGTGGAGAGGGGGATGAGGCCCGAGCAATGTATGCATAGAAGACCTGTTGAAAAAGGGGAAGTGAGCATGATGGAAGCAGGAGAAGAGAGAAAACGGATCTTAATTTTGTAGGCGCCTCAAAACTCCCCATCCATCAACCCGTAGGACGACACAAGAGAGGCGGGTGCTTGAGGGAGCGAGCGAGCAGCTCAAAGGCGCTGCGACTGACGTCGGTCGTAAGGGTGGAGCGAGGTGGAGAGGAGGGCGAGGCCCTAAGGGTGGAGCGAGGCCCGGGCAATGTATGCATAGAAGACCTGTTGAACTGGGGGAGAAAGGGAGTGAAATGTCAACAGTGTAAGCCTTGAGGAAGGTGAGAACCAGGGGAGGAAACAGCTGCAACAGAGCAACTCACCACCTGTACCACCATGTACCGCAGTGTACCGCATTGCCCTGCAGCTCCCATTCTCACCTGATACCCAACGGTGTATGCCTTGAGGAAGGTGGGAACGAGGGGAGGCAGCAGCTGAGTGAGCGCCTGCTGCAGCTGCGCCTGAGTCTTGGCCACCCCGCCCTGCCAGCCGCCCCTGCTGGGCGCATCGTTCCACACATCTGCTACGTAGACTCGCTGGGAGGAGGGGTCCTCTGTAAATGCCACGCTTAAAGGGGTGAAGCCCTGCAGGGGGGAAAGGGAGGAGGGGGGAAAGGGAGGAGGGGAGGAATTGAAAGAGAGGGAAGAGGATAGGGAAGAGATGGGAGCATCCTTACACACATCCGCCACAAACACTCTCTGGGAGGAAGGGTCCTCTGTGAAAGATATATGTTTTTTGAGAATTCTCAAAATATGTTTTTTGCAGCGTATGTTTTTTGAGAATTCTCAAAATATGTTTTTTGCAGCGTATGTTTTTTGAGAATTCTCAAAAAACATACGCCACAAACACTCTCTGGGAGGAAGGGTCCTCTGTGAAAGATACAGTCAAAGGTTTGAAGCCCTGCACGATGGAAGGGGAAGGGGAGGGATTTTTCAACCGAGACATCTCAGAACCGTCACCCGTTTGATATCACTCCCCACACCCACTCCCCCCGTCCCCACCATCCCTCCTGCAACCCCCACCTGTCGCTGCAACTGCAGCCACCGAGAAGAGGGACCGCAGCAGTAGGCGGAGTCGTGAGGGATGCGGCACGAGCCACTCACATTTCCCCCGCCAACCATCTCACCTGTCGCTGCAGCTGTAACCATCGCGAGGAGGGCCCACAGCAGTAGGCAGAGTCGTGAGGGACGCCAAACACGGCCTCCACCCGCGTGCTGCTGCCAGCTGGCCACGCCACGTCAGCAAGGAAGATGGCGGCGTAGTAGAGCCCGTGGTGGTCTGCCACGTAGTAGCTCTCCACCTGGACCGGGCGGCAGAGCAGCGGGCGGCAGGGATGGGTAACAAGGATGGGCGGCAGGACGGGTAAGAGGGATGGTCAGCAAGAAAGATGACGAAACATCTCGAAGATAACGGCGTAGTACAGCCCGTGGTGGTCTGCCACGTAGTAGCTCTCCACCTGTGGGGGGGCAGATTGGTGGGCGGCAGAGTGGGGGGCGGCAGCAGAGAGACGGGCGGCAGAAAGGTGGACGGCAGAGCATCCTGGTAAGATGGAATTACGCACCTGAGAGGGCTTATAGCCCGAGGAGATGTAATGGCGCAGGGCATCCTGGTACTGCTGACCGTTGAGGTTGAAGACCATCACCCACCCCAGCTGTTGGGGAGGAGGTGTGCAAAGGGGTACAGGGGGGTACAAGGGGGCGTGCTGGTGGGTGTTGAGTCATACTGCAGCGCATCCTGGTACTGCTGGCCGTTGAGGTTGAACACCATCACCCACCCCAGCTGTCAACAGAGAACAAGGGGTACAGGGTGGTACAGGGGAGTGTGCAGGGGAGTGCAGGGGGGTGTTGAGCCATGCTGCAGAGCATCCTGCAACTGCTGGCCGTTTAGGTTGAACACCATCACCCACCCCAGCTGTTGGGGAGGGGGTGTGAGCATGAGCACAGGGAGATGAATGAAAGAAGAGGCGCATCAAGCTTGTATCCCGATGAGATGTGACGGTGTAGAGCGTTCTGATACTGCTGACTGTTTAGGTTGAACACATCACCCACCCCAGCTGTTGTTGGGTGGTGTGCAGGGAAGTTCAGGGTTGTGCAGGGGAGTGCAGGGGAGTGCAGGGGGGTGCAGGGGGATGCAGGGGAGTGCAGGGGGGTGTTGAACCTGCTGGCTATTTAGGTTGAACACCATCACCCACCCCAGCTGTTCGGGAGGGGAAAGAGCAGGGGGGTCAGCAGAGTGGACTGCAAGGAAAATTCCTAAGTTATCAGAATGATAGCTAACAAATGATCAGAGATGGAAGCTTGGGGATTTGAGTGTACATGGAAAAAGAAAGAATAGAGCTTACCGATTTGGAGTTGGGCTGCCAAAGTACTGAGAAGAAGACGAGCGGGCGAGGGGACGCGACGGCATACGCGCTGACAAAGGCCGGCACGTGGGAGCGCGTGCGCGAGGAGAGTAGAGCCGGCAGGTCGGAGGATTCGACTCGTGAGTCGAGGATGGGTCCGGCCGTCAGCCAGCCGCCCGGGTACTTGCGCTCGAAGTAACCTGGCTGTAAGGAAGGGAGTGGAGAGATGGGAGGAGCGCTCGAGTGAGGAGAGTAAAGCCGGCAGGTCAGGAAGAGTGAAGGGCGGAGAGCGAAGGGGGGAGAGTGAAGAAAAGCACGAGGCAATCTTTTAAAGTTCGACACAGCGAACACGAAGCGGGCGCAAATCACCTCAGCTCCGGAAATATGTGGCTGCGCGCGTTCCGCGGAACTGCTCGCGTGGAACTTCCGGATTCTTAGGTGACTCGGCGCGCTGTGGTTTCCGTGAGACGAAAATATCAGCGGTGTTACACGAGGTGTTACGGTACCACCGCCGGATACGTTCCTTCTTGGAAGGTTCTCGTCGGCGGCGGCAACGGGGCCGCGGAGGTTGAGCTCTGCGCCGAATCCGCCGCGGAACGCAGGGGATGAGGACACGCGGCGAGGAAGGGCCGCCGCGAGGAGCGCTAGAGAGAAGAGCGCTGTGAGGATGTTGGCGGCTCGGGGACCCATCTTTGATTCGAAACCGGAGCGCGACGAACGGAGTGCAAAGGAAAACAAACTAGAAAATACCCACAACGAAGGAGAAACAAGCGCGGATTTTGATTCGTGAAGCAAACGGAAATCAGGGTCAATTGAAGTGCGAAAGGGGCGAGTTGCGCGAGGTGAATTTGGCATGAGGTGAAATTGAGGAGGATTCCAACGTCCTCGCCAATAACACGTTCGATATGAGTATGGATGCCTATGCAAAGGACGGAAGCTACTGGTATGCTCTGACAATTCTTAATTGTGCAAACATGTAACCTTTTCGTGTGTTTGTAAAATCTGCATGAAATTATTTACAAGGTAATTTACATGCTACATCATTGCATCACTTATGCAACGCATCCAATATTTTAACGCTTAATGCCTCTGCTTCGACCCTCTCCCCAAGCACCATCATCAATCTTGCCACATATCTATCGCGCTTTTCTCCTGCTCCCCACAATTGAGATTTTTCAGGGGTGAACTATTCTTGCCACAGAACAGTGTATCTTTCTGTTGCGCTTTTCCCCTGCTCCCCGCACTTGGGCGGCACGAAAGAAGCGACAAACAGGGGCGGGTACCTGAGGGAGCGAGCGAGTAGCTCAAAGCCACTGCGGCTGATATCAGCAGTGAGGGTGAGGTGGGGAGCGGTGGAGGAGGGTGGGCGGGCCACGTATGCATAGAAGACCTGCTTGGGAGGAGAAAGAGGGAAAGAGGAAAAGAAGAGGCGGATTCAGACAAGCTATGAGCATCGCATATAATCCAGTGCGCCTCAGCATGTCCTAGTGCGCCTCTCACCTTCTCCCCTTCTCACACTCTCACCCTCTCACACTCTCACCCTCTCACACTCTCACCTTCTCCCCTTCTCACACTCTCACCCTCTCACACTCTCACCTTCTCCCCTTCTCACACTCTCACCCTCTCACACTCTCACCTTCTCCCCTTCCCACACTCTCACCCTCTCACACTCTCACCTTCTCCCCTTCTCACACTCTCACCCTCTCACACTCTCACCTTCTCCCCTTATCACACTCTCACCCTCTCACACTCTCACCTTCTCACCCGCTAGCTCTGGCACTCCCATCCTCTCCTGCCATTTATCCCTCTCATCCCCACCTGCATCCCAACAGTGTACGCCTTGAGGAAGGTGGGAACCAGGGGAGGCGGCAACTGCGCCAGAGCCTGCTGTAGCTCTAATTCTGTCATTGCAACACCACCCAGCCACCTGGGAGTAAACAGGGAAAGGGAAACAGGGGGCCTTATGAGTAGACTCAAGAAAAGCAGCTGCACTAGAGCCAGCTACACTCTGTTACAGATATTGCCTTTTGAGTGTGAGAGAAGTAACAGCCACACTCACCCGCCAAAGGAGGGAGGGCTGCTCCACACGTCCGCCACATACACGGTGAGAGCAGAACCCCAAGCGCCTGCTGTACAGTGACGGCTACTAACCGTAATAGCAGCCGCGTGTCTCAAGAGCCGAGGGTCACACTCACCCGCCTGAAGAGGGAGGGCTGCTCCACACGTCCGCCACATAGACCGTAAGAGCAGCCGGGTCCTCTGTGAGGGATACGCTGAGGGGGCTGAAACCCTGTGGGGGGTGAGAGGAGATGAGAGGAGATGAGGGGGGATGAGAGGAGATGAGAGGAGATGAGGAGGGATGAGAGGAGATGAGAGGAGATGAGGAGGGATGAGAGGAGATGAGAGGAGATGAGGGGGGATGAGAGGAGATGAGAGGAGATGAGGGGGGATGAGAGGAGATGAGAGGAGATGAGGGGGGATGAGAGGAGATGAGAGGAGATGAGGAGGGATGAGAGGAGATGAGAGGAGATGAGGGGGGATGAGATGAGATGAGAGGAGATGAGGGGGGATGAGAGGAGATGAGAGGAGATGAGGGGGGATGAGAGGAGATGAGAGGAGATGAGGAGGGATGAGAGGAGATGAGAGGAGATGAGGGGGGATGAGAGGAGATGAGAGGAGATGGGGGGGGATGAGAGGAGATGAGAGGAGATGGGGGGGGATGAGAGGAGATGAGAGGAGATGAGGGGGGATGAGAGGAGATGAGAGGAGATGAGGGGGGATGAGAGGAGATGAGAGGAGATGAGAGGAGATGAGGGGTGATGAGAGGAGATGAGGGGTGATGAGAGGAGATGAGGGGTGATGGGAGGAGATGAGGGGTGATGGGAGGAGATGAGGGGTGATGGGAGGAGATGAGGGGTGATGGGAGGAGATGAGGGGTGATGGGAGGAGATGAGGGGTGATGGGAGGAGATGAGGGGTGATGGGAGGAGATGAGGGGTGATGGGAGGAGATGAGGGGTGATGGGAGGAGATGAGGGGTGATGGGAGAAAAGTGTCGACTCGAGTCCACGGACAGACGGTGAGAGCAGCCAGGTCCTCTGTGAGACTCCAAGAATTCTCAAGAAGGATACAGGGAAGGTGAGGTGAGGTGAGGTGAGGTGAGGTGAGGTGAGGTGAGGTGAGGTGAGGTGAGGTGAGGTGAGGTGAGGCGAGGTGAGGCGAGGTGAGGTAAGCACTCTATTCCCAGCAAGCACTCCCAACCCTATCTCCCTCCCCCACCTGTCACTGCAGGCGCCACCATCGGGAGGTGGGCCCACAGCAGTAGCTCGCGTCGTGCGGCATCCCAAACGCCGCTTCCACCCACGTGGAGCTGCCAGCTGGCCATGCCACGTCAGCAAGGAAGATGGCTGCGTAGTAAATCTCGTGGTAGTACGGCCTCACGTCGTCTGACACGTAGTAGCTCTCCACCTGGATGGATAGCGGGTGGCAGGGGTGGGCGGCAGGATGGGTGACAGGGGTGGGCAGCAAGGAAGAAGGCGGCATAGTAGTAAAGCTCGTGGTTTAAGACGGCTTCACGTCGTCCGACACGTAGTAGCTCTCCACCTAGATAGAGACCGGGCGGCAGGGATGGGCGGCAGGGGTGGGCGGCAGGGACGGGTGGCAGAGTTGGGCGGCAGGGACGGGTGGCAGAGTTGGGCGGCAGGGATGGGAGGGAGGGATGGGTGGCAGAGATAGGTGGCAGGGCGGGTAGCAGGAGTGGGCAGCAGGTGTCAATGATGGGCGGCAGTGGCAACACGGGTGATGATGAGGCGGCGTGCTAGCAAGAAGATTAAAACAATAATCCCGCCAAGTTAATAGTGTAAGACAAAGAAACTCTCCCTCCCTCATTGTGCACCTGTACAGGTTTAAAGCCCGAGGCGATCCGACGGTGCAGAGAATCTTGGAACATTTGACCGTCGAGATTGAACACCACCACCCAGCCGACCTGTTGAGAGCAGGATTAATGAGGGAGGGAGAGAGAGAGAGAATACGGAAGGGAGTGAAGGTCAGAGGAGAGACGTTGCGGAAGGAGTCTGCGAGGAAGATTAGAAGGGGAGAATAAGAGCATACATGGAAAGCTAGTGTGAAATGATTAGAGGAGCTCACGGATTTGGAGTTGGGTTGCCAGAGGATGGAGAAGTAAACGAGCGGGCGAGGGGACGCGATGGCGTATGCGGTGATGAAGGCCGGCATGTGGTTGCGCTCGCGCGAGGAGATTAAAGCCGGCAGGTCGGAAGCTTCAACTCGCGAGTCGAGAATAGCTCCATACGTGAACCAGCCGCCAGGATACGAACGCTCGAAGTAATCTGTCTGTGGGGAAGATATACCGAGACCCATAAATAGATTGAGAGAGAATTTAAATTCTGATAAAGATAAAAAGAACGAGTAAGTAATTTTGTGGAGGCGACATGCGATGCGCCGCAAGTCCAACCCACCGGAGCTCCGTCTCTCTCGCGCGCAGCGCGTTGCGAACGCGAATTCGACGCGCTGGGCCTTCCTGTATACGAAAACTCAAGCGGTTCCATGCCGAGTTTGCCGCCTCGCACGGAACCGATTATAAACTCTTCTCTTCTCGTACGGTTCTCGCCGCGACGCGAGATTCCGTGTTGGGCGAAGAGAGATTCTGAGCCCCATCCGCCACGGAACGCGGGGGTAGATGATACACTTTGAGGTAGGGTCACGACGAGCAGCGTTAGCGGCATAAACACTAGAGCGCAGGCAGAGAGGAGATTCATCTGAGACGGGTACATCGGTAGCGCGGGCATAATCGACCGCTCACGCTTTTCAGGCTAGGAACTTTTCGGAAGATGGCGCAGAAATTGTCGAGAGGATGAGAAATGGGCGCGATTTTGGGTGAATGTGGGTGGATTTGTAGAAAATGAAGAAACGCGATAATAGCAGTCACTGTAAAATATGTACTATAGAGCTACACAGGCTGGATAACATCTTACCAGGAGCGGTGGTGACTTTGAAGGGGCGACACCGTACTGGTTGGCGACTGTTGACGGCGATTGCTGGCATGTTCGAGAAGAAGTGGATGTTTGTCATTGACTCGTTGGCGAAACTCGTGCACGGCAGCATCTCCCGAAGGGGCTTGTCAGGAGACCTTTCTCGCTGATCGCAGGCATCGCACGTCGGGGGTCTTGTTTGAGAACTCACTCTGACCCCCAACCACGTCAGCAGCACATCACAAACATCACTCCAAAATCCCAAGGCACCGAACCATCCGATTTCACATATCCATCCAATCACAGCCCGACTTATCCCTGCCGAAGCAGAGTACTCGGCTCGTACGTGAGATGAGGAGGAGCTTTCATTACGTCCGCCGTGCTTGGCGCTCATGTCGAGAACTAAGTTTCAGCGAGGCTCCGCGCCGCCTCTGTGCCAGCATCGACATTTCCAGTTTCGGGATGGCCAATGATCTCCGAGCCGCTTCTCCCGTGCGAAATGTAGCCGAATTTCTCTGCACCAGCCCCCTTCTCCCTTCTAACCCCCTCCTCCCTTCCCTCTTGTGCTTGCTGGCTGGGGTTACCGCAGCCCAGAATCTTGATCAGACTGTCGAGTCAAACGATAAGGCAGACATAAACTGTTTTGAATTGTCAGGGTATCAAGGCAGTTTGATCAAAGCAGTCGACAAGAACAGTCACCATACTATAGTCTACGAATCTCGCGCAAACATTACGCAGGCTAGCGCCGAAAATCAAAATCCATACCACATTCAGTCGGTGTCAGGTACGCCAGCCATTTTACCGCTTGTGTACGAGCCAAGAGATTCTCAGCGGACGCAAGTCTCTGCCTTCAATTAGTGACATAACACAGGGCACAGAACGTTACGAGCTCACGGTTAAAAATCCCGACTATGGACTAACAAGTCGCGCACCAACGACTCGTCCAAAGTTTCCAATCGCGCGCAGCGCTAGCTCCTTACCGTAACCACTTCTTTCCGTCACTTGCCCTCATCACCAGCACCTCTCTGACCGCCTGCAGCGCTCGTTTTATCTTACAGTCGTGCGCTCCATAACGGGTATCTTCGCTAAAGGAAGTTCTCCGTAACACATCTGAGAATTCTCAAAACATCCGCTATGGCTATGTATGCGGCGAATCTCTGCCTCCTGCCGCCGTTCCTCGCCCTGCCGTCACTCCTACAACACCGCTCCGCCACCCTCGCCCACCTCCGCGACGGCGACGACGGCGACGGCGCCGGCGACGAATCGTGTCGCACGAGGGACGGAACCCGCTGCGACGAGTCCGGCGCGCATGTATGGATTACAAACCCCCTGACAAATCCCCTGAAGAATCCCCTGATGATGCCGATGCTGGAGCGAGAACCGTCCATGACTCACACGATCGAGTGCCTGCACGTGCATGGGACGGCTGAGAGGAAGGGCCGGCGAGTGCGGTGGGGTGACGAAGCGGGCTTGTCGCTTACGGCTATTCGAGAATACGAGCCAAGGTGCGTGGTGTAACTCGGTTACTCATGAGTTGACTCAAAAAGGTGTGTGGTATCTATTGTAACTCCCAAAACACGTGGTAACTCCCATTGTGGATGCCCAAGTGTGTGGTAACTCTGGAAACTCCCAGGACCTCCACCACCCACCCCCCTTTCTCCCCTCCTCCCCCCCCCCCCCCCCCCCTCCCGCTCCCCCCCATCCCCACGCCCCTCCTCCCTTTCCCCCCCTCCCCTCTTGCCCCTCTGCGACCTTGTATGCATGCAGCGAGACGAAACACCCGGATGACCTGGCGTGGTGGGAGATGGAGGACGACTTTTGAGAATTCTAATTAGTCCCTCTCATCCCCACCATCTCTCCCCACCACCTCTCCCCCCCCACATCCCCCACCTGCAACCTTGTTTGCGTGCAGCGATACGAAACATCCGGATGACCTGGCGTGGTGGGAGATGGAGGACGACGATGATGACGTGTGCAGCTGCGCCATGCAGTGAGAGGGGAGCTGCGCCAAAACGGAGCTGCGCCGAGGGAGGCCCTGCCCCATGCAGTGGGGGCGGAGCCGCGCTGAGGGCGGACCTGGCGGAGCTGCGCCATGCAGTGGGGGCGGAGCCGTGCGCTGCGCCCTGCGGGTTGTCGTTCAGAGCGGATAAACAGGTTCTAAACAATAGACTGCACTTTATATACTGTTACAACTGTGCATTAAGCACAGCACGAGGTGTGCATTATACACTCAATACATTCACACTCCACGCGCCTTGACTACTCTTGGAGAATGGAGTATAATCATGGTAGACTGAGCACGTTGGCTCAATATTGGCTCAATATCTTAAATCTGCTGTGGGTATTCTCTGACAAAAAGTGGTATATGAAGTAGGATAATTCTCATACTGGAACCAATGTAATTCAAGACTTGCCAACTAAGTAGCTGGTGGTGTATATCCCTCTGAAGATTGTAGCAACTGACTTGGAGTGTACAATTTCGTTAGAAAAGGTTCTCTTGCATTGCGACACTCTGTGTCAGGTGCTTTTCACCCTGTGTTCAAACAATCCTAGCACCGTCGCTTATATCACACACCACCACCAGGCTATCTTTCTGACACGCTGCAGCCAGCTCAGGCTGTCTCCGCGAATACTCTTCCGCCACATGGCGCGCCACGTCAGCAACCTTCTCTCGCTCCACGAGCGCCACACAGCACCCCCTGAAGCCTGCACCACTGAACCTGGCCCCGAGCACACCCGGTGTGGCCAGGAGTATGGATCGGAGCTCTATGAGGGGCGGGCTGCCTGTGGTTGAAAAGGATGAGAGGGACGGAGGGATGGGAGTCTTGAGCATGGGGAATGGATGCGAGAGTTGAACCTGGCCCCGAGCACACCCGGTGTGGCCAGGAGTATGGATCGGAGCTCTATGAGGGGCGGGCTGCCTGTGGTTGATTAAGATGAGAGGGACGGAGGGATGGGAGTGGTGGGAGAGAGGGAAGAGGGGAGAGAGGAGAGAGAAAGATGAGGATTGAGCAGAGCTCTATGAGGGGTGGGCTGCCTGTGGAGGCAGGAGGATTGAGCAGAACTCTATGAGGGGTTTATTGCAACTTAGCGCAATGTAGCGCCCTGCTGCAACTTAGCACCCTGCTGCAGCGCCTCAGGTCCCTGCAGCAATCCACCCACACTGACCGCACTCCACCCACCAGCACCACACCCCCACCCCACACTGACCGCACTCGTACTGGTCGATGGAGCTCTGCCCCGACTCCGACATCAGGCGCCCAAACAGGCGCCAGTCGCCTTGTTGCAGTGCCTCAGCACAGCACCTACTAGCACCCCTCCCACGTCTCTCCACCCCTCACTGACCGCATTCGTACTGGTCGATGGAGCTCTGCCCCGACTCCGACATCAGGCGCCCAAACAGGCGCCAGTCGCCTTGTTGCAGTGCCTCAGCACAGCACCTACTAGCACCCCTCCCACGTCTCTCCACCCCTCACTGACCGCATTCGTACTGGTCGATGGAGCTCTGCCCTGACTCCGCCATGAGGCGCCCAAACAGCTGCCAGTCGCCCTGCTGCAGCGCCTTAGCACCCTGCAGCACAACACCCACACTGATCGCACTCGTACTGGTCGATGGAGCTCTGCCCCGACTCCGACATGAGGCGCCCAAACAGGCGCCAGTCGCCTTGCAGCAGAGCCTCAGCGCCCTGCAGCACAACACAACACCCACCAGCACCCCGCCCTTCCCGCACTGACCGCACTCCACCATCCACCAGCACCGCACCCCACCCACCAGCACACCCCACTCCAACCCTTCCCCCCCCTTTTTCCACACTGACCGCACTCGTACTGGTCAATGGAGCTCTGCCCCGACTCCAACATCAGGCGCCCAAACAGGCGCCAGTCGCCTTGCAGCAGAGCCTCAGCGCCCTGCAGCACAACACAACACCCACCAGCACCCCGCCCTTCCCGCACTGACCGCACTCCACCACCCACCAGCACCGCACCCCACCCACCAGCACACCCCACTCCAACCCTCCCCCCCCCTTTTTCCACACTGACCGCACTCGTACTGGTCGATGGAGCTCTGCCCCGACTCCGACATCAGGCGCCCAAACAGGCGCCAGTCGCCTTGCAGCAGAGCCTCAGCGCCCTGCAGCACTCGTGCGCTCTCTGAGAAGAAGTGCGTGGCTCGGCGACACAGTGCCTCAGGTAGTTGGTCCTGCGATTGGCAGACACAGAGGGGCACAGCATCAGATGTTAATGCAGCCGTCCAGTGCCTTGCAGTGCCCTAGCGCCCTGGTGCACTCGCGCGCTAAACGAATGAACGAATAGTTATGGAACATGTGTGAAGATGGCGTGCTGTACTGCTAGGATCAGAGGGATGAGAAATGGATGGATTGGATTGGAAAACAAAAAGGACGATGAGAAGTGACAAGGAAGGAAGGGAAGAAGTCTACCTTGTGACTCTGGAAGACATGAAGAGGAACTGCAAAAAACGGACGAGAAGCCACATGCCATGTCAGGAATACATGCAAAGAAGATTGAGATAAATTTGACCGGAAACACACCACAAGAAAACACAAGTTCACATGATTAATAAAAAAAGGTAGCTGGGAGCCTGAAATTTGGCTAAAAAACAGCAAGCGAAAAAGCTGACATTGGAATCAGGATGAGAGACAGGAAACGGAAAAAAATGATACTGGAATAACGTCCGCCAGAAAGCTCATTGCAACAAACCCACCGTGCCTCATGCCCCTGACCTTGCGATAAAACAGGTATATGAGACGCCTAAAAACCCAACCATCCCAAAAGAACAAGAGAGGAGAGCGGACCTAGCCCTGCTTTTGAGGCGCCTCAAAAGAACCCGTGCTTTTCCATGCCTCAGTCCTTGCGATAGAACAGGCGAGGGTGGAGGATCCAGCCCTGCGATAGAACAAGAGAGGAGAGCGGATCCAGCCCTGCTTTTGAGGCGCCTAAAAAATCATAGGCAACAAAAATAGGCGCCTCGAAAAGCCCGCCATTCCTCTTGCCTCTGACTGACCTTGAGATAGAACAGGAGAAGAGGGCACTTCCAGTCCTGCTGCAGCGAGAAGCATCCTGGCAGCTTCCTGGCACTCCTGCACGCGGTTGTTGTAGCCTGAGGAGGAAGTGAGAGCCGCCTGCATGCCTGAGAAGGCCAAGATGAAGGCGGCTGGGGGGAGGGGAGCTGGGAGGTACACGGTAGGGGGAAAGGGAAGGCGATTTTTTAGCAGACTGAAAAGGCACCTCTGGTAGTAGTAGCCCGAGGAGGAAGTGAGGGCCGCCTGCATGCCTGAGAAGGCCAAGATGAAGGCGGCTGGGGGGAGGGGAGCTGGGAGGTACACGGTAGGGGGAAAGGGAAGGCGATTTTTTAGCAGACTGAAAAGGCACCTCTGGTAGTAGTAGCCCGAGGAGGAAGTGAGGGCCGCCTGCATGCCTGAGAAGGCCAGCATGAAGGCGACTGGAGGGAGGGGGTCTGGGAAGTACAGGGGAGGGAAGGAGAGAAGGAGAGAAGGTGATGAGAGGAGTTTGTCTCAGTGGGAGAGGTAACGCCAACATCGCCTCGGGTTGTTGTAGCCCGAGGAGGAAGTGAGGGCCGCCTGCATGCCTGAGAAGGCCAGCATGAAGGCGACTGGGGGAAGGGGGTCTGGGAGGTGCATGGAAGGGGGGAAGGGAAGGCGTTTCTTTGGCAAGCGTAAAAAACACATCCACTTGTTGTAGCCCGAGGAGGAAGTGAGGGCCGCCTGCATGCCTGAGAAGGCCAGCATGAAGGCGACTGTGGGAAGGGGGTCTGGGAGGCACAGGGGAGGGATGGAGAGAAAGAGATAAGGTGATGAGTGGAGTAAAACCCAGGACGAAGTCAGATGAAAGAGGTAATTGATCACCTCGGATTGTTGTAGCCCGACGATTGAGTGTGAGCCGCCTGCATGCCTGAGACAGCCAAGATGAAGGCGACTGGGGGGAGAGGATCAGGGGAGGCACAGGGGGGAGAGGATCAGGGGAGGCACAGGGGGGAGAGGATCAGGGGAGGCACAGGGGGGAGAGGATCAGGGGAGGCACAGGGGGGAGAGGATCTGGGAGGCACAGGGGGGAGAGGATCTGGGGAGGAGGCACAGGGGAGGATGCGGAAATAGTTTCGACCTGGATCCAACAGGTAACTCGTCCTAATCTTCTCTAGGCTGAGCTATAGGCTAGTAGGGACTGAGTAGGTAAGAAATCTTCATTCAAACCTGAGCGTCTGGGGGGAGAGGATCTGGGAGGCACAGGGGAGGGGAGGATGCCTTGTTTGATTCATAAGCACCCTGCTTATTGAAGTCAGATGGTGATTCGTTAGGGCATGCGTGTCGTGTATCACTTCTGAAGATTCTCACAACCTGAGCGCACAAGGATACTGACTGACTCATACGCACCTTGTTTATTCGGGTCAGCTGGTGATCCCGATCCCGCAGGGAGTGGATTGAGGTCGTTTTTGAGGCGCCTCAAAAACGACCTCAAGGGGATACTGACTGACTCATAGCACCTTGTTTATTGGGGTCAGATGGTGATCCCGCAGGGAGTGGAATGAAGTCGTGTCGACGATCCTGAGGAAGAGGGGATTGGAATTCGGGAGAAGGACAACCAAGGAGAGGTGGTCAGGCTGTCCAAGGATCAAGATTCATGTCGGGAGTAGCAGGATCAAGATTTGCTGCTACTCCCGACATGAATCTTGATCCTTGAATTTGGGACAACCAAGGAGAGGTGGTCAGGCTGTCATGCATTTAGGAATGAGGCGCAGTGTGAAAGGAGGGGCAGGTGGAGTGTCGGATGGGAGACGGAGAGGGAACTGGAAGCAACAGTGGATGATCGTGGGGAGCATAAAGTACGGAAAAGTGCGGTTCTGTTAGGTGATTCAGCTGACCTGGCACCAGATGCGAGTGAGGTGGCCGGATTTTGAAAGGACGATTGCTGATTGGTCCAACACTCCGTTCCTCAAACCAAGGAAACCGTTCTCTATAAGCCTGAGAGAAGTATGCAAGAGGAGCGAATGGAGGGAGAGAGGATTGCAGCAGGATGGAAAGGCAGAGGAGGAGACCAAGGGAATCGTTTTTGAACTGAGCCTGATGGCAGAATGCAAGAGGAATGCCTCTAAGAGTCACCTTGACTCATTCAACCACTGCAGCCCTTCGAACATGAGTCAAGGTGGCCTGACGGCAGAATGCAAGAGGAATGCCTCTAAGAGTCACCTTGACTCATTCAACCACTGCAGCCCTTCGAACATGAGTCAAGGTGGCCTGACGGCAGAATGCAAGAGGAATGCCTCTAAGAGTCACCTTGACTCATTCAACCACTGCAGCCCTTCGAACATGAGTCAAGGTGACCTGACGGCAGAATGCAAGAGGAATGCCTCTAAGATTCACCTTGACTCATTCAACCACTGCAGCCCTTCGAACATGAGTCAAGGTGACCTGACGGCAGAATGCAAGAGGAATGCCTCTAAGAGTCACCTTGACTCATTCAACCACTGCAGCCCTTCGAACATGAGTCAAGGTGGCCTGACGGCAGAATGCAAGAGGAATGCCTCTAAGAGTCACCTTGACTCATTCAACCACTGCAGCCCTTCGAACATGAGTCAAGGTGACCTGACGGCAGAATGCAAGAGGAATGCCTCTAAGAGTCACCTTGACTCATTCAACCACTGCAGCCCTTCGAACATGAGTCAAGGTGGCCTGACGGCAGAATGCAAGAGGAATGCCTCTAAGAGTCACCTTGACTCATTCAACCACTGCAGCCCTTCGAACATGAGTCAAGGTGGCCTGACGGCAGAATGCAAGAGGAATGCCTCTAAGAGTCACCTTGACTCATTCAACCACTGCAGCCCTTCGAACATGAGTCAAGGTGGCCTGACGGCAGAATGCAAGAGGAATGCCTCTAAGAGTCACCTTGACTCATTCAACCACTGCAGCCCTTCGAACATGAGTCAAGGTGGCCTGACGGCAGAATGCAAGAGGAATGCCTCTAAGAGTCACCTTGACTCATTCAACCACTGCAGCCCTTCGAACATGAGTCAAGGTGACCTGACGGCAGAATGCAAGAGGAATGCCTCTAAGAGTCACCTTGACTCATTCAACCACTGCAGCCCTTCGAACATGAGTCAAGGTGGCCTGACGGCAGAATGCAAGAGGAATGCCTCTAAGAGTCACCTTGACTCATTCAACCACTGCAGCCCTTCGAACATGAGTCAAGGTGGCCTGACGGCAGAATGCAAGAGGAATGCCTCTAAGAGTCACCTTGACTCATTCAACCACTGCAGCCCTTCGAACATGAGTCAAGGTGGCCTGACGGCAGAATGCAAGAGGAATGCCTCTAAGAGTCACCTTGACTCATTCAACCACTGCAGCCCTTCGAACATGAGTCAAGGTGGCCTGACGGCAGAATGCAAGAGGAATGCCTCTAAGAGTCACCTTGACTCATTCAACCACTGCAGCCCTTCGAACATGAGTCAAGGTGGCCTGACGGCAGAATGCAAGAGGAATGCCTCTAAGAGTCACCTTGACTCATTCAACCACTGCAGCCCTTCGAACATGAGTCAAGGTGACCTGACGGCAGAATGCAAGAGGAATGCCTCTAAGATTCACCTTGACTCATTCAACCACTGCAGCCCTTCGAACATGAGTCAAGGTGACCTGACGGCAGAATGCAAGAGGAATGCCTCTAAGAGTCACCTTGACTCATTCAACCACTGCAGCCCTTCGAACATGAGTCAAGGTGGCTTGACGGCAGAATGCAAGAGGAATGCCTCTAAGAGTCACCTTGACTCATTCAACCACTGCAGCCCTTCGAACATGAGTCAAGGTGACCTGACGGCAGAATGCAAGAGGAATGCCTCTAAGAGTCACCTTGACTCATTCAACCACTGCAGCCCTTCGAACATGAGTCAAGGTGACCTGACGGCAGAATGCAAGAGGAATGCCTCTAAGAGTCACCTTGACTCATTCAACCACTGCAGCCCTTCGAACATGAGTCAAGGTGGCTTGACGGCAGAATGCAAGAGGAATGCCTCTAAGAGTCACCTTGACTCATTCAACCACTGCAGCCCTTCGAACATGAGTCAAGGTGACCTGACGGCAGAATGCAAGAGGAATGCCTCTAAGAGTCACCTTGACTCATTCAACCACTGCAGCCCTTCGAACATGAGTCAAGGTGGCCTGACGGCAGAATGCAAGAGGAATGCCTCTAAGAGTCACCTTGACTCGTTCAACCACTGCAGCCCTTCGAACATGAGTCAAGGTGGCCTGACGGCAGAATGCAAGAGGAATGCCTCTAAGAGTCACCTTGACTCGTTCAACCACTGCAGCCCTTCGAACATGAGTCAAGGTGGCCTGACGGCAGAATGCAAGAGGAATGCCTCTAAGAGTCACCTTGACTCATTCAACCACTGCAGCCCTTCGAACATGAGTCAAGGTGGCCTGACGGCAGAATGCAAGAGGAATGCCTCTAAGAGTCACCTTGACTCATTCAACCACTGCAGCCCTTCGAACATGAGTCAAGGTGGCCTGACGGCAGAATGCAAGAGGAATGCCTCTAAGAGTCACCTTGACTCATTCAACCACTGCAGCCCTTCGAACATGAGTCAAGGTGGCCTGACGGCAGAATGCAAGAGGAATGCCTCTAAGAGTCACCTTGACTCATTCAACCACTGCAGCCCTTCGAACATGAGTCAAGGTGGCCTGACGGCAGAATGCAAGAGGAATGCCTCTAAGAGTCACCTTGACTCATTCAACCACTGCAGCCCTTCGAACATGAGTCAAGGTGGCCTGACGGCAGAATGCAAGAGGAATGCCTCTAAGAGTCACCTTGACTCATTCAACCACTGCAGCCCTTCGAACATGAGTCAAGGTGGCCTGATGGCAGAATGCAAGAGGAATGCCTCTAAGAGGAAGACAACGAAGGAATGAAAGATCACAGCAACTGAAACAAAGGTAGAAGAATTGCATGAGGATTGGAGGTGGCATGGACGAAGAGTCGGAGATAAAGAGTAAGCACTGCATGCAAGCGAGGCAGCCAAAAGAGGTGATTGGAATAAGGTGCAGAGCGGTGCAATGAGGTGTACCTGTCCAGCTCAATGAGCTCCACTGGAGAGAGCGAAAGGTTGTTGGCATCGGCGAGGGCCAATAGGAATGCGACACCTGTCTGCCTGTGCAGATGGCATGGCACAGCGGAAGAGATAGGAGCCAAGGTTGAACAAGACGATTTCAAACCCATGAGACATGGGTAAATATCACAAAGCATGTAAGGGCGTTGCAAGTGGATGGAGATAAACCCAGGAGCAGCGAGGTTAGGCAAAGCAGCGGGGTTATGGTTGCGGGGTTATGGTGCGACGATTTCAACGCAGCGAGGTTAAGGTTGCGGAATGCAGGGAGAATAGACAGGGGCGGGCGCATAGGTTATATCTTCGAGGCGCCTAAAGAAAAGGTGAACGTATTGCAAGGTGCATGGGTATATCCTACAGCTGCAGAGGAGCTAACGCCAGCACTGTCCATTCCTGGCTGCCCGCACATCACTCCCACCACTCCCTGCCATGGATTGGCAAGGTGGAGGCAGCACAGGAGAGGAGGAGAGAGCAGCAAATGTCAAGCGTTGGAGGAGGCACAGAGGAAGCTGGGATGTCAATGCTATATAGCGCAGCACACTCTCCATGTCCTGCTGGTACACTCTCCGGCAGCTGGGAAGCTGGGCACACTCTCCGTGTCCTGCTGGTACACTCTCCGGCAGCTGGGAAGCTGGGCACACTCTCCGTGTCCTGCTGGTACACTCTCCGGCAGCTGGGAAGCTGGGCACACTCTCCGTGTCCTGCTGGTACACTCTCCGGCAGCTGGGAAGCTGGGCACACTCTCCGTGTCCTGCTGGTACACTCTCCGGCAGCTGGGAAGCTGGGCACACTCTCCGTGTCCTGCTGGTACACTCTCCGGCAGCTGGGAAGCTGGGCACACTCTCCGTGTCCTGCTGGTACACTCTCCGGCAGCTGGGAAGCTGGGCACACTCTCCGTGTCCTGCTGGTACACTCTCCGGCAGCTGGGAAGCTGGGCACACTCTCCGTGTCCTGCTGGTACACTCTCCGGCAGCTGGGAAGCTGGGCACACTCTCCGTGTCCTGCTGGTACACTCTCCGGCAGCTGGGAAGCTGGGCACACTCTCCGTGTCCTGCTGGTACACTCTCCGGCAGCTGGGAAGCTGGGCACACTCTCCGTGTCCTGCTGGTACACTCTCCGGCAGCTGGGAAGCTGGGCACACTCTCCGTGTCCTGCTGGTACACTCTCCGGCAGCTGGGAAGCTGGGCACACTCTCCGTGTCCTGCTGGTACACTCTCCGGCAGCTGGGAAGCTGGGCACACTCTCCGTGTCCTGCTGGTACACTCTCCGGCAGCTGGGAAGCTGGGCACACTCTCCGTGTCCTGCTGGTACACTCTCCGGCAGCTGGGAAGCTGGGCACACTCTCCGTGTCCTGCTGGTACACTCTCCGGCAGCTGGGAAGCTGGGCACACTCTCCGTGTCCTGCTGGTACACTCTCCGGCAGCTGGGAAGCTGGGCACACTCTCCGTGTCCTGCTGGTACACTCTCCGGCAGCTGGGAAGCTGGGCACACTCTCCGTGTCCTGCTGCCCGCACAGCACCCGAACCACTCCGTGCCATGAGATGGCTAGGTGCAGGCATGGCGGAGGAGGGAGCATAGCTGCATAGGCATGTATGTCAATCATCAGAGGAGGCACAGCACAGGGGAGGTTGAGACCTAAATGCTCTCGACTTTTGAATTGGCTGAAGCGTCATCGGAGCATCTTTTTGAGACGTCTCAAAAATAACCTTGCTCCATGTGGACAAGATGCTCCGATGAAATGAGCATGACTTGTCCACATGACGTTTCAGCCATCCACCCACTCACCCGTTCCATTCCACTTTGAGGCTTTGAGACGTCTCAAAGCCACCCTTCTTTCACGCCACTTTGTGCCCTGCTTATAGCAGTGTGGGTGGACATCCCCCCTTCCCCCCTCTCCCCCCACAACCCCATCCCCCCCCCCTTACCTCCCTCCACCACCATCCCCCTTCCCCCCATACGCCATCCTTTATCCATCCTGCCAACCCCATCACACCCACCTGTTCCAGTCTGTGCCCTGCCTCTAGCAGCGCCCACACTGCCCCTCGGCTTTTGAGACGTCTCAAAGCCCGCCCACCCACCTGTTCCAGTCTGTGCCCTGCCTCTAGCAGCGCCCACACTGCTCCTCGGCCAAAGTTGCCCCAGCACTGCTCCTCCTCTGCTTCGCCTCCTCCTTCCTTCCTTTCCTTCTCTTCCGCGCCTCCATGACGATTGTTTGGCTGCTTCTGTCTCTTCACCGGCCTTGCTTGTGTGCTGCACACATGCCACCACATGCACAGTCATACAGTCACCATGCAATCGCAGACGTGATAACTAGATCGTTTTGGCAGACGTCTCGGAACAGACGTCTCGGAACAGACGTCTCGGAACAGACGTCTCGGAACAGACGTCTCGGAACAGACGTCTCGGAACAGACGTCTCGGAACAGACGTCTCGGAACAAACGTCTCGGAACAAACGTCTCGGAACAAACGTCTCGGAACAAACGTCTCACGCCTGGCTGCTTCTCTCCCTTCACCGGCCGGCCTTGCTTGTGTGCTGCCCACACATGCCGTTGTGCCATGCCGTGCACATTGTGACAATGACAATCAATGGATGGACATGAGATGAGATGCATCCCTGAAAACACGAGCTGAGCCGAGAATTTCACTTCACAGTGCTTCTGAGCTGCAGTGACACGACATGGCAGTAAGTTGACCTAGAGATGCGCGACGAATTGAGCTGAACCCACCTGAAGGAGAATCGCACGGTGCCTCTGAACTGGAGAGACGCGACAACAACCTGCCAGCGCACAGGTAGGAATTGAGGCAAAGTTCCGGTCAGAATGCAGTGAATGCAGAGAAAGGAGAGGAGGTTGACTGATGAACCCATGCAAGAAGGCGAGTGGGTGTGGGTGTGAACCAAGAGGTGAGAGGTGGCTTTTGAGTCGACTCAAAAGCCACCTCGAATGCAGTGAATGCAGAGAAAGGAGAAGTTGACTGACGAACCCATGCAAGAAGGCGAATGGGTGTGGGTGTGAACCAAGAGGTGAGAGGTGGCTTTTGAGTCGACTCAAAAGCCACCTCGAATGAAGTGAATGCAGAGAAAGGAGAAGTTGACTGATGAACCCATGCAAGAAGGCGAATGGGTGTGGGTGTGAACCAAGAGGTGAGAGGTGGCCTTTGAGTCGACTCAAAAGCCACCTCGAATGAAGTGAATGCAGAGAAAGGAGAAGTTGACTGATGAACCCATGCAAGAAGGCGAATGGGTGTGGGTGTGAACCAAGAGGTGAGAGGTGGCTTTTGAGTCGACTCAAAAGCCACCTCGAATGAAGTGAATGCAGAGAAAGGAGAAGTTGACTGATGAACCCATGCAAGAAGGCGAATGGGTGTGGGTGTGAATCAAGAGGTGAGAGGTGGCTTTTGAGTCGACTCAAAAGCCACCTCGAATGAAGTGAATGCAGAGAAAGGAGAAGTTGACTGATGAACCCATGCAAGAAGGTGAATGGGTGTGGGTGTGAACCAAGAGGTGAGAGGTGGCTTTTGAGTCGACTCAAAAGCCACCTCGAATGAAGTGAATGCAGAGAAAGGAGAAGTTGACTGATGAACCCATGCAAGAAGGCAAATGGGTGTGGGTGTGAACCAAGAGGTGAGAGGTGGCTTTTGAGTCGACTCAAAAGCCACCTCGAATGAAGTGAATGCAGAGAAAGGAGAAGTTGACTGATGAACCCATGCAAGAAGGCGAATGGGTGTGGGTGTGAACCAAGAGGTGAGAGGTGGCTTTTGAGTCGACTCAAAAGCCACCTCGAATGAAGTGAATGCAGAGAAAGGAGAAGTTGACTGATGAACCCATGCAAGAAGGTGAATGGGTGTGGGTGTGAACCAAGAGGTGAGAGGTGGCTTTTGAGTCGACTCAAAAGCCACCTCGAATGAAGTGAATGCAGAGAAAGGAGAAGTTGACTGATGAACCCATGCAAGAAGGTGAATGGGTGTGAACCAAGAGGTGAGAGGACGACAGCGCGCAGACAGAGGAAAGAAGAAGAGGGGGAGAGAGGGAAGAGACGATGACATGAATAGGTGAGTATAGGCATATTGGCAGGGGGGAGGCTCACCTGGGGAGTGGGAGTGGAGAGGCTAACCTGAGGAGTGGGAGTGGAGAGGCTAACCTGAGGAGTGGGAGTGGAGAGGCTAACCTGAGGAGTGGGAGTGGAGAGGCTAACCTGAGGAGTTGGGGTGGGGAGGAAAAAGAAGCGAACCCCCGTGTTGATGGCTGCCGCAAGCACTGGACCCCCCTGATGAGGCGAGGAGGGAGAGGAGAGGAGAGGAGACGAGGTGAGAGGAGAGGAGAGCGGAGGCGAGGAGAAAGAATCGAGAGATGTTGAGGAGGAGGAATGACATCTGAAGTGAGAAGAAGGAAGAGGCTGACACCAGAATGGATCGATTGAATTTTAGTCTCGTGATAACAGATCACCGCCTAAGGATGACCAGTCCTCGAGAGACGGGAACCAATGTCACGAGACATCATCATCATCACTTGCTGAACGAACAAAACGCGAATTGACATCTGAAGTGAGGAGAAGGACGAGGCTGACACCACACCAGAATGGATCTATTTTCAGAGTCCTCGAGAGACGAACTGGAGCCAATGTCACGGCACGAGACATTATCATCACTTGGTGAACGAACAAAACGCGAATTCCTTACCTGGTGGTCGATGTGAGCTCCTAACGGGCAGATTCTGTAGGGAGCGAACGCGGTCTTCGCTTTAGTCACATCGCAGGCGAGGCCGCTGCCGCCGGTACTACCGAGGTCGCCTGGAGCGGGATGGACGAGCGGCAGCAGTTTCAGCAGCTCAGCACGAAGCACCCCCTCCATGGCAGTCAACTGCTACGGAAAACACAGAAGTCTGTTTTATACCAAAGCTGCAGGTTTCCGAATTGCTGTCTGACAAGTTTATGAAGTAAACGGCTGTGAAGCAAAGCACAGAGCACGGACTCAGCAAAAATGGATTCGGGATTGGGGTGGGGAGAGTTTCGGGGCAGCGAAAGAACGATATAGAAAGGTGAAAACTGGTGGATAATGGCACACTTCGGTGACCCTGCTGATGACGATAGTTGAGCGGGGTTGAAATGTCACATCTATGTCAAACTTGGCGGGCTTCACTCGGTTGAGAGCGATTCTGACATAACTCCGCCCCATCTGCATTATGAATGCTGCACAAACACTATCTATTTTCTTGTGCCACACGTATTTACCAAAACTGACACATGAGCAAGAGATCAGAAAAAAATCAGCACATCCATGCACCAGCATCCACCAGTCTATAATATAGACCTATCTACAAAAACTTGTCTTACAACGAATAAATATTGATCCTATCGAAATTGTGGAACAAAATCCCTTAGCATTTACTGCAACAGGGCGATAAATAAACCACCTCGAAGCACACAGCATTCCCCTTCTCCCATCAATTACATCTCCATAACCTACAATTCCATCACCAATACCATAACAATTTTAGCCAGGGCTCCGAGAGTGGTTGAAGCACAACCCATAGACTCTCTTGCGCTGCCCAGCCTTTCATTCCCTGACCCCACAATGTCGCCCTCCTAACAGTACTTGTCTCGGCTGCTTCACACTGGCCTCCTCAACCCATCTTGGCAGTGTGGTCAGAAACTGCCGAAAAAGGCTGCTCCTAGAGACCATCCTTGAAGCTAGGACCGCTGCTGCTTCCCATCACTCTTTCAACCACACAAGATGCTTTCCTCCTCCTGCTCCAAGATTCCCAATGCATCATGCACCCCCGGCCTGCTCACAAATCTTTGATCACATTGAAGACGTATTACCAAACCCACTGTCTCAGCAGACCAACTACGGTACCTCATCAAACCCACTATCTCACCAACCCCGAAAGCTCACCAGCCCTACTGCTTCACCCTACTACCTTACCACACCCACCACCTCAACAGCTGCATTCTCCCACCAACCCTGCTACTGCTACTGTACCACACTATGCTACTGCTGCACCCTGCTACCTCACAACCCTCACTATCTCACCAGCCCTACTGCTTCACCCTACTACCTCACAACCCTCGGTATCCCACCATCACTACTGCTCCACGCCCTCTTACATCACCACCCTTTCTATCCCACCTGCCCTATCGCCTCACCCTGCTACCTCACCACCCCTGAACGATTTTCTCCCTCGTTGCCCGCCTCTCCTCCATCCGCTGATTCTTACTCTCCTTATCGTCCCTGCCCCCCTTCGCCGGTCCAAACCCCGACAGCCAATGGGCAAGGTGCCTTTTCAGTCTACTCAAAATTCGACCCTACCACCCCTTCACGATTTTCTCCCTTGTTGCCCGCCACTCCTCCGTCCGCTGACTCATCATGATCTCCTCCTCCTCCCTGCCCCCTTTCGCCAGCCCAAACCCCGACAGCTGATGCGCTGGGTGCCTTTTCAACGTACTCAAAACTCGACCCTACCACCCCTTAACGATTTTCTCCCTTGTTGCCCGCCGCTCCTCCATTCGCTGACTCGCAGTCTCCTCATCATCTCTGCCCCCCTTCGCTGGCCCAAACCCTGACAGCCGATGCGCTGGGTGCTTCTCAGGAGGCCCAGAGGACGGGTCCAAAAGAGACAAGATATGCGAAGCCCAGTACAGGGACTCCGGCGGGCCTTCGTCTTGCACTCTTTTCACTGCAACGAGTCCGCCACTAGCGAGGATGTAAGTCGCGGATACCTTGTTAGAGGACAGGACGTAGAGGGCCCACGCGGCATTCTTTGACGCCTCGGGATTATCGTTCTGACACAGCAGGTCTAGGAGGAGGGGACACGCGCCTGCTCCCGCTACAGTCAGCTTGTTCTCGTCGTGATTCACAGCGAGTGTGCCTAAAGCGAGCGCCGCTTTCTCCTGCTCGGGAGGCGAGCCTTCTTTCAGCATAGTCACGAGAGCTGGGACACCCCCTGCTTCCGCTACAGCCGTCTGATTCCTAACATTGTTGGCCGTGAGCTGCGCTAGAGCCTCTGCAGCCTCCTGCTTCGCTTCACTCTCAGAATCCGATTGGATAATTGCGACTAACGACGGGACAGCCTCTGACGCGGCAATTATAACCTTATTCTCCGTGTTCACCGCTAAGTTCCACAGCACCCGCGCCGCGACCGCTCTCGCCTCTGCACCCCCGGTGCGCAGGAGCGACACAAACGACGGCACGCACCCCGCTTTAGCGATCACAACTCGGTTCTCGTCTAAGCACGCGAGGCGCAGCAGCACGCGCGCGGCGGCTAGTTTCGTCGGCTCCCCGGGACTGTCGGGGAGAGTGAGGAGGACAGACAGCACCGGAACCGCGCCCGCTGCGGCCACGCTAAGCTTCCCCTCATCCGTTTCCGCCAGCTCTAGCAGCGCCGCCAGCGCCGCGCGCTTCTCCGCGTTCGACCCGTCCATGAGCGCGGAGACGAGCACCCGCGCGTGGTCGGATTCCGAACAAATGCTGCTCACGCTGGGGGGAGCGCGGGGGTATTCCGACGTAAATCGGACTTGGGATGGCGTGTAACCAGAAACCGTTATCTCTCCGTTACCGTCTGCGCGCATCTCCTCCGACCCGCCAGCGGGCCTCGCGGCATTCGCCCGTCGCACGTTCGGGATGTCCATCGAGAACTCCCCGGGAGTGCCGCGCGCCGCTGCAACGTCAGCAGCGTCCGTGGAGGAGAACGAGCGGGGCATCGCCTCGCCCGCCGTCCCGGGCCGATTCAACTCCGGCACCAGGCGCCGCTGCTGCTGCTGTGAATGGCGATCCCCGTGACCGCCATAAACCCCGTGAATCCCGTGCGCGCCGCGGGACACCTGCTCTGGCAAGCCGTCGCTTCCTGACCGCGGAAGCGCGCGGGGCCGGGGACTATGCGCACCGGATTGCCTGCCTCTGTTCCAAGCGCGGGGGGAGCGGTCTACCATGGGGCTGGAAGGGAGAATCACCTCGGTTGAAAAACCCCGCTGCAAGCCTCCACCCGCGGAACCATAATCCGAGCCTAGTCGCTCCGGAGCGTCTCCGCTGATGATTCCGCCGGCACCTCCGCCGATGCCTCCGCGGCCGGTGTTGGCGCCGCCTGTTGCGGGAGGGACGCCGGTAGCGCTGCGCGGCGGGTAGGTGCTTCGACCGTGGAAATTGTCCTGGCCAATCAGAATGAGGCATTCCGTGTGGCACTGGCGGATCTCCGCTAAACATGTCTCCAGCCGCTCCGCGATTTCCGATCGGCGCTTGAAGCGGAACATTATGCCGAGCACGGAGGCCTTAGTGCTGGTCTCTAGAAGATGCTTCGCCTCCTGTAACTCTGTAACCAGACGCTCGAAGACGAAGGTGGCTCTGGGGTCGTGGATGAGGCTCATGGACGAAGCCTGCAGCCGGCGAAGCACGGGAAGAAGCTGCTGCGTACGCGTCGCAATCCGATCCGTTAGAAGCCGGTGGGAGCGTGACTGCGACGCCGTAGCGGCTATTTGCAGAATGCGCTCTGCGAGGGATATCGCTGTCGCCAGCTCGGCTAACACGCGACGATCGGCATTGTCTGAACCTGTTTCGGCGTCTCCGACATTTTTAGCGGGGTGACGATTGCCCGAAGCACGGCCGTGACGGGAACTATCATGATGGTTTCGCTGGCTGCGATGACGATTATCATTATCGTGATCTGAGACGGGTTGGATCTCGGCCTCCATTCTGTGCCGTTCTCTCAGCGGCACAACGCAAATAGCTTAGCTTGAAGCGACACTAAAGCTTTTGCTTTGGGTTTAAAGCTTATTGTATTCAACTGCGGATACAAAAATGAAAGTGGGTGAGCAGAATAGAAGTCCTGACTGAAAAGTGATGATACTACGGCCTGCGAGAAAATGTTCTAGTAGAGACATGGTGCAAGACTTGACCATAAAGAATTGAAGTAAAAGATGAGGGGAGGAGGATATGAACAGAAGAACTACGCAATGGTTGTGGAGTGGACCAGCAACATCGGAGATCGATTGAAGAGATGATGATGGTAGGTCCAACACTACTGTAGCACATCCAACGAGTCCCAACGAACTGGGACGAAAATCTAACGACTTACGAGTGACTTCGCAAACCAATGAGTAAAAAGCACCGCCGAACCAGGCCTAGGGGCAAGTGGACACGCGTGTGCGCTGGAAGAGTGGCTTGCGAGGGGGGGAGTGAAGGGTCTGTCTGTGTGGTGCCAGAAGCCTTGGGAGCTGTGGGACTAAAACGAGGTGTGCAGATTGGAGCCTTGAGAGTGTCACCGCCGGCTGTGGGAGAGGGAAAAGGAACTTCGGGAAGACTTGCGGGTGTGTGATACAAACGGAGCGCGGCGCCAGTGCGGTGGTGGCTGGCGTTTATGGCATGGGTGGGTGATATCGAAAAAACACCCTGCGAACAGCAACTAGCCTCAGTGGATTGAATCATCTCAATACGGTACAATCATAGAAGCCTGTAAAATCATAACCCAAGGCCTCAACACAAACCTAAAACAAGCCTCGGTTCGGCGCTGCAATCAACATCACATTGAACTATAAGTTGTATGACAGTAACTTGGAAGCTCAATAAATACCACCAAACATTCTTAGTGTGCGGAAGAAGCAAAGGAACCCCTTGTACCACTGCAGCCCTCCTGCTTCTGCTTCTGCTGCCTCCCTCATCAATCTGACCAACTCCAACACAAGCCGCTGATCCTCCACATTACTGCAAGGAACAGCGACAAGAGTAGGAAAACCAATAAATACAGAGACACATAATGAAGCAAGATACAAACAAGAAACAGGCCTGAGAAGAAGAGAAGAAAGAGAACCACAACAACAACAGAAACAGCAGGAGGTGCGGTAATGTCAGCCACGCAATGATGTCCTGCATGCACAGCTTCGGATCGCAGCAGCAGACACAGTGATTCCTCCCTGCGGTGCGATTACTGAGACATCTCAGTCTCACCTCAACAACGCTTACCAGTGCGACGGCGTCAGCCAAGCAATGATGTTCTGCAAGGCATCGGACCGCAGCGGCAGACGCAGCAAATCCTCTCTCTGGTGCGATTCTTGACATGTTTCATCTCGCAACTCACCAGTGCGGAGAGGTCAGCCAAGCAATGATGTCCTGCACGGCATCCGATCGCAGCAGAAGCCTGAGCGAGTCCTCCCTGCGGTGTGCCTCCACGCGCACCAGAATAGCCAGGTGGCGCTGAAACGTGAGCGTCAGCTCCGCAACACTCAGCCGCGCCTCTAGGTACTCCGCGTCCCCTCCCCCTCCCCTGCTCCCTGCTCCTCCCCTTGCTCCTCCTCCTGCTCCTCCCGCTGCTGCTCCTCCTGCTCCTACGCTTCCTCCTCCTTGTGCTGCTGATGCTGCTGCTGCAGTTTCTGGTGCTGCTATTCGTTCTGTGCTTGCAGCAGCTGCTGCTGCTTCTCCTAGTGCCGACTCTGGCTGTGGCGATGAGCCTACAGGGAATGACGGTGGAGTGCCGTTCGGTGGTGTGCTCTGTGGTGCTGTGCTGTGCGGTGGTGTGCTCTGCGGTGGTGTGCTGTGCGGTGCTGCATTACACAGCGCACCGCTGCTGGTATCATTGGGTGCTGTGCTGGTGGGAGTATGCGGGCCGGAACCTGGAGATATGGATGGAGCTGGTAGGGCAGTGGACGCTGGAAGAGGCCTAGACGGGGAGGGCTGCTGTGGTGATGAGTCGGCAGCAAGCAGTGATGAGTCGGCAGCAAGCAGTGATGAGTCGGCAGCAAGCAGTGATGAGTCGGCAGCAAGCAGTGATGAGTCGGCAGCAAGCAGTGATGAGTCGGCAGCAAGCAGTGATGAGTCGGCAGCAAGCAGTGATGAGTCGGCAGCAAGCAGTGATGAGTCGGCAGCAAGCAGTGATGAGTCGGCAGCAAGCAGTGATGAGTCGGCAGCAAGCAGTGATGAGTCGGCAGCAGGAGAAGTGGTGGCGGCTGTTGCTGCCCCACCCTCCCCTGCCCTCTCGGCAGCTGCACTGGCAGCAGCAGCACCAGCAGCACCAGCAGCAGCACCAGAACCAGAATCACTAGCACCACCAGCACCAAGACCAGAAGCAGGCCCAGTACCAACAGCACCAGAAGAATCACCAGCACCACTACTGGCAGGATCACCACTAGCAGCAGCAGAGGAGTCACCAGCACCACTACCACCACCACCACCGGCAGCAGCAGCACCCCGTACATCAGCAGCAGCAGCAGCAGCAGTGGCACCAGAATCACCACCCCCTACATCAGAACTAGCAGCAGCAGCAGCCCAGGTGACATGGTCCTCTAGCCGCGGCGGCCACTCAGCGCGAGACACCACCTCAGCCTCCACAACCCCTCCTCCAAAGTGACTACTCCCATCATTCCACCGCTCCCGCCTCGACGCACTCCTAGACAGCGACCGGGAGAGGGAGCGGGAAAGCGACCCTGGTAGCCCCGCCGCTGCCAGCTCCCCTTCGATCTCCGCCACGATCTCCCGCCGCGACGAGCTTCGCGACATGGACTGCCGCACGACCGGCAAAACACCTGAGAATTCTCCTGAGAGGTCACGGCGGGAGCCGCTACGGGACAAGGAAAAGCCGCCCAGGCTGCCAGGGCCAGGCAAGCCGGTCAAGGCGGCAGCAGAAGGGGAGGGGGAGAGGCCGGAAGAAGCAGGGGAGTCTGCGGGAGCAGCGCGGCGAGAAGCACTCCTGGAGAAGGTCAGAGGTGAGTCGGGTACGATCTCTCTGCGAGATATCCCGGGCCGGGTCACAGGCGTTCCCGGTACTCCTGCTGCTAGCACCGCTCCTAGTCCCCCTGCTACAGGCCGGGGTGAGTCGGGGACGATCTCGCGGCGCGAGCTGCTTCGAGAAAACAGGCCCGGGTTTCCCATGGAAACAGGGGCGCGCGGCGAGTCGGGGACGATTTCGCGGCGGGAGCTGCTTCTAGCGAGGCTGTACGCGCCTATGGCTGACGCCCATGCTGATGCCTCTGCTGCTGCAGGTGGTGGTACGTCCTGTGAGCTGGACCCGCTCCTCACAATCGACCCACCCCTGCTGCCGATAATCATAGCCCCCCCTGCAGCTTCGGCTATGCCTGTTGTTCCCACACCTGCCGCTCCTGCTGTCACTCCTGCTGTCACTCCTGCTGCTCCTGCTGCTGCTGCTGCTGCTGCTGCTGTTGCTCCTGCTCCGGGCAGTTCGTGGCGGGAACTGCTACGGGACATGGAAAAGGAGAGAAGGTCAGCGCTCCGGGACACACCTCCTCCTCCTCCCCCTCCTGCTCCTGCTCCGGGCAGTTCGTGGCGGGAACTGCTACGGGACACACCTCCTCCTCCTCCCCCTCCTGCTCCTGCTCCGGGCAGTTCGTGGCGGGAACTGCTCCGGGACATGGAGGAGTGAGGCGCCTCAAAATACACCTCGTGGCGGGAACTGCTCCGGGACATGGAGGAGAGAAGGTCAGTAGCAGAGCCACCCGCAATGCCCTCTCGCTTTGACAGGCTCCGCACAAGAACACTGATGTTGCTGCGACGCCCGCTCGTGGACCCCACGCCCCCCCGCTCCATTCCTGCTGCCATCCCTGCCAGGCCAGGCATACCACCACCCACTGCCACTCCCAACAACTGCTGCTGCTGCTGGGTTGAATGCTCCTGCTGACTTGACTGCTGCTGCTGGTGGTGGTGGCTAGCAATCCTAGAGCTCAGGACCTGGGCGTCGCTTTTCCCTGCGGGCATGCGGGCGACGGTGACGTCGCCCACAGCAGCACCGAGGAGAGCTTGGGAGAGCACGGCGTAGAGCTGGGACTTGGCCAGGTGGTGGGTCCACGCCGTGCTGCCCATGCCATGGGTTTTGCAGAGTAGGAAGCGGTGGTGAACGGTCAGGAGGAGCTGCGCTGGGTGCTGCTGCTGGAGAGATGTGGTGGTTGCTGGATTGGCTGGTTGTGCAGCAGGAGCAGCAGCAGTGTCAGGAGCAGCGGTAGCGGCAGCGGCTGCAGCAGCAGCAGCAGACTTGTTGCAATGGAGTAGGAAGGTGTAGAGCACATGTGGTCTGAACCAGGCTGCCACATCACCCATATCCATCCCTCCCCACCCATCCCCACACATCCCCTCACCCGTCCCTTCACCCATCCCTGCACCACCCCTACCCCCTCCCCCTCCCCCTCTCCCTCCCCCTCCCACACTCCCTGTCCTACCCCCGCCCTTCCCTCTCCTCTCCAATCTCCTCAGCTCCCGGCGGTTACACCACGCTATGAACCCATTCACCATCTCATATAACAACACCAACGCCGCAGGCACGAGCAGCAGCACGAGCGCGCACACAAACAGCCCCGTAGCGGCCGCCGGCACAACCACATAGCTCTTCCCCGTGAGAGCAACCGTAAAGAGAAGCTCAGAGAGAGCGAGGAGGGAGGAGAGGAGGTCGAGGGAGAGCGAGGAGTGCGGGGAGGCGGCGAAGTGGAGGCCGATGTGGATGGCTTGCAGAGGGAGCGTGACAGAGAGCTGTGTCTCGGGGGACGTGCAGGGGAAGACTGCCAGGGAGGCTATGAACAGCCGCCGCGTGTAGCACGTGAGGTGCCACCTGGGGGAAGGGGGCAGGGGGAGGTGGAGGAGGGAACAAGAAATTGAAGCCAGGGTCGGGTGCTTGTGTGTGTGTGTGTGTGTGTGTGTGTGTGTGTGTTTTTGTTTTTTTTTGTTTTTTAGAATTCTAAAAAAAAACTCAGGCGTTGTGAAACGACAGGTTGCTCTGCCACTTGACCTTGAGGCGATGAGAGGAGCCATGAAGGTCAAGTGGCAGAGCAACTACATGTGGTTGGTGCAGAGATACATTCTTGGTTGGCTTTTGAGTCGACTCAATCAAAACGAGGAGACTTTTGAGTCGACTCAATCAAAACGAGGTGACTTTTGAGTCGACTCAATCAAAACGAGGTGACTTTTGAGTCGACTCAATCAAAACGAGGTGACTTTTGGTTGAGTCGACTCAAAAGTCACCTCGAGAGGAGCCATGCAGGTCAAGTGGCAGAGCAACTACATATGGTTGGTGCCGAGATACATGCTTGGTTGGCGTACCAGTAATAGTGATCGTCGTATCGGTTCACCATCCATCCCCACCTCCTCTTGTATGCATGCACATCCCACAGCCCCCTCCTCCCCTCCTCTCCCTTCTGCCTCCGTCTCCTTCCATCCTCTCCCCTCCCCTCCCCTTTCCCCACCTCTCCTCCCCGCTCCCGCCCCCATCCCCCTCTCCCACACCATAACACCATGGCATGCCCCACAGGTAACCCCCCCCCATATAACATCAACACCACTACAGACAAAGCAAACATGGTGTTGTGGGCGGCGGAGAACCAGACGATAGTCGGGGCGGCGGCGAGCGTCTGTATCCCGTAGAAGTACGGGTGGAGGGCTTGCAGGCAGCGGTAAATGACTGGCGCGTAGCAGAGGTCTAACCAGCTGGTTACCCCGTGAAATAGGGTGTAATTAAAGGGGTCAGAGTGGGTGTGGTGGGATGGAGGGTGGTTGGGGGAAGCAGTGTCTTCTGCTCCTATGTTGCTGGTAATAGCAGTAGCAGCGGGAGCAGCAGCAGCAGCAGCAGCAGCAGCAGGAGGAGGAGGAGGAGGGGAAGTGGAGGTGGTAACTGCAGCGGTAGAGGTGCTTTTGCTACGGAAAACAAACAGGTAGAGCTTGCGCAGGGCAAAAATTGCGACGTAAACGAGGAGGCCTATAAGGGGTACGAGCATGGTGACTGCCCATTCCTGCTCGTAGCCGAAGGGTGTGGTGCAAGCAGGTGCAATCAGGTCCTGAAGGGTGCATGCATGAGGGCATAAGGGATGGGGATAAGGGAGGAGAAGGGGCGGAGATAGAGGGGAGAAGGTGGGTGAGTGGGGGGAGATCGAATGGTGGCTGCCCATTCCTGCTCGTAGCCGAAGGGTGTGGAGAATGCCGGTGCTACCGCGTCCTGATGGTTTCGGGTTTAGGGTGAAGAATATGGAATCGCAATGAGGATGGGGAGATGGGATAGGAGATGGCGGAAATGGGGGATGGGGTAGAAGGAAGCAGAGAGAAAGTGCATGAAGGGGGCGAGAGAGATTGAATGAAGGGAACATGGGTGGTCACAGTTGAAGGGTGTGGAATGAAGGGTGTGGAATGAAGGGTGTGGAATGAAGGGTGTGGAATGAAGGGTGCGGAATGAAGGGTGTGGAATGAAGGGTGTGGAAGGAAGGGTGTGGAAGGAAGGGTGTGGAAGGAAGGGTGTGGAATGAAGGGTGTGGAATGAAGGGTGTGGAATGAAGGGTGTGGAAGGAAGGGTGTGGAATGAAGGGTGTGGAATGAAGGGTGTGGAAGGAAGGGTGTGGAAGGAAGGGTGTGGAAGGAAGGGTGTGGAGCATGCTGGTGATAGAAGTAGTGTATTGAGATGTCTCAAAACACTACTTCTATCAATTGAATGAAGGGAACATGGGTGGTCACATTTGAAGGGTGGGGGGGAGCATGCTGGTGTCTTTTGAGGCGCCTCAAAAGTGGTCACAGCTGAAGGGTGAGGAGTGGAAGATGCTGGTGGTGCTATCACATGGTATCAGTCACAGGGCTTTTCCTTAGAATGACTCAGCACGCTTTTCTTAGAATGACTCAGCACACAGCAGCACTTACACAGCGTCATTCACACAGAAGCACTCACAGGAATGTTCTAGAATGACTCAGCACACAGCAGCACTTACACAGCGTCACTCACACAGCAGCACTCACGGGGATGAAGAGTGAGAGCTGGAAGAGCTGAATGAAGGGGTTGAGCCAGGTGGGGAGCGGTACGGTGTAGGATGCAATGAGTGAGAGCAGCTGCAGGTCCGTGAGGAAGATGGCTGCAGAGTGGAAGGCGGATGAGAGTAGTGCCATGGCCGCCCACGCTAGGAGGATCAGAATAAGGAAGAGCGGGAAGAGCTGCAAAAAGGGGAAAGAAGGGGGGCCAAGGGGGTGGAGGGGGGCCAAGGGGGTGGAGTGGTGATGGGGAGGGATGGAGAGGGGTTGGGGGTGGCACAAGCCAGGGGGAAGCGGGAGAGGGGCCACTGGGCCAGTTGTAAGTTGCAATGAGAGCAAGTAGGTGCAGGCCTGTGAGGACGATGGGTGGTGCGTGGAAGGCGGATGAGAGTAGTGCCATGGCCGCCCAGGCGAGCAGAATCAGCGTGAGGAAGAGTGGGAAGAGCTGTGTGGTAGGGGGTGGGGGGGGGAGGGGGCAGAGGCAATGAGTGCGAGCAGGTGCAGGTCTGTGAGGACGATGGCTGCAGCGTGGAAGGCGGAGGCGGAGGAGAGCAGTGCCATGGCCGCCCAGGCGAGCAGAATCAGCGTGAGGAAGAGTGGAAAGAGCTGTGTGGTAGGGGGTGGGAGGGGAGGGGGCAGAGGCAATGAGTGCGAGCAGGTGCAGGTCTGTGAGGACGATGGCTGCAGCGTGGAAGGCGGAGGCGGAGGAGAGCAGTGCCATGGCCGCCCAGGCGAGCAGAATCGGCGTGAGGAAGAGTGGGAAGAGCTGTGTGGTAGGGGGTGGGGGGGGAGGGGGCAGAGGCAATGAGTGCGAGCAGGTGCAGGTCTGTGAGGACGATGGCTGCAGCGTGGAAGGCGGAGGCGGAGGAGAGCAGTGCCATGGCCGCCCAGGCGAGCAGAATCAGCGTGAGGAAGAGTGGGAAGAGCTGCGGGGAGGGGGGAGGTCGGGGGGGGGGGGGGGGAGAGAGAGAAAGGGGGGACAATGACAAAGGGATGAGGAAGATTGCTGCTGCGTGGAAGGCGGAGGAGAGAAGTGCCATGGCCGCCCAGGCTAGGAGGATGAGGGTGAGGAAGAGCGGGAAGAGCTGCGGAGAGGGGGGAGGTCGGGGGGGGGGTTGGAGGAGGGACCGAACCGCAGCAAGCGGTTCGAACCCACATCTTCGTGCGCGAGAGGGGAAGGGGGGTTGGAGGAGGGACGGGGGAGTGAAGGGAACGGGGTGGGGGAGCGGGAGGGAGAGCGGGCGGGGGACTTTAGTGGACAGGTTTTTGAGGTCCCTCAACAAGGACTCACATTGGTGAGAGTGGCGGTGCAGGAGTGGCACTCCATGAGCAGAGAGTAGAAGCTGGAAGCACACTCAGAGCACAGCCGCACCTGGGCATACCCCTCCCCACACTGCTGGCGCGCCCACCTACCCCCTCATCAGCTCATCACAAGGCAAGGCACTCACATTGGTGAGAGTGGTGGTGCAGGCGTGGCACTCCCTGAGCAGAGCGTAGAAACCTGAAGCGCACTCAGAGCACAGCCGCACTTGGGCGTACCCCTCCCCGCACTGCCCGTACTCCCCAACACCCCCCTCAACCCCTCCGCACCGCGACTGCTCCCCCTCCCCTCCGCCGCACACCGCCGCCGCCACACCCCCGCCTTGCGCCGAGCCCGAATCCGGATTCGGGTAAAGCTGAGAATCGCTTCCATTTTGGAGGGTAGAAGCTTGGAACCCGGGGCACCCGTTGAGAACATCACACGAATACACCACCACCTGCCCGTTCGCCACACTCCCCGGATCCAGCCAGTACCCCGCCGCCACGTCAGCAACGCCGTCGGCGCAGGTCATAGCGGGGAGGTGGGTGCGGGCGTTGGTGGTGTTGGGACAGGGGAGGCAGTCAGTGGGGGAGGTGGCACCTGGGCGGAAGGAGAAGGTGCCATCTGGGCAGTGCTGCGCGCCCCTGCCAGGCCCGCAGTAGCTGCCGATGGGACAGATGGTGCATCTCATCAGGCTGTTTTGAGGATTCTGAGGATTCTGAGGATTCTGAGGATTCTGAGGATTCTGAGAATGGTCAGATGTGAGAGGGGATGATCCACCCACGGTGGTGTTTGTGGTGGTGGCGGTGGTGTTGACAGTGGTGGTGGTGGTGGTGGTGGTGGTGGTGGTGGTGGTGGTGGTGGTGGTGGTGGTGGTGGTGGTGGTGGTGGTGGTGCTGCTGCTGCTGCTGCTGCTGCTGCTGCTGCTGCTGCTGCTGCTGCTGCCGCCGCCGCTGCTGCTATTGTAGTTGTTCGTGCCGTTCCCTGCTGTTTCGTAATACTGCCCGGCCGGGCAGAAAACAATCTCCAGCGTGCGCTGAAACGGCGGGAACGCGTTCAGCGGGCTGCTGACGGCCACGGCCAATGACAGCACGCCAGCTGTCGCGCCGGGAGCATCAGTGGGAGCAGCAGAAGAAGCAGCAGCGATGGGATCGCCACCAGTAGAAGCAGCAGTAGGGTTGCCAGTTGAGGTATCGGTGGGGTCAGCGGTAGGAAGAGCAGGAGTGAGGGAGGGAGTGAGGGAGGGTGGGAGTTGGACGATGGTGATGGGCGGCACAGTGACAGTGCCGCCCACTGCTGTTGCTCTGAGCTCACCCGCAATGAAGGGGCTTGGCACCACCTCCACCAGCACCGAGTCATCCTGATGTGGAGAGGGGGGGAGAGGCAGAAGGGAAAGATGGGAGAGGTGTGTGTGATGGGCACAGTGACAGTGCCGCCCACTGCTGTTACGTGAGGTTCACCCGACATAAAGGGGCTTGGCACCACCTCCACCAACACCGAGTCATCCTGATGTGATGGGGAGAAGATGGGTAAGAAAGGGTGAGAGATGTGAAGGGAGCGGCACAGTGACAGTGCCGCCCACTGCTGTTGCTCGTAGCTCCCCCGAGATGAATGGGCTTGGCACCACCTCCACCAGCACCGAGTCATCCTGATGTGATGGGAGGGGGGGAGAGAGGGGGGAGGGAGAAGATATGCGATGAGGACAGCAACAGCGAGCACAGCACCGCATCGCATCGCATCGCATCGCACAACACAGCACTGCACCGCACAGCACAGCACAGCACAGCACAGCACAGCACAGCACGGCACGGCACGGCACGGCACGGCACGGCACGGCACGGCACGGCACGGCACGGCACGGCACGGCACGGCACGGCACGGCACTGCACTGCACTGCACTGCACTGCACAGCACAGCACAGCACAGCACAGCACAGCACAGCACAGCACAGCACAGCACAGCACAGCAGACTCACACTGGACGCCAAGAGGCCGGCGGCGTCGAGCAGCGTGACGTGCAGCCCTGAGACGGGGTTGGCCATGTCCCCCCACACCCTGTACCGTGTTTCTCCCCCCGGGTCCCGCTCGCCACTGCCCTCCCACCTGGTGAAGGCACAGCGCACAGCACACAGGAGAGGGGTGGAGAGCGGTGGAGAGGAGTAGAGAGGGGTGAAGAAGCAGCATCGAGCAGAGTGACGTGCAGCCCTGGGACGGGGTTGGCCATGTCCCCCCTCATCCTGTAGCGCATGGAGGGCTGAAAGGTGGCGCCTCAAGTGTGCCTCAAGTAACACACAGAGGCTGCCATGCCTCCCGCTCACCCACTCACTCACCCACTCACCCACTCACTCACCCACTCACCCACTCACTCACTCACTCACTCACTCACCTACTGACTCACCACATCATGAAAGAAGTTGGAGGAGACCCCAAGGTATCCCTGGGGTCGGTGCGATGGCAGCGGAGGCACGGCGAGCGCATGGACGGCTGATAGGTGGCGTCGAAGAAGGCGGAGCCACCGAGGGTTGTAGAGCCTAGACATGCCAGTCCCACCCACTCACTCACTCACTCACTCACTCACTCACTCACTCACTCACTCACTTGCTCACTCACTCGCTCACCCACCCACGCACTCACCACATCATGAAGGAAGTGGGTGGAGAGCCCAAGGTGTCCCTGGGGTCGGTGCGGTGGCAGCGGAGGCAGGGCCACCGAGGGTTGTTGAGCCTAGACATGCAAGTCCCACCCACCCACTCACTCACCACGTCATGAAGGAAGTTGGAGGAGAGCCCAAGGTGTCCCTGGGGTCGGTGCGGTGGCAGCGGAGGCATGGCGAGCGCATCGACGGCTCAAAGGTGGCGTCGAAAAAGGCAGAGCCCCCCAGGGTTGCAGCCATGCCATGCCAGTCCCACCCACCCACTCACTCACCACATCATGAAGGAAGTTGGAGGAGAGCCCAAGGTGTCCCTGGGGTCGGTGCGGTGGCAGCGGAGGCACGGCGAGCGCATGGATGGCTCAAAGGTGGCGTCGAAAAAGGCAGAGCCCCCCAGGGTTGCAGACACACTCGTGCTGGCCGCAGTGTTGCCTTGGAAAGCCAGACGAGACACAGCCAACGGCAGCAGGCCTCCACCCCCTGCTGATGCTGCTGCTGCTGCTGAAGCCACACCAGTGGCAGCAGCAGCAGCAGCATCAGTAGCAGCTGCATTTGCAGTGCTGTTGCTGCTGCTGCCAGTGTTGCTGTCGGCCGCACTCCCGTCCACCGACCCAGACCCAGGGGGCAGAAACTCACTCACAGCCACCGACCCAACCCCAGCGTCCCCCACCTCCCCACCCGCTGCTCCCCCCCGGTTGATATACACCCCTGCACCCTCCCCACCGCCCACATTCCTCTTGAAAGCACACGCCGTGAGGGTGCCGTGAGCCTGTTCTAGAACGGCCATTCCTGCTCCCGATTCGCCGGCCTTGTTGTTGGTGAATGTGGCGCCTGCGATGGTTATGGTGGCGTTGCCTCCTGCGAAAATCCCTGCTCCCTGGTGTTCTGCGCGGTTTCTTATAAGCCGCGGCCGCAGCCGGGCTTGTAACGAGGATGGCCCTGCTGCCTCCGCGCCTCCCGCTAAACCTTCCCCTGCTGCTCTTTTCACTCCTCCTCCTGCTGCTCCTGCCCCTGCTGCTCCTCCTACTGCTCCCCCTGCTGCTGCACCTCCCAACAAATCATCCGACAGAGTCAGGCTGCTGTCAGCATCAGCAAAAACCGCCCCGCCTCTTCTCGCCCAATTCCTCTCCATGACCACCCCTCCCACCAGCACCACCACAGCCACATCCGACACCTGAACCGCCCCTCCGTCCCTCGACCCTCCCGCACCGTTCCCTCTAAACCCCGTGTCTTGAAACCTCGCCTTGGTCTGCCCCATCAGCACCACACCGTGTTGCTCATTCCGCTCGAATCCCGATTTCCCGGTCACTGAAACCACCACCTCTCCTTCCGCTAGCAATCCACCGCCCACCAAAGCCCGGTTCGCCACAAACTGAGAGTCGGAAATAGAGAGGTTGGATTTGTGGATAGCATACACCCCGCCGCCTTGCACTTTCGCTGTGTTTCCGGTAAGATTCGAACCGGAGACCTGAACCTGGGCGTTCATTTCCGCCCACAGGGCCCCTCCGTCTAGAGCGGAGTTGTTAGAGAGGAGAGACGAGGAGAGCGAGAGGACCGTTTGTCCCGTCATGCGCAGCGCTCCGCCCTCGTTCCCGCCGTTGTTGCCCGTGATGTTAGACGACGTGACTGTAGCGGTGGAGAAGTCCCCCAAGGAGATGCAGCCTCCCCCGGACGGCGCCTGGTTCCAGGCGCACTCGCTGCGGTGCAATCTCAGCCGTCCAAAGTCCTCGATCAGAACGGCGCCGCCGCTGCCGGAGCGGCCGTGGAGGAGGGAGCAGTAGAGTGCGCTGAGTGCTGCTTGGGAGGAGAGGGAGATTGCTCCTCCGCCCAGATCGGCCCGATTGGAGAGGAAGTGCGAGTGGGCGACAGTGACAGGGTAGAGGGTGCCGTTGGCTGCTGCTGCTGAGGCGCCTTCAACTGAAAAAGGAGAAAGGGGAAGGGAGATGGGGGAGGGGGTGAAAAATGGAGGTGAATGGTACCAAAACGAGGAAGAGAACTGGAAAACTACGGCCGGAGCGGCCGCGAAGGAGGGAGCAGTTGAGTGCGCTGAGTGCTGCTTGGGAGGAAAGGGAGATTGCTCCCCCGCCCAGATCGGCGCGATTGAGGAGGAAGTGCGAGTGGGCGAGGGAGACGGGGTAGAGGGTGCCATCGGGTGCAGCTGCTGAGGCGCCTTCCACTGAAAGAGGGACGGAAGGGATGAGAAGAGGGGGGGGAAGGAGAGACTGGGGAGGGGATTCGTAGCGAAGAGGGAGACGGGGTAGAGGGTGCCATTGGCTGCTGCTGCTGAGGCGGAGAGACGGAGGGGTCGAGGGGAGAGAAGGGGGGGAGAGAAGGGACCGGGCAACCGGATACCGGAAAACCGGGAAACCGGGAGACCGGGAGACCGGGAGACCGGGAGACCGGGAGACCGGGAGACCGGGAGACCGGGAGACCGGGAGACCGGGAGACCGGGAGACCGGGAGACCGGGAGACCGGGAGACCGGGAGACCGGGAGACCGGGAGACCGGGAGACCGGGAGACCGGGAGACCGGGAGACCGGGAGACCGGGAGACCGGGAGACCGGGAGACCGGGAGACCGGGAGACCGGGAGACCGGGAGACCGGGAGACCGGGAGACCGGGAGACCGGGAGACCGGGAGACCGGGAGACCGGGAGACCGGGAGACCGGGAGACCGGGAGACCGGGACACCGGGACACCGGGACACCGGGACACCGGGACACCGGGACACCGGGACACCGGGACACCGGGACACCGGGACACCTGGACACCGGGACACCGGGACACCGGGACACCGGGACACCGGGACACCGGGAGACCGGGACACCGGGAGACCGGGAGACCGGGAGACCGGGAGACCGGGAGACCGGGAGACCGGGAGACCGGGAGACCGGGAGACCGGGAGACCGGGAGACCGGGAGACCGGGAGACCGGGAGACCGGGAGACCGGGAGACCGGGAGACCGGGAGACCGGGAGACCGGGACACCGGGACACCGGGAGACCGGGATACCGGGATGCCGGGAAACCGGGAAACCGGGATGCCGGGAAACCGGGATACCGGGATGCCGGGATACCGGGATGCCGGGAAACCGGGAAACCGGGATACCGGGATACCGGGATACCGGGATACCGGGAAACCGGGAAACCGGGATGCCGGGAAACCGGGATACCGGGATACGGGGAAACCGGGATACCGGGAAACCGGGAAACCGGGATACCGGGATACCGGGATACCGGGATACCGGGAAACCGGGATACCGGGAAACCGGGATACCGGGAAACCGGGAAACCAGGAAGCCGGGAAGCCGGGAAGCCGGGAAACCGGGATGCGGGGATACCGGGAAACCGGGATACCGGGATACCGGGATACCGGGATACCGGGATACCGGGAAACCGGGATACCGGGAAACCGGGATACCGGGAAACCGGGAAACCGGGAAATCGGGAAACCGGGAAACCGGGAAACCGGGAAACCGGGAAACCGGGAAACCGGGAAACCGGGAAACCGGGAAACCGGGATACCGGGATACCGGGAAACCGGAAAACCGGGAAACCGGGAAATCGGGATGCTGGGAAACCGGGATACCGGGATACCGGGAAACCGGGATACCGGGAAACCGGGAAACCGGGATACCGGGATACCGGGATACCGGGATACCGGGAAACCGGGATACCGGGAAACCGGGATACCGGGAAACCGGGAAACCGGGAAGCCGGGAAGCCGGGAAGCCGGGAAACCGGGATGCGGGGATACCGGGAAACCGGGATACCGGGATACCGGGGTACCGGGATACCGGGATACCGGGAAACCGGGATACCGGGAAACCGGGAAACCGGGAAATCGGGAAACCGGGAAACCGGGAAACCGGGAAACCGGGAAACCGGGAAACCGGGATACCGGGAAACCGGGAAACCGGGATACCGGGATACCGGGAAACCGGAAAACCGGGAAACCGGGAAACCAGGATACCGGGAAACCGGGATACCGGAAAACCGGGATACAACTGGGATACCGGGATACCGGGAAACCGGGATACTGGGATACCGATATACCAGGAAACCGGGATACCGGGTATACCGGGAAACCGGGAAACCGTGAAACCGAGTAACCGGGCACAGTAGTACGCACTCTGATACCCAAACCATCCATCTCATCCCAGTCTGTTGCCTTATCAATAGTATAGTACGAACTCATAACCACTCAATCCTTCACGGTTCGTTACCTTACGGAAACTCTCCTTTTCATTCCATCCCCGTGTGTACCTTGTCTTATCTTCCTCCTGCGGGCTTCTTACCTGATATCGCTCCACCCTTCACCAGAGCGGAGTTGTTAACGAAAGTGGAGTTGTCTATAGCGAGTATGTTGCCCGCGAACGCGATGGCTCCGCCTTTCGAGAGCAGAGCAGTGTTGTTGAGAAAGAGCGAGTGGGACACTAGCACAGTGCCTCCAGTGCCCTGCAGAAAGCATTGGGATGAACAGAGAAGAGAGCAGAGAGCAGATCGGAGTCGTTGAGACAGAGCGACTGGGTCACTAGCACTGTCCCTACGTTGCCCTGCCAAAGGGAAAGTGCGAAAGGGAGTGGGGTGGGATGAAGGGGGAGAGTGTGCAGGACTTTGTCTGCGGTGCCGTGATTTCCTTTCCCCCTACAGCCCCTCTGTTACCCCAACCACCTGCCGCGTCCCCCCAGCCTCACCTCTTGCACAACGATCGCCCCGCCTTCCGCTGAGAGAACAGTGTTGTTGATAAAGGTGGTGCGGGTGATGCTGGTTACCCCAACACCCCCAGTGGCTATGGCCCCTCCCTTCCCCACTCCATCCCCTCCCCACTACTAGTACTTACTACCCCATTCCCCCCTTTCCCACTCACCTCTTGCACAACGATCGCCCCGCCCTCTGCTGAGAGAGCAGTGTTGTTGAGAAAGGTGGTGCGGGTGATGTTTGTCAAGCCCACGCCCCCAGCGGCAATCGCCCCTCCGCTGTGCAGCACTGTGTTATGACTGAACTCGCAGTCTTCAATGGTTGCCTCACGTATGAACATCGCTGGGGGGTGGGGACGGGGATGGGGATGGGACAGGTGGAGGAGGAGGAGAATTGGGCGTGTTTTGAGGCGCCTACCCTCCCCTCCCCAGTGGCCACGCCCCCAGTGGCGATTCTCCCTCCGCTGTGCAGCACTGTGTTATGACTGAACTCGCAGTCTTCAATGGTTGCCTCCCGTATGAACATCGCTGAGGGGTAGGGGTGGGGATGGGGATGGGGATGGGCGGAGGAAGAGATGTGAGCGTGTTTTGAGGCGCCCACCCCCCCCAGTAACGATGGCCCCTCCGCTGTGCAGCACTGTGTTATGACTGAACTCGCAGTCTTCAATGGTTGCCTCACGTATGAACATCGCTGAGGGGTAGGGGTGGGGATGGGGATGGGGATAAGGGGAGGGGACGGGAACGGGGAGGGAAAGGCTATGGTAAAGAGTGTGTTTTGACGAGCCCAACACCCGCCCTCCCTCCCCTTCCCCCATAGAGATAGGCACCCAAACTTAGTTTGGGTGCACAACTAGGGTTTACCCTAGTTTAAGGTTGGAACCCAACCTTGGCCCAATTATTGGGCCCCAAGGTTGGGTTGAGAGATTATTGGCCCCCCAATAATGTTGACCCACTCTTGGTCAACATTATTGGTCTCCCCAATAATTCCTCAACCCAACTTATTGGTGGGGGCCAATAATGTTGGCATGGCTCCTACATCCTAGCTCCACTATGTAAATCCATGCCCTTCCTAATGAAACTATCGGTTCCTCTTTACGTTTTATCACACATAGGCCCTCACCCCTCCTCACCACTCCGCGACACTCCTCTCACCCCTCACCCCTCTCTCCGCTGTAAATCCATCTAGGCTGCTCCAAACCAAACAAGCCTGCTGCGGAGCTAGCCCCGGTACCGCACGCAACCTACCAGCACCGGCGAGGCGGAAAGACGCCGAGTTGCGGAGGAACTTCGTCCGCCGAACAATCGCCCCGCTCTCAAAGCTCGCCCCGCCTGCGAACAGCGCAGTATTCCCCTCAAACAAACAGTCCTCCACCTCTATCCACGCCGGGTCCTTTATCATCCCCCACGAATGCAGCAGCGCCCCTCCCTGACCTGTCGCCGCATCCGTGCTGTGCCTCGCCTCGTTCCCGACAAACGAGCAGTTGGAGAAGAGACTCGGGCAGTCTATGAGGTAAACCGCGCCTCCAAAGGCCATCATGGGGGATTCGGAAAGGTTGTTGAGAAACTGCGAGTGCCGGACGGTTACGTTGCTGTCCTGCCCTTCGAGTGCCGCCCCTCCGCCGCCGTTTGGGACCGACGCATGGTTACCGCGAAAGGCGCAGGCGGTAACCGTGAGGTTGGCGACTCTTAAAGCCATGATCCCCGCACCTCCCATGGAGCCAGAGCCGTTGAGGAAGGAGGAGAGGGAGACGGAGAGGGCGGTTGTGTGGTTGGCGTGAATGGCGGCGCCACGCATGTAGGTTGCGTAGGGGTCGGCTAGTGGGTTGGCGGCAAGGCAGGAGCGGAAGGAGCAGCGGGAAACGGCGAGGGAGGGGGATGAGGTGTCAGCCATACAGCCCCCGATGGTGGCCTGATGGGGGTGGAGAGAAAGGAAGGGTGGGAGGGTGAGAGAGAGGGAGGGAGCGAGGGAGGGAGGGAGGGAGGGAGGGAGGGAGGGAGGGAGGGAGGGAGGGAGGGAGGGAGGGAGGGAGGGAGGGAGGGAGGGAGGGAGGGAGGGAGGGAGGGAGGGAGTTGGAGAGGGGGGGACTCAGATGTCAACGCCTTGGTAGAGGGAGACAGTGAGGGAGCAGGAGGAGGTGTCTGCCCTACACCCATCCCCACCCATCCCCACCCATCCATCCCCACCCACCCATCCCCACCCATCCATCCCCACCCATCCATCCCCACCCACCCATCCCCACCCATCCATCCCCACCCATCCATCCCCACCCATCCATCCCCACCCATCCATCCCCACCCATCCATCCCCACCATCCATCCCCACCCATCCATCCCCACCCATCCATCCCCACCCATCCATCCCCACCCATCCTTCCCCCCCACCCATCCCCACCCATCCATCCCCACCCATCCTTCCCCCCCACCCATCCATCCCCACCCATCCATCCCCACCCATCCATCCCCACCCATCCATCCCCACCCACCCATCCCCACCCATCCATCCCCACCCATCCATCCCCGCCCATCCATCCCCGCCCATCCATCCCCGCCCATCCATCCCCACCCACCCATCCCCACCCATCCATCCCCACCCATCCATCCCCACCCATCCATCCCCACCCACCCATCCCCGCCCATCCATCCCCGCCCATCCATCCCCGCCCATCCATCCCCGCCCATCCATCCCCGCCCATCCATCCCCGCCCATCCATCCCCACCCACCCATCCCCACCCATCCATCCCCACCCATCCATCCCCACCCATCCATCCCCACCCATCCATCCCCACCCATCCATCCCACCCATCCATCCCCACCCACCCATCCCCGCCCATCCATCCCCGCCCATCCATCCCCACCCATCCATCCCCACCCATCCATCCCCACCCACCCATCCCCGCCCATCCATCCCCGCCCATCCATCCCCGCCCATCCATCCCCGCCCATCCATCCCCGCCCATCCATCCCCGCCCATCCATCCCCACCCACCCATCCCCACCCATCCATCCCCGCCCATCCATCCCCGCCCATCCATCCCCGCCCATCCATCCCCGCCCATCCATCCCCGCCCATCCATCCCCGCCCATCCATCCCCGCCCATCCATCCCCGCCCATCCATCCCCGCCCATCCATCCCCGCCCATCCATCCCCGCCCATCCATCCCCGCCCATCCATCCCCGCCCATCCATCCCCGCCCATCCATCCCCACCCACCCATCCCCGCCCATCCATCCCCGCCCATCCATCCCCGCCCATCCATCCCCACCCATCCATCCCCACCCATCCATCCCCACCCATCCATCCCCACCCATCCATCCCCACCCATCCATCCCCGCCCATCCATCCCCACCCATCCATCCCCACCCATCCATCCCCACCCATCCATCCCCACCCATCCATCCCCACCCATCCATCCCCACCCATCCATCCCCACCCATCCATCCCCGCCCATCCATCCCCGCCCATCCATCCCCGCCCATCCATCCCCACCCATCCATCCCCGCCCATCCATCCCCGCCCATCCATCCCCGCCCACCCATCCCCACCCATCCATCCCCACCCATCCATCCCCACCCATCCATCCCCGCCCATCCATCCCCGCCCATCCATCCCCGCCCATCCATCCCCACCCATCCATCCCCACCCATCCATCCCCACCCATCCATCCCCACCCATCCATCCCCGCCCATCCATCCCCGCCCATCCATCCCCGCCCATCCATCCCCACCCACCCATCCCCGCCCATCCATCCCCGCCCATCCATCCCCACCCACCCATCCCCACCCATCCATCCCCACCCACCCATCCCCACCCATCCATCCCCGCCCATCCATCCCCGCCCATCCATCCCCACCCATCCATCCCCACCCATCCATCCCCGCCCATCCATCCCCGCCCATCCATCCCCACCCACCCATCCCCGCCCATCCATCCCCACCCACCCATCCCCACCCATCCATCCCCGCCCATCCATCCCCGCCCATCCATCCCCACCCATCCATCCCCACCCATCCATCCCCACCCATCCATCCCCACCCACCCATCCCCACCCATCCATCCCCACCCATCCATCCCCACCCACCCATCCCCACCCATCCATCCCCACCCATCCATCCCCACCCATCCATCCCCACCCATCCATCCCCACCCATCCATCCCCACCCATCCATCCCCACCCATCCATCCCCACCCATCCATCCCCCATCCCCCATCCATCCCCACCCACCCATCCCCACCCATCCATCCCCACCCACCCATCCCCACCCATCCATCCCCACCCATCCATCCCCACCCACCCATCCCCACCCATCCATCCCCACCCATCCATCCCCACCCACCCATCCCCACCCATCCATCCCCACCCATCCATCCCCACCCATCCATCCCCACCCATCCATCCCCACCCATCCATCCCCACCCATCCATCCCCACCCATCCCCACCCACCGTATTTTCAGAAAAGCTGACGCCATCAATGCGCCCAGAGCACCCGCTAGTCGCCAGCCCCCCTCCATTCGCATCAGCCGAGCAGAGCGAGAATCCCCCTCCCCGCACCTCCACCCCACTGGCTTCGCAGTAAACACCTCCCCCGATACCCGCCTTCGCCGTACACCCCTCGAACCAGCATTCTGACACGCTCGCTATAGTCACGTTTCGTAACGCCACACCCCCGCCGCCTCCTGCAGGAGTTGAGACGGATGAGGCGCTGACGTGGACGCGCGAGAGCGTGACACGTGGCGCGTTGAGGACCGAGATCGCCCCGCCGTGACTGGCCGCAGAGCAGCCGGTGAAGGACGCGTTGCTGACGTGGACGGGCTGGTTCTCGACAGATAGGCAGCCGCCACGTGGCGCACCTGCCCGGCCGTTCCGCACAGTGATTCCTGCGAGGACCAATCGCGCGCTGCCACATGGTACCACGGCAGTGGCTGGATCACAGACGGCCGAAAGGCAAGCCCCCCCTCCACAGTCAATAATTGGGGCGGCGGGGACAGAAGGAGGAGAGGGACCGAGGGGAGGAGGAGGAGAAGAAGGAGGAGGAGGGTTGGGAAGGGGGGAGGGGAGAGCGGCGAGGAGAGAGATGGATCGGGCACCGAGGGAGAGACCAGCAGTGGGGAGGCGGTGGGAGCCTGGGGAGAGAAGCAGGGCCCCGCCTGTTGGGGGTAACCTGGGAATGGGGGAGCATGGGGAAGCGTGGGTGAGCACAAGTGGAGGCATCATCAAGCGGAGTGCGTGAGTGACCATGGCGGCAAGGCAAGTGGGGGTGGTGTGCAGCTGTTAACGGTAATGGGAGAAGTGAAGTGGCTGGCAGGGCGTGTGGATACACAAACAGTACAAGGTGAGGTGAGGGGGACGAACAGGGGGTGCAGAAGAAGGGTGGGAGAGACGAAGGAGTGGAGAGCGGTTGAGGGTGTGGAGGGTGGGTTGAGAGCAAGCAGGGTGGGTTGAGGGCATTGAGGGTGGGTTCTTCCACTCACATTGAGAGAGCCTGCTCCAATGTCCCTGCAAGCACACACATGCAGGATGGCACAGCAGCATGGCGTGGTGTGGCATGACATGGCATGGCATGGGAAGGCATGGCATGGCATGGCATGGCATGGCATGCACCAGAGCACACACACAGCATAGAACACAAGGAGTGAATGAGAAGCGATTGCGGTTGTTAGTCAGCGGAATGCTGGAAGTGCGAGATATAACAATATATAACAGCAAAGAACGAGTTTATCCGGTGCACTGAGCAGGAGGGTGCAGGAGAGTGGCAGGGGGAGGCTCGACTGGTGGAGGTACATACCACAGGGAGTGGCGGCGTCGCCGCAGCAGCCTGATGCTGCAGACCCATGCCCGCCCGCGCGCACATGCACCTGCTCCAGCTGTGGGCAGCCTGAAAGGGAGGGGGTGAGAGAGTGATTAATGTGGGGGGTGATTCAGGTGAAAAGGTGATTCAGGTGAAACAGTGATTCAGGTGAAAGGGTGATTCAGGTGAAAGGGTGATTCAGGTGAGGGAGTGATTTGGTTAAAGAATTATGAGGTTATGATGCACCCCCATTCACCATCACCCCCATCTATTTACAATCACCCCCATTTACCATCACCCCCGTTTACCATCACCCCCGTTTACCATCACCCCCGTTTACCATCACCCCCATTTACCATCACCCCCCTTTACCATCACCCCCATTTACCATCACCCCCATTTACCGTCACCCCCATTTACCATCACCCCCATTCACCATCACCCCCGTTTACCATCACCCCCGTTTACCATCACCCCCGTTTACCATCACCCCCATTTACCATCACCCCCCTTTACCATCACCCCCATTTACCATCACCCCCATTTACCGTCACCCCCATTTACCATCACCCCCATTCACCATCACCCCCGTTTACCATCACCCCCCTTTACCATCACCCCCGTTTACCATCACCCCCGTTTACCATCACCCCCCTTTACCATCACCCCCGTTTACCATCACCCCCATTTACCATCACCCCCATTTACCATCACCCCCGTTTACCATCACCCCCCTTTACCATCACCCCCGTTTACCATCACCCCCATTTACCATCACCCCCGTTTACCATCACCCCCGTTTACCATCACCCCCATTTACCATCACGAACCCTCTCAGTCAGAATAGTTGTCCCCCAACCCTCATCCCCCTTTCATTCCCCTTCAACGCCCCACATTCCCCCATCCCCCATCCCCCAACCACCGCACTGCATGTTCCTGTTACCTGACGCTGCCGCAACGCACGGCGCGATCGGCGCGGTGCAGAGCAGGGCGATCACCAACGCAGCAAACAGCCGACCGGCCGCTGGCGAGTTTTGAGACGCCTCAAAAACCGTTGGCAAGCCACGATGCGGCTGCACCCGACGCCCCGCATCTCGCCCGCAACCGCCACCGCCACCGCCGCCGCCGCCGCCGCCGCCGCCGCCGCCCATCATGATCATCCGTGTAGCTGGAATCTCTGTTGTCCAAAGAGGGTGTCTTAGGGCGCTGCTTGTCGCGGAAATTCCGTTTGAAGCGCGCCGAGCCAGCAAAGCTTGGGGGTTGCAGTCGTTACGTTGAACCCGCGTTTACCACTACCCGCCGGCTTTCGCAATCTGAGGTCGTTTTCCCCCCTCTTCCCCTCACTGTGTGAACGACGCACGGACTCTTAGCGCCTTCCCCCCCGGTGGCCCGCCAGGAGGCGCGCCAGAAACCCCTTCCGAGTCTGTTTCCCCGTTACTGCGCGCAACTTAGTACAGTGCCGCAGTTTCAGCATAGAAGCCCGAGACGGACAGCGGTACTACCACGTGGTGTGATTTTCGAGAATTCTCATAAATACCCTGCAGCGGTACTACCACGTGGTGTGATTTTCGAGAATTCTCATAAATACCCTGCAGCGGTACTACCACGTGGTGTGATTTTCGAGAATTCTCATAAATACCCTGCAGCAGTAGTACCACGTGGTGTGATTGCAGCGATATGGTGAATCAAAGCAGGAAACCGACGCCTTGCCGTGATTGACTGCGACGGGTCCTAAACAGCCTCTTGTTTTCTCGGAGATGCGGGGTCACGCAGCGCTCCAATGTCGATACTTCTCGCGACGTGGCTCTTTGAAACCCGCACTTCAGAACACGGCGGTCACGCCGTGGCAGTGAGTGGAAAAGCATATCTCGTCAAGACTTGCTTAGGAAAAAGGAGAGTGATTCTGAGAGTGAAGCACTGTGCAGTACTATGCAGTAAGTCACCGAGCTAGGGTTACAAACTTCTCGGCTCTGAACTGCCTGGGTCAACCTCTTCCAAGCTATAATACTTTGAAGTTGAAGTTGATAGTTGGGCCACGGCTTTAATCAGCGCCAACCAACACAACGTGCGACAAATTAATCAGTATGGGCCAAGTTGTGCCAACAGTGCGCGGAGGGCATGGGCATTGATTCGCTCGTTGTCACGTCGAGCAGTGCACCGCGCAGTGCACCGCCGAGCGGAGCAGAACAACCAACCACCACCACCGCAATTGCGAAGCGCCGAGGCTGCGGTGTCGTCGTGGCTTGTTTTGTTACAGTGCTACAGCGAACTGTTACCCGCACGAACTCCGCCTGGAATCGCAAAATTCGGCTGCTGGTGAGTTGTTGCGGCCACAGAAGAGCCAACGCACCAGGCGCCGCGACAAAAGGAGCCAGTTGAATTGGTCCCTTCCATCCACCACACTCCGGTGTGTACAGTACTTGACGCGCCAAAAGAGTTCCGTAAACAAACTCATGAAGCCACAGCAAACAAACTTACCGTAAAATTTGGTACTAATTTTAAAAATCTTATATCAGGGCTCTTTGCCATCCTCGCAATTCAACACATCTTCATCCTCAAACTCATCTGCTGGATCTTCTTGTATCCATGCACCTTCGTCATCAAGAGGGGAATTCTCCAAATTACTAGAAGCACCTGCAGCTGATGCCATGATCTTTTCTTCATATTCCTGAGCACAAGGACACCACACAAAACAAGGGTAACTCTTGTCCCCCCTACAATCACTTCCCCCCTTCTTACAATCCGATAAGCATGCAAGAGCAGATGTCGAGCGCAAAAACTGACGTCTCACCCGAATCCGTGTGCGTTGCTCCGCTAGAAGCTGAGCAGCCTCCAGCACTGAAATCACCCGAGCACACCGTGCAGGCGCCCCACCAGCCCCGGCAGCCTCGGAAGCCACAGAAGCCCCCCCAGCAGCGCCAGCAGCCCTAGCAGCCTCGGAAGCCACAGAAGCCCCCTCAGCAGCCCCACCAGCCACATCTGCCACATTTTGAGAAGGCTCGAACTGAGCACTCTGCACAGCAGTCCTGCCATCACCATTATCCTCACCGCCACCACCACCACAACCACCACCACTATCATCTTCACCAATCCTTAACACCCTGCCCAGCCGGGCAGCTGCGCGCTCCGCCTCCCACATCAAGTCCCTCCTGACCTTCTCCCGGGCTGCCCGAACGCCTTCCGGCGAAATCTTTTGATCTGCCCCCACACGCTCCAGCTTCCCATTGTGAAGGTGGTACATCCGCCCATCCGACCCCACTCGAGGGGCGCTGGAACCCGCAGGGAGAGACACCCTCGTGCCAGCACTCCCTGCACTCCCTTCCGTCCCTCCACTCCCTCCGTTCCCAGCACTCACAGCACCTCCAGCACAGCCAATACCTCTTGCGCTCCCTGCACCCCCGCCTTGTTTCACCCGGCCCGCAGCTTCCAGCGCCGGGTCGTCGATGGTGGTTTCCACAGCGCGGTGGAACCCCAGCTGACCTGCAGCTTCCAGAGCGGGGTCGTCGATGGTGGTTTCCACGGCGCGGTGCAGCGACCAGAGGCGGCGCATGGCAGCCGACGAGCAGGACGGCTGGAAGGACGACGTGCGCGTGCGCACTGATGCACCCGATGCACCGGATACCAATACACCTGATATCGATGCACCTGGACCAGAGGATGGCTTCATAGATGGTTTGAGGAGTGAGCCTGTGCTGTCCCCTTGGCTGTCCGCGGCTGTGTCTCTGTACATGTACATCTCCCTCTTCCTCTGTGTGCTGTCCCCTTCTCCTTGCTGTGTGCCTGGGCGCCCTGCACTTCCCTTGCGCTCTGCTCCTTCCGCCACCCTTTCTCCTGCGAGCACGCCTTCTGCTCCGCCTGCTGCCCCGCCTGATGTAGCAGCAGCAGCACCAGCGGCGTCCATAGCAGCAGAGGTAGCGGCAGTAAGGCGAGCTGCAGCAACAGCAACGGTTGACATCTGTCCGCTGCTATCCCCCACCCCTTCCTCCACCACCTCTGCCATTCTGCCTTGCACTGCAGCCCTTTCCACCACTCCCACTCCGCCTTCCCCTCGCATCATCCCATCCTCTCCTGCTGCTCCGCCGTCCCCTCCTATCATCTCAACCTCCCGCCTTGCCACACGACTCGTCGTGGAATCTGCTCCATCCTCCACCATCCTCCCCATCATCGCCTCTCCCTCATCCCCTCTCATGCCGCTCACACCAGACGAAGCAGCAGTAACAGCACCAGCACCGCCTTTCACGTTCCCTCCCCCACTCTCTCTCCTCCCCGAACCCCTAAACGCGACACTCGCGCTGTCCGCTTCCTGCTCGTCCGCATCCCCCGCCGCCTGCTGCGCCGCGTGTGCCGCTAGCAGCGACTCGACCCGCTGCAGCTGCGCGTGCAGCTTGCGCACCTGCGCGGACAGCTTCGCGCCGGCCCGCGGTCACCCTCGACAGCAAATACTGCGCGATCAGGGGCGCATCGGGAAGGCAGAATAACCAAAAAAGTCGAAGGGTATTGTTGGAAAATCTCAAAAACACCCTCCGCGGTTACCCGCGACAGCAGAGACTGCGCGATCGGGGGCAAATCGGGGCGGGGGAAACCAGATGGAGGACTTTCAAGATCGAAAAAGTGCGAACCTCACAAGCGACGTCCGTATGGGCAACACGCAGCATACGCGATGCGATCACAACCGTTAGAATAAGCCCGGTCATAACAACCTCCTGACTTACCTCCTGGCCTTTCAGTTTCCGCAAAAAGCGCCTCTTTTCCTCCTCGAGCTTGTCGCTGCTGTCGTCCCATCCCGCAGATCGAAGAACACCCGTGGTTGGTAGCGACGTCGCTGATCATACCCGTGGTTGTCTTACCTTCTGTCCTTTAAGTTTCCGCAACAGGCGGCGCTTTTCCTCCTCGAGCCTGTCGCTACTGTCATCCCAACCCGCTGATCGCAGAATACCCGTGGTCGGTAGCGACCTCTGGTGTGCGCTCTGCTTACCTCCTGTCCTTTGAGTTTCCCTAATAAACGCCGCTTTTCCTCCTCGAGCTTGTCGCTGCTGTCGTCCAGCCCCGCCGATCGCAGAATACCCGTGGTTGGCAGCGACGTCGCAGATCGGTGCGACTGCAGCTGCGACGACGACAGGAAACTCGGCATGGCGACGCGCAGGACGTCGTGCGGAAACCAGCGATGCTAAATGCGAAGTTCATTCAACGTTGTGCGACGCTGCGCGATGCGACTAAGCGGACGAGATGTGCGACGACTACGAGACAACACTACGCAGGATGTCACAAGAAAAAATGAAAGTGCGAGTCGGCGGAGTCAAGTGTACTCAAGATAGACGTGAGCGACTTGGAATTTGTAGAAGTACTTCGTCAACAGGCTCCTCGAATGCCTGTGTATGCATTTCTCACCATCTGATAGTAAAGCATTCTTATATATATAAATCCAAGATTGACGTTAACTAGGACTCTCATATACATTACTCCTCATTTAAATTCATTTCGGTTGTGCAGTGTATGACACGATATTGTTCACACGTCAGTATCGGGCATGTTATGTTCCTGCGGTTCGTGGTCTCGTATGAAGGAAAACATCTGCAGGTTCTTGGTCGGATATGTAGGAAAGGGAGGGAGGTTTGTTGGGGTTGGAGGGCTGGTCTGTGTGAGTCTGTGCCCAAAAATGCAGTGACGAGGCGCAGGTGCTTTAAAGTATGCGATTCGACTCGGTTCACAACTCAACCTGCGAGAGAGTCGGCTGCTGTAATTTCACCTGCAACAGTCTCTCATTTTGCCTTGTCCAAGACTCCCAACAAGGCCACCAGGGGCAAAGCTGGCTCTCTGCGGCGCGCCTGTATGTGTTTGGCTGGAGGGGTTTGTGACGGTCTGTTACACTGCGTATCACCATTTCCACCTGAGACCATGTTCTGATACGGGCAACAAATGTTTTGTGCATGTTGCAACCAATCGCAGCTCTGCTTGGCTCCACACCCACGGGCCAACATTCCTCTTCAAAACCAAGACCAAACCACCTGAAGTTTACCAGCAGAATCTGAATCAAAACCTAGCAGGGTCTGAAGCATAAGCTAGGAATCTCCGCTCACACAATCCTCAGCAGTTTGAGAGGAGAAGGCAAATCGTAGATTGTAGCAGAGAAGCTCACGGGATTCACAGTAGAGCAGGAAGTCGAGTTACTCCCCTACTCCAGTTTCTGTCATTAGCATTCCCGCCGCCATGGCGCGTCTTAGCGTCGCGTTCCTTGCGCTTCTCTTCCTTGCCGTAATCATCTGCGCAGAGGCGAGCAAGGCGAGCACGCTTAGCAAGAAGGGCAACAAGGACAAAAAGGGCGGCGTGAAAGGAGGCGTGAAGGCAGGAGGCGACGTCAAAGGAGGCGTCCAGGCAGGAGGCAACGTCAAAGGAGGCGTGAAGGCAGGAGGCGAGGTCAAAGTAGGCGTGGGCGTGAAGACAGGAGGCTCGGTCAAAGGAGGCGTGAAGAAGGGCGGTTCCAAGAAAGGCGGAACGAAGAAAGGCGGATCGAAGAAGCCGGTGGCGACGCCACCCAAGAAGGTCGGTGCTTCCTCCGCCAAGGGCGCCGACCTGACGAGCAACACAGATTCGTACAGCACCTTCAGCGCGGGCGAGGTTACGATCAAAGGCGCGTCGTGGAACGCGAAGAAGTGCCCGAACGACCTGGCTAAGAAGGACTGGGGCGGATGCACCGCCGTGAACTGCTCCAAGGGCGGCTGGCCCGCCAAGTTCAAGACGTCGATCATTACGGCCCAGAAGGGGAAGCACTGGGCGACCATCCTTCCCAACGGCGGTTTCTCCAAGAAGAAGGCTACCCCCGAGTCGTGCTGCAACCAGTGTGCCGCGAGCCACGACTGCACCTACTGGCAGTTCGTCCCCGGTGCCGGCAGAGAGTAAGCATCCAACCTGTTATCTAAGGTTTTAACTCGGTACATGTTACTTGATTCGTGCTGGAGATTTTGTTGTTCTGTTCAGATGTCTAATTTGTCGTTTTCCTTCAAATGTTTTTTTGAGCGCAGGATGGGGACTTGCGATCTGATGGCCGGCGAGCAGAAGTTCGAATGCGGCGACCTGGCAGCGATTTACGAGGGCAAGGACAAGCCTGTGTACATGCAGGTGCGCGCCGGCGGCAGGTGCAACGACAACCCCGAGGTCATCGATGACCCGCACTTCACTGGCGCGCACGGCACGCACTTCGACTTCAACGGCCGCCCCGACAAGGCGTTCTGCCTGCTGACGGATAAGAACGTGCACGTGAACATGCTGCTGAGGGGATACTACGACGACCGTACCGAGGGCGCGGCTCTTGTTGTCGACGGAAAGGCCGTTCACACGTGGATCAAGTAAGCAGCGCTGTCGCCCCTTTTGCACAAATCCATCCGTCTTTTTTATATATTTTTTTCGTCCTTCTGAAGTGGGTAGTCGACCAGTTTCTTAACTTCGATTCCTCGTGTGATATTTCAGGGAGCTCGGTATCGTGTGGTTCGCCAACGGTGCCGACCACCGTCTCCGATTGGTTGCCCGCAACGGCAAGGAGCAGGAGCGCGGTGCTGGTTACATGAAGGCCATTGAGGTTGACGGTACCGTGATCCAACGGCTGGCGCTCGGCGAGGAATTCAACGGCGACGGTGGCCTCACGGTCGCCCTCCGTGCGTACGAGAAGCAGGGCCCGTACGACGTGGATTACTACACCGTTTCAATCGCAGGTATCATCTCCTTCGACATCCGCCTGCGTGTGGCTCACCCGAAACTCCAGACCCCCAGCGACGCCGAGGTTCACATCAACGTGGCCGTTACATCTTTCGACTACACGGAGAACGTTCACGGCGTGCTTGGTCAGACTTACAGGGAGGACCACGTCGACCGTGCGATTGATTTCCAGCAGCTCGTGTCGTCGCTCCATCGCCCGGTCTCTGCTGACGGGGAGCTCGGCGCGGGATTCCTGGATGGAACTCCCCGCGCGTACGAGGCTGCGTCTGTCCTCGGTGTGGACTGCGCGATGGCAGCGTACCACCGTGCCATGCCTGAGGTCTCCGCTTCCAACTAAGCTTTTCACGAGGCTTGTTGTCCTCGGTACTGGATTGCTCGCTTGTTTTCCTATCGTTATTCTTCCCCATGCCATAACTGAGGTAGCATTGAGGGCTGGGTGCCCATTGTAATATTATTTGGCTGCTCTTATGTCTGTAGGATAAAACGGATAAAGCATGTGCTGTATGCTAAAATGCAAATGCTGATGATTTTTTTATTGACTTGGTTATGCTAGACATGTGGAAGCTACATGTAAAGTACATCTCTGCCTGTAGGGCATTCAATACATCAGCTCTAATGTGTAGTTTCGAGGCAGTCCAACCAGTGCAGTATTTCCTCGTTGGGATCTGATATCGCGCACACCGCGTCCACAGTCACCTGCACCACAAATGCGTGCGTGAGTCATCCTACATAGAAACACAGACGCAGGATGAAAGTTGCCCTGCTATTGCTCTCATCCAGAATCGAACAACCATATTTCCTACGTATTTCCACATGATCCCGCTGCTTGGGCCAGGATCTCCCCGTTCTCTTCTCACGCGTCTCCTACCCATGCCGCGATTACCCCAAACTTTCTGCGCATGTTCAAAACCCCAATTACATCCGTCACCTACCTGCCTCCGTCCATTGAACACCATCACTCTCCCCCGCACGCCCACCAGCGCGCCCACGTGGACACACGTGGCTGCCTGCAGCATCGCCACGTGGCGCTCCGCGTGATCGCGACTGTTGAGCCACAGCACACATGGCACTGCGCGCACAGGCCGCGTGGCACAGACGGTGGACAGTTGCGGTGCGGCGACTGGTATCGCGCCCGTAAGTCGCGCTGGGGGTGTCGCGATAGCCGAAGGGGCAGAGACACGGGCGGAGGCGGTGCACGGGGGGGCGGGTGACGGGGCGGGGAACGGTGGGGGGGACGGGTCGGGGAACGGAGCGGGGAAAGGGGCGGGGCGAGCGCAGCTGGCGGCGGTCATGCTGCCGTCATCTAAGGCGAATCGGACGAACTTAAAGGGGAGCTTATCCACGTCGACTATGACGCCCATTAAGTACACGTGGCGCAACCGCGACTGCCACTCCACGCCGTGCTGCTGCTGCGCTGCCGGCTGGAGAAATGCGGAGCCGAATACTCGCCGGTAGACGGGAAGATTCGCGTCCCGCGATTGCATCGCGACGCGAAGGCTATCCTTCTCGTCTTATTGTCCTGCCCCGTCGAGTACTCATAACGACGTCGTGCGTCGCACGACGAAACACAGGTGTTTCCAATAATCTGCTGGTTGCGTAGGGCGGAAAAGACGTGTGTGAGGAGAAGTGGGATTTGCCCCATTTCCAATTTCTGCAGAACAGGGCCTAGACTAGATCAAGTGGGGTACTATTCGGTAAAAGTAGCTTCCTTTCTTCTGGATTTCGTATACAAACATATCCACTGAGAGAGTGTATGCACATAGAAATTGCATGCACCAATCCCATTGTATTGCCAAGATCTATATTTCAAGTCAAACCAAATGTACAAGCTGGAAAATCGAAGGTACGCTAAACAATACCCACCTCCAATTGCACACCTCTCCAAATTAGACAGGACTGTTGTCACAAGGACCCACATGCCTAAATTGCATGAGCAATGTTCTACTAGAACCATCAGTCATGGCCATCACATCACCCCTTATTATAATCATGATCCCACGAAGGACAGCAATTACTGCTCGTGACTCCTCTCGGGACTCAAACTGCTCGTCTGCTGCCCTCACAATCACTGCCTGCCTCGTGCCGCCTGCTTCTGCCACCTTCCGAGAACCTGACTGAGACCTTGCCTCCTGAACGAGATCCTAGCCTCTCAGGAGGCAACCTTGCCACCTTGCCGCTTACTGCATCATCCGAACCCTGGGCACCGGCTACCTGTCATGCCATTGCCCTCAATGTCTGATCACGATTCTTACGAAAAAAAAACCACCTGCTCTCACCCTCTCGCATCCCCATTTGGGTGCTTCTCCTTGTCCTTTCTGTGCTGCAGCCATCCCACCAAGGAGGGCAGCGACGACAGCTCAAACTGCTCCTCTGCTGCCGCCCCCACCCTCACCACATCCTCCTGCCTTACGCTGCCTGCTCCTGCCACCTTGTGCGGCGCAACACCCTCAATACGAGCATGCTGATTCGCGTTCAACTGGTGAGACTCGTGGGAATCCAGAGACTGGAGAGGCTGGTGGGGCCTGTGGTGGAGTGATTCCGGCGATTGCTGGTCTGAGCTTGATCCACTTGGGATAGGGTCAGCCCTTCCTGTGGCGACTGACTTGGAAGGTGCACCGGAGTGCGGACCAGCGGAGGCAGCACCGGAGGAAGCTGAAGGAGTAGCCGGTGCTCCTTTAGTTGCAGGAGCAGCGGAGTTGGTCCTACCAGGGATGTCAGCAGGAGCAGCAGCAGAGGCAGTAGGCTTTGCAGAATCTGCAGCAGGCTTTGCAGCCGGTTTTGCAGCAGCAGTAGAGTGGGTGTTTGCTGTGTCTCCACTCGCCTCCCCTCCCGTTTCATTTGCTGTGTTTCTCTCACCACCTCTCCTGTGGCCCCACGGCAGGAAATCGACAAGGTTGAATACCACCGAGGGAATGTGAGCCGCTGCGCCGCCCACATGCGATGCTGCCGCCCCTACATGTGACGCTGCCGCCCCAACCGTGCCGCCCACGTGAGATGCTGCCGCCCCAACTGTGCCGCCCACATGAGACACTGTAGAGCCGACTGTGGAGGCGGCAGCGCCGACCGCACCAGCAGCCGAGGAGAAGAGCGGGCTTACCACGCGGATGGGGATCACTGTTGCATCTTTGAGAGCGTCTGGGAGGGGGGGGAAAGGAGTGGTTGAGAAAGAGGGGATGGAGGGGCAGGGGGGGTACAGAAGTCAGTCAAGAAGAGCGGGCTGACCACGCGGATGGGGATCACTGTGGCGTCCTTGAGAGAGTCTGGGAGGGGGGGCGGAGGGGTTGGGAGGGGTTGGGAGGGGTTGGGAGGGGGTGTACCCACGTGGTGGTAGAGAAAGAGGGGTGTACTGAAGTTAAGAGAGGGCTGACCACGCGGATGGGGATCACTGTGGCGTCCTTGAGAGAGTCTGGGAGGGGGCGAGCGTGGGAAGGGGGAATAAGGGAGGGAGGAGTGTGTGAGGAGGAAGGGGTGCGGTGGAGTAAACAAGGAATCAGGGGATAACCTAAACAAACCTTTCAGGGATTTTGTGGCGAGAGAAGCAGGCACTTGGTGGTTGCACGGACCATTTTTTGAGTCGACTAAAAAATCGCCTCATCACACGCGAGAGAAGCAGGCACTTGGTGGATGCACGGACCAGCGTGGTCAATACCTGGGCACAGCACATGGATACTGGGTTACCTGGTTACCAGCACTTACCAGCATTGTGCTGCTCCTCGGCCCTGGCGCTGCTGGTGCTGACCAGTGGACTCTGCACAGACCAGCACAGTCACTACCTGGACACAGCACGTGGTTACTTGGTTACCAGCGGCTACCCAGCACTTACCAGCAGTGTGCTGCTCCTTGGCCCTGGTGCTGCTGGTGCCGGTGGCAAGGCGGGACGTCCGTGCAGGACTGCGCACTCCCTGAGAGATCTCGTGGCTGGTCAGGTGGGCAGATGGGCAGGCAGAAGAGAGCGAGGAAACATGGAGAGATGGAGTGATTGGGAGACGGAAGGGGAGGTAGAAGGGAGCCCGTGCAGGGCTGCGCACTCCCTGAGGGATCTCATGGCTGGCCGGGTGGGCAGATGGGTGGGGAGAAGAGAGAGAGGAAACATGGAGAGATGGAGTGATGGGGAGATCGATGAGCATGTGGATGGGGGAAGGCCCGTGCAGGGCTGCGCACTCCCTGAGAGATCTCGTGGCTGGAAGGGTGGGCAGATGAGTGGGGAGGGATGGAACGATGGAGAGCGATAGAGATGGGGAGATGAAAGATGGGAGGCATGGGGAGAGAGAGATAGAGAGGCGAGAAGTTGTGCTTGTGAGCCTAAGGCGTTATAAAAGTATATTGAAATGCAATAGAGGAGACCAGAGTCCCACCTGAAAGTCACCTGAGCCTCACCTGACATGTCACCTGATAATTGACTGATTCCACCTGAAACGCACCTGAGCTCTATGACAGCCTTACAGGTGCTGTGGTTCTCGGCAGCTCCAGCCACTACCTGAGCCGACAGTCAAAGTTATCCAAGACTTAAACTCACCTGAAAAAACACCTGAGGTATCACCTGAGGTCGCTGATCTCCATGCCTGACAGCCTCACTGCCGCCATGGTCCCCGGCAGCTCCTCCCCACTACCTGATACAATGTTGAAACCACCTGAGGATTCACCTGAGGTCGCTGAGCTCCATGGTGAGGTCGCTGATCTCCATCCCTGACAGCCGCACTGCCGCCATCGTCCCCGGCAGCTCCTCCCTCGCCGTTGATGCCAGCCGCTCTACTGCCTGTGCCGCCCTCCGCACCGCCTGGGGGACGGGAGGAGAGGTGAATGGGAGCGAGTGAGACTGAAGGGCCAGCAGGAATTAACTGGCGAACGCCAAAGGCTGCTCCTCCCTCGCCGTCGCTGCCAGCCGCTCCACAGCCTGTGCCGCCCTCCGCACCGCTCTACTGCCTGCGCTGCCCGCCGCACCGCCTGTTTGGGATGAGAGACGGGGAGGACGCGGGGATGGTGCGCTCTAGTGGGTGTGGACAACGCACGTCGTCCACTAGTGGCCGGCAGGTGATAAAAGTGATATTTTGAGACGTCTCACAATGGTGAGCTCCAGTGGGTGTGTGGACTAAGCACGTGGTCCACTGGTGGCCAAGCGTTACTAGCCCCGAGTGGGTGTGCGTGTGATACAGGCCAAGCGTTACTAGCCTGTGAGACGAGTGAGGCGAGTGAGGCGAGTGAGGCGAGTGAGGCGAGTGAGGCGAGTGAGAGGAGAGATGGTGGTTTGGTGCGTATGAGGTTCTGAGACGCCACAAGAAAGGGGAGGAAACGAGTGGTGCGGTGCGGTGTGGTGTGGTGTGGTGCAATGTGGCGTGGCAGGGAAGGAGGGAACGTTTTTAGAGTGCGAGGCATGAGAGGAGAGAGAGGACACGTGTAAACAGAAGTGTTTTGAGACGTCTCAAAACACTAGGAGGGCGTGGATGGGACCGATGAGTGTAGGCAGAACGTACCAGGAGTGCGGGGATTGCGGCGAAGATTATTCCGGAGAGCGCCGCGGAGATCTGCACAGAGAAAAGGAGGGAGGAAGCGGGGGTGAGACAAACAGATGTGCTGATAACGGGCAGGCAGACAGCGGGAGAGAGAAGGCCCGAGAGACATGTTTCTGACAGTGAAAAGAGTAGTGTCATCAGGAGCAAAAAGAGAGTGTAGTGGTTTTTTAAGGTCCCAAAACATATGAATCTTATGCAGCAAGATGTGTTACCGAGCATGCGACGAAGCCGAGGGTCAGAACAGGCACGTCTCGCGGGGACACGTGGAGAAGACCCATTGGCTGTGGAGCCGACGACACCGATGCGACCATGTGCGACGGGTCCATGCGACTGCCGCATGTCGCACACTGCGTGCCTTCTGCTACTCCGGAAGCGCCGCCTTTCAGGCCTTCTGCGACACGCGTGGTCGCTGTGTGCCGTCGCTCAACGTCGCTTGCGATCGCTTTCGCGTCGCTTGGCCGCGCGTCGTTGGACCGTGCGACGTTGGCGCGTCCCGAAATCCATCGCGGGATCAGCGGCGACGCAGACGCGGTATTTGTGCCTGACTCTTCTCCACGCACGTGTCCTGCTTCGATTGGTTTATTTCGTTTCTGTCGCTTGAGCTCCGTTGAATGCGCTAAGGGAGTCGAGCCGAGGCGAGGCAATGCGCGGGAGAGAAAAAACGGCGGGTTTTGAGGCGCCTCGAAAACGGGTGGAAATGCGGCCCTGACGGTCGATCTGTTTCTCGGCGTGACTCGCGCCGGGAGTCTCGGCGAGGCGTGCTGTGGGGCACGCTTCGCCAGTCGGCAACGGCATGGTCCGTTACTGGCTGATTTCGTTAAATGCGATATGGTACTGGTCGACATCGTGCTACAAGCAACACCTGCTTATGATACAAGAACCACGAATAGATAAACGCTTTCTCAGGAGCTTATGACGTTAAAAGCTTTCTCAGGCGTGTCACACGCGTCCGATTCCCTTCGTGTCGAGCAAGAAATACTTGGTTTCACTTCGAAATCGGATCCTAATGACAGTTGCGACACAGTTTACGACACACGGGAAGCAGCTAGGCTGAAAGCGAATAAAAAACAGGTGTACAAGCTCGTATTACACGAGTTTCGTCACAGCCATGTTTTATGAACAAGAAATGGTGAAGGCGGGGCATAGAACCTAGAAGCTGCTGTCTGTGGTGGCCAGTATGAGTGTGGAGCTCAGACTGTGGAGTGAAATGGCTGTTCTGCCAGGGTGCAACGCTGCGGCAGAAAAGATCGATTTGAGACGTTGGTAAATGGTTGGATTGGAATGAGCTGTAGCTGGGGTAGCGTCAGCAGCTCTAGTTCGCTCTGAGGAGCTCGCGTGTCAGAGGGGGCGGTGAGGCGAAGGTGTTGCGAAGGGGAAACGCTGAAACGCGCGGGTTTCAAACTGGTGAAGTACGATGAAGAAAGTAGCACTAAGGTGAAAAGCTTTTGAAAACGGTGTCATAAAGGTGCGCAGTGAGTGGATGAACGCTGCGCCGCGGCACTGGGGCCAGAATTGAGTTGACGGCGAATCTGAGCCGTGCAAATTATGTGTCAAGACGGGGATCGCTCGCGTCACGGTGGCCAGTCCCGCGATATCTTGACACATATGATGGTGTCAGATCAGAGTCAGCGTGACGCAAGACACACCGTGGGATTGGCTGATGCCACATCACGACCTTCTGGATCACTCGCAGTCCTTCAACGCACGTACGCGTTAGAGATATAATGCAGATTTCAGGGACAGCATACAGCCATAGCAGCCAACATTGCAGGTCGCTCCAGCCATAAACATAACATCCATTAGACAACCCTAAATCAGACTAAATAATTGCTACAACATTGTGTGTAATTTGATATAAAACTATAAGAAATCTAAGGCTCCATCATGTCTCCAGTCTTGTCCCTTGCAGCAGCAGCCCACGTGCGGTTACTCCAGGCTCTTGTCAGATTATGCCCTCCATGCCTGTGCTTATGGTCCACCGGCCGTGCCTCGTCAGGCATCGCCGGCACACCGTCAGCATTTGCCCGGGGTGCTGACGTGGCAGCAGCGGATTGGCTGACACGCATGAAGGTGGGCTGGGAGGTGGAGGAGAGGAGGCGCGCCCACATGCGGTCAGTGAGGGCCACTGACTTGGGGGCCGTCACTTGCTGTGAGTGTGTGAGGGAGTGGGAGAGCGGGGGGAGGAAGTGGGGAGAGGGAGTGGGGGAGGGCAGCGGGAAATGGGGAGAGGGAGCGGAAATGACGGGAAGGAATCAGGAGGGGGAGGGAGAAAGAGTCAGGCTATGGGGCTGTAGGCATGAGCGGCAGCGACTTGGGGGGTGGTCACTTATTGCGAGAAGTGTGAGGATGGGGGTTCCAGAGAGGGAGGTAAGGGCTGTGACCATGTGGGGGGTATGCAATGGGGTAGGAATGAGGGTGAGATGGATACGAGGTGGATGAGAGGGGTATATTACAGAGATGGGAGCAAGTGAGAGGAAGTAGGGTCATGGACGTTTGGCATGGACGTTTGGAGGGTACCTTTGCTTTGGGTAGAGGTGCATGGGTGGGTGCATGGGTGGGTGCATGGGTGGGCGCATGGGTGGGCGCATGGGTGGGCGCATGGGTGGGCGCATGGGCGGGCGCATGGGCGGGCGCATGGGCGGGCGCATGGGCGGGCGCATTTGGACTGGTGAACCCAGCAACGTACATTGACAGGGATGTAGCACTGTGTGCCGTTGACCGGCCCCACCACAAACCCTGAGTAGCCAGCCATGGCGCCGTGAATGGCCCCGTGTGCCAGCAGCGTGCAGTAGATGTTATCTCCAGCATTGGCTGGGATGGCCCGGATCATGTATGTGGGGTCTGGTGGGGGAAGGGGGTGTGGGAGGGAGGGGGGAAAGGGAGTGCAAACAACAACCGGATTAGAAGCTCAGCAAGGCTTTCAAAACACAAATTAAGCTTGGTCTCGTTTGTTTGTTTTTGTTTTTATGCATATACACACAAATATATATATATATATATATATGTACATATTTTAACTCTCAAAGCACAAGGGGAACACTCACCGATGTATTTGAGGCTGATCTCGCTCTTCTTGTCCGCGCTGAAGTGCTCCTGATGGTGGCACAGTGCATGGGGAACAGTGCATGGGGAACAGTGCATGGGGGAGGGCGCATGGGGGCGAGCAGGGCAAGCAGTGCATGAGAAGGGTATGAGGCAACTTTTGAGTCGATTTGTGGACAATGTCAAGCATCGCACGAAAGGAGAGGGTTAAGGTGATATCCACCATCATCCACACACCCACCTTGATGCGCTCTGAGAGCCACAGCCCCACGTCCAGCAGCAGCGGACCATGGCGCGCGCGTGCACCAAGGCGCGCGCGTGGACCAAGGCTTTAGGGTGGACCATGGCGCGCGCGTGGACCAAGGCGCGCGCGTGGACCAAGGCGCGCGCGCGGACCAAGGCGCGCGCGTGGACCAAGGAGCGCGCGTGGACCAAGGCGCGAGCGCGTGGACCACGACTTGCGCGCCACCAGGCTCTGCCCCGTCCCGCCCCCTCATGCCCATGCAAACCCACACATGCACACTCCACACTCTCACCTTGATGCGCACTGACAGCCACAGCCCCACGTCCAGCAGCAGAGCCTTCCCCGACTTGTCCGTGCCCGCCCCACCAGGCTCTTCCCCGGCACCCTCTGCCCCCACCAGGGTCACACCTTAACACACCACAACCACTCCCACCTTGATGCGCTCTGACAGCCACAGCCCCACGTCCAGCAGCAGAGCCTTCCCCGACTTGTCCGTGCCCGCCCCTCCCGCAAAGCTTTGCGCCACAAGGCTCTGCCCCGCAAGCACCTTTTATGCACCTCCTTCAATTCATCCTTGCACACTCTCTCACCTTGATGCGTTCCGAGAGCCACAACCCAACGTCCAGCAGCAGCGCATTTCCCGACTTGTCCGTGCCCGCCCCACCAGGCAAGCTCTGCGCCACCAGGCTCTGCCCCGCGCCCTCAGCCACAACGATGACGCAGTGGTCGTTCTCATACAGCTTCCTCTCCATGAACTCAAACAGGCCTCCCTCGCCTTCCAAGTGAAAGGGGACCTCAGGGATGAGGCAGCAATCCTGGAGGATAAGCGGGGATGGGGAGGGTAAAGAGAGGAACAGGAGGGGCGCAGTGTTCGTTCTCGTACAGCTTGCGCTCCATCAACTCAAAGAGGCCGCCCTCGCCCTCCAGATGGAAGGGCACCTCTGGAATGAGGCAGCAGTCCTGGTGGGTGAGGGCAGAGAAGAGGTGGGGTGGGAGAAGGAGGAGGGAGATCCCCCTCGCCCTCTAGATGGAAGAAACCGCCGGCCGAACTCGTCCTGAAGTGGATTGACGAGTCGTGGGCCGACGTTCCCGAGGAGACCTCTGGAATGGGGCAGCAGTCCTGGTGGTGAGCCAAGAGAAGGGGAGGAGAGGGGGAGGGCGATGACGCAGTGGTCGTTCTCATACAGCTTCCTCCCCATGAACTCAAACAGCCCTCCCTCGCCCTCCAAGTGAAACGGCACCTCGGGGATCAGGCAGCAGTCCTGGGTAGGGGGCGGGGGCAGAGAGAGTAGAGGGGGGTGTGATGACGCAGTGGTCGTTCTCATACAGCTTCCTCCCCATGCACTCAAACAGCCCGCCCTCGCCCTCTAGATGGAAAGGGACTTCGGGGATGAGACAGCAGTTCTGGGGGTAAAGTGGGTGGGTGGGTAAAAGGGCAACGATATCGCAGTGGGGTAAAAGCCTCTCCATGAACTCAAAGAGACCCCCCTCGCCCTGTAGAATGAAGGGCACCTCGGGGATAAGGCAGCAGTCCTGGGGGGTGAGGGCAGAGAAGAGGGGGGTTGAGAAGGAGGTGCGATGGCGCAGTGGTCGTTCTCATAGAGCTTGCACTCCATGAACTCAAACAGGCCTCGCCCTCTAGATGGAAGGGCACCTCTGGAATGAGGCAGCAGTCCTGGTGGTGAGCCAAGAGAAGGGGAGGAGAGGGGGACCTCTGGAAGGGCACCTCTGGAGATGACGCAGTGGTCGCTCTCATAGAGCTTGCGCTCCATGAACTCAAAAAGACCCCCTTCGCCCTCCAGGTGGAAAGGGACTTCTGGTATGAGACAGCAGTCCTGGTAGATCAGGGGGAGGTGGGGGGGAAAGGGGGGAACAGGAGGGGAGCAGTGGTCGTTCTCATACAGCTTGCGCTCCATGAACTCAAATGGGGAACCTGATGGGGAACCTGATGCGGAACCTGATGGGGAACCTGATGGGGAACCTGATGGGGAAACCTGATGGGGGAACTGATGGGGGAACTGATGGGGAACCTGATGGGGAACCTGATGAGGAACCTGATGGGGAACCTGATGGGGTAACTGATGGGGAACCTGATGGGGAACCTGATGGGGAAACCTGATGGGGAACCTGATGCGGAACCTGATGGGGAACCTGATGGGGAACCTGATGCGGAACCTGATGGGGAACCTGATGGGGAACCTGATGCGGAACCTGATGCGGAACCTGATGCGGAACCTGATGCGGAACCTGATGGGGAACCTGATGCGGAACCTGATGCGGAACCTGATGGGGAACCTGATGGGGAACCTGATGGGGAACCTGATGCGGAACCTGATGGGGAACCTGATGCGGAACCTGATGGGGAACCTGATGGGGAACTTGATGGGGGAACCTGATGGGGGAACCTGATGGGGGAACCTGATGGGGAACCTGATGGGGAACCTGATGGGGAACCTGATGGGGAACCTGATGGGGAAACCTGATGGGGGAACTGATGGGGGAACTGATGGGGAACCTGATGGGGAACCTGATGGGGAACCTGATGGGGAACCTGATGGGGAACCTGATGGGGAACCTGATGGGGAACCTGATGGGGAACCTGATGCGGAACCTGATGCGGAACCTGATGCGGAACCTGATGCGGAACCTGATGCGAAACCTGATGCGGAACCTGATGCGGAACCTGATGCAGAACCTGATGGGGAACCTGATGGGGAACCTGATGGGGAACCTGAGGGAACCTGATGGGGAACCTGATGGGGAACCTGATGGGGAACCTGATGGGGAACCTGATGCGGAACCTGATGGGGAACCTGATGCGGAACCTGATGCGGAACCTGATGCGGAACCTGATGCGGAACCTGATGCGGAACCTGATGCGGAACCTGATGCGGAACCTGATGCGGAACCTGATGCGGAACCTGATGCGGAACCTGATGCGGAACCTGATGCGGAACCTGATGCGGAACCTGATGCGGAACCTGATGGGGAACCTGATGGGGAACCTGATGGGGAAACTGATGGGGAACCTGATGGGGAACCTGATGGGGAACCTGATGGGGAACCTGATGCGGAACCTGATGCGGAACCTGATGCGGAACCTGACGCGGAACCTGATGCGGAACCTGATGCGGAACCTGATGCGGAACCTGATGCGGAACCTGATGCGGAACCTGATGCGGAACCTGATGCGGAACCTGATGGGGAACCTGATGCGGAACCTGATGCGGAACCTGATGCGGAACCTGATGCGGAACCTGATGCGGAACCTGATGGGGAACCTGATGGGGAAACCTGATGGGGGAACTGATGGGGGAACTGATGGGGGAACTGATGGGGAACCTGATGGGGAACCTGATGGGGAACCTGATGGGGAAACTGATGGGGAACCTGATGGGGAACCTGATGGGGAAACCTGATGGGGAAACCTGATGCGGAACCTGATGGGGAACCTGATGGGGAACCTGATGCGGAACCTGATGCGGAACCTGATGGGGAACCTGATGGGGAACCTGATGGGGAACCTGATGGGGAGCCTGATGGGGAACCTGATGGGGAACCTGATGGGGAACCTGATGCGGAACCTGATGGGGAACCTGATGCGGAACCTGATGCGGAACCTGATGCGGAACCTGATGCGGAACCTGATGCGGAACCTGATGCGGAACCTGATGCGGAACCTGATGCGGAACCTGATGCGGAACCTGATGCGGAACCTGATGCGGAACCTGATGGGGAACCTGATGGGGAACCTGATGCGGAACCTGATGCGGAACCTGATGCGGAACCTGATGCGGAACCTGATGCGGAACCTGATGCGGAACCTGATGCGGAACCTGATGCGGAACCTGATGCGGAACCTGATGGGGAACCAGATGCGGAACCTGATGGGGAACCTGATGGGGAACCTGATGGGGAACCTGATGGGGAACCTGATGCGGAACCTGATGCGGAACCTGATGGGGAACCTGATGGGGAACCTGATGGGGAACCTGATGGGGAACCTGATGCGGAACCTGATGCGGAACCTGATGGGGAACCTGATGCGGAACCTGATGGGGAACCTGATGGGGAACCTGATGGGGAACCTGATGGGGAACCTGATGGGGAACCTGATGGGGAACCTGATGGGGAACCTGATGGGGAACCTGATCGGGAACCTGATGCGGAACCTGATGGGGAACCTGATGGGGAACCTGATGCGGAACCTGATGGGGAAACTGATGCGGAACCTGATGCGGAACCTGATGCGGAACCTGATGCGGAACCTGATGCGGAACCTGATGCGGAACCTGATGGGGAACCTGATGGGGAACCTGATGGGGAACCTGATGGGGAACCTGATGCGGAACCTGATGCGGAACCTGATGCGGAACCTGATGCGGAACCTGATGCGGAACCTGATGCGGAACCTGATGCGGGACCTGATGCGGAACCTGATGGGGAACCTGATGGGGAACCTGATGCGGAACCTGATGCGGAACCTGATGCGGAACCTGATGCGGAACCTGATGGGGAACCTGATGGGGAACCTGATGCGGAACCTGATGCGGAACCTGATGCGGAACCTGATGCGGAACCTGATGCGGAACCTGATGCGGAACCTGATGCGGAACCTGATGCGGAACCTGATGCGGAACCTGATGCGGAACCTGATGGGGAACCTGATGGGGAACCTGATGCGGAACCTGATGCGGAACCTGATGCGGAACCTGATGCGGAACCTGATGCGGAACCTGATGCGGAACCTGATGCGGAACCTGATGCGGAACCTGATGCGGAACCTGATGCGGAACCTGATGGGGAACCTGATGGGGAAACTGATGGGGAACCTGATGGGGAACCTGATGGGGAACCTGATGGGGAACCTGATGGGGAACCTGAAGGGGAACCTGATGGGGAACCTGATGGGGAAACTGATGGGGAAACTGATAGGGAAACTGATGGGGAACCTGATGGGGAACCTGATGCGGAACCTGATGCGGAACCTGATGCGAAACCTGATGGGGAACCTGTTGGGGAACCTGATGGGGAACCTGATGGGGAATCTGATGGGGAACCTGATGGGAAACCTGATGGGGAAACTGATGGAGAAACTGATGGGGAAACTGATGCGGGACCTGATGGGGAAACTGATGGGGAAACTGATGGGTAAACTGATGGGGGAAACTGATGGGGAAACTTATGGGGAAACTGGTGGGGAAACTGATGGGGGAAAGTGATGGGGAAACTGATGGGGAAACTAATGGGGGGAACTGATGGGGGGAACTGATGGGCGGAACTAAGTAAGTGGGGGAGATAGGTGGGGGCGCTACGTAAGTGGGGGCGCTAAGCGGGGGCGTTAAGTGGGGGCGCCAAGTGGGGGCGATAAGTGGGGGCGATTAGTGGGAGGATAGGGGGAGGAGAGGGGGAGGAGAGGGGGACGAAAGGGGGTTTGAGGGGAGGAGATGGGGTCCCCTCAAGTCAAGCCTTTCCGGTCTGTTGTCCCTAGTCTAGTGCGTGCCACCCCCTTCCGCCCGCATGAGACGACTTTTGAGGTGCCTCAAAACTCAAGTCAAGCCTTTCCGGTCTATTGTCCCTAGTCTAGTGCGTGCCACCCCCTTCCGCCCGCATGAGCCCTCCCACCGTGTTCCCCTCCCCGCCCCTTACTTCTCACCACGTCTCGGCTCGCAAGAGTGGTGTGCATGGCGAATTGAGTCGACTCAAAAGCACACCCAACCCCTCCTGCCCCTCCCCCCGTTCCCCCCGTTCCCCCCCCTCTCCCCGCCCCCCCCCTCCCCGCCCCTTCCTTCTTACCACGTCGCGGCTCGCAAGAGTGGCGTGCATGGCGATTTGACCTGATATAGGGGTGGGCGGAGCGGAGTAGGGTGGGATGGGGCGGGAAGGGGCGAGGTGGGGTTGAGTGGGAGTGGGAGTGTGAGTGTGAGTTGGAGTAAGAATGGGAGTGAGAGTGAAAGTGGGAATGGGAATGGGAATGGGAGAGCGGGTGGGAGCGAAAATGGGAGAGGGAGTGGGAGTGGGAGTGGGAGTTGGGGTGGGAGTGGGAGTGGGAGTGGGAGTGGGAGTGGGAGTGGAAATGGGAGTGGGAGCGGGAGTGGGAGTGGGAGCGGGAGTGGGAGTGGGAGCGGGAATGGGAGTGGGAGCGGGAGTGGGAGTGGGAGCGGGAGTGGGAGCGAGAGCGGGAGTGGGAGCGGGAGACCAAGATCAGGTTGTGATGACAGAGAGAGATCGGAGCAGAGCAGGTGGCATGATATCAGCCGCAGCACCGATGGCCCTCTGAGCCTCCTCCAAGTTCCAACCCTGTAACCACACCACCACCAGCCTCTACCCTTTACTCACTGCCGTCCCATCCCTCCATCCTTACACTCACCGCAGTATCGCCCCATGAGCTTCACGAGCCCCACGCTCCGGTGTGTGCTCGTGACCTCCACGCATGCAGCGCTGATGGCCCGCTGAGCCTCCTCCACAGCCCAAGGCACATCACCACCAGCAGTTCGCTCCAGCTACCCATCACTCACCGCAGTATCGCCCCATGAGCTTCACCAGTCCCACCCCCCTGTGAGTGCTCGTGACCTCCACCCTCGCAGCGCTGATAGCCCGCTGAGCCTCCTCCACAGCGGAGTCGAACCCAAACGACCGGTCGATCACTGCGATGTCGTTGTCTATCGTTTTGGGGATTCCCGCTACGGACACCTTGAGTCCCCGCCGCCTTGTTTCCTGCCAGGGTCAAGGAGGTGAAGAAGGAGAAGGGGATGCTGATGGCCCTCTGAGCCGCCTCCACGGCCGAGTCAAAACCAAACGACCGGTCGATCACTGCAATGTCGTTGTCTATCGTTTTCAGAATTCCTGCCACCTTCAGTCCCCTCCGCCCCGTCTCCTGTTGTGTGAAAGGGGAGACTTTCGAACGTTGAGATTCCTCCCAAGCAAAATTTGACCAATGAGGAGATCGCACGACATTTCACAAGACCTGCAGTAAGCCGATATCACCCCACCTGTATGGTCCATCGGCTCAACCCTTCCCACCGCATGGCACCGCATACCACCCATGCCTGCCATGTTTTCCACGGTCAATGTCCCACGCACCTCATAGATGATCTCGGCGCCACGCTGCGTGCCGTCCCCCCCTATGATGTACAGCTGCTCGAAATGGGGAGGGAGGGCGCCAGACCTTTGCACCGCACGGCACCACATACCACCCATCATGCCTGCCATGCTCCCCATGCACGCCATGCTCCCCAGGCCCCGCGTCCCACGCACCTCATAGATGATCTCGGCGCCACGCTGCGTGCCGTCCCCCCCTATGATGTACAGCTGCCACGGAGGAGGAGGGTGTGGAATCGGGAGGAGTGAAAGAGAACGAAGTGAATTGCTGGCTGTTGTGAAGGTGAGATGAGAAGGCAAGAAATCCATCAAGAGAGCTGTTGGTTCCATAACGTGTGCCTTGATTCTACTCACAGCACAAAACGTCGGTCATCAGGTAAGCACTGACACCCAAGCAGACCCATATCTGACAGCTGGCAGACCGCTCACCTGGGAGCTTAACAGAGAGCTCCTCACCTGAGAATTTTCCTGAAGATTCGTCTGAGATCTCGTTTGATTGACACCTTATCAGGTTGACACCCCCACCTGGTTGATGCCTCACCGCACCACACCGCACCGCACCCCACCTGGTTGATGCCTCACCGCACCACACCGCACCACACCCCACCTGGTTGATGCCGCGGTCTTCAATGGAGTTGACGATCTTGGTGGAGTCATGCCCGCCTCTGGAAGTGCCCAGGAAGGTTCCTCCGCGCTTGTGAATGTCGTTCACCTTCCACGGGTCCAGCTGCAGTAAGTTGCGACTGTAGAACCCGCGATACCCGCCCTGAGAAATGGAGAGGGAAGGGAGAGATGAGGGTTGAAATGCACCTCCTGCCATGAGTCCACACCTTGGCGCTTCCACAGGTCCAGCTGCAGCAGGTTGCAGCTGTAGAACCCGCGATAGCCGCCCTGTTGCCAGGAAGGTGGGGGAGAGGAGAGGGGGTGGAAGGAGGGCGGAGCAAAGAGTTCCATTTCCTGGCATGAATGAAACCTCGATATTCTAACCAATTCCGACCGCTACTTTCCTTCCCCCTCACTCCATCACTCTTACGCACGTCAATGCCGGAGATGCTGCACACGCCGTAGCGGAACCAGAGCGCCCACACAAGATGAGCTCACACCAACAGTGTAACTCTCACCCCCATGTATACCCGCACCCCATCCCACCATTACGCACATCGATACCAGAGATGCTCCTCACACCATAGCGGAACCAGAGCGCCCACACGAGCTCGCAGTGCAATGGCAACCTCCCAAACCCCTTTACTCTGCCCCTCCCTCCCCCATCCCATCCTCCCTACGAGAACGCACATCAATGCCAGAGATGTTGCGCACGCCGTAGCGGAACCAGAGCGCCCACACGAGCTCGCGAATGACTGTGTTGAGCCCGGGGCACAGCCCTCCACACGTGACTATGGCTGCCCGCACGTCCTGCGGCTGGAAGGCCACCTGTTGGGGGGGTTGAGCGAGGAGGGGAAGGGGCACAGAGAGGAAGGGAATGGATAGGGAGGTGGGTACGAGAGGGAGGGATGACTGTGTTGAGCCCGGGGCACAGCCCTCCACACGTGACTATGGCTGCCCGCACGTCCTGCGGCTGGAAGGCCGCCTGTTGGGTGAGAGGGGGGAAGGAGCAAAGGGAGGAAGGGGAAGAGATAGCGGGGTGCACAAGGGAGGGACGGATGAAAAGGAGGGGAGTGCCCGGGGCACAACCCACCGCACGTCACTATGGCTGCCCTGCCCGCACGTCCTGTCCTGAGGGTGGAGGGCCACCTGGAAGGGGAGGGGGGAAAGGGAGGTTGGGCGGCAGGGAAAACGGGCAAGGGAAAGAGAGAGAGATGATTACGGTGCTAAGGAAAAGGCAGGGTCCCCCGCACGTCACAGTCAGCGCCCACACCACACAAGCTCGCGGATGACTGTGTTGAGCCCCGGGGCGGGGCACAACCCACCACACGCCACTATGGCGCCCACACGTTGTGGGGTTGTAAGGGGGAGGAGAGGGGTAAAGGGAGGAAGGGGAAGCGATAGAGAGAGGGGTAAAGGGAGGAAGGGGAAGCGATAGAGAGAGGGGTAAAGGGAGGAAGGGGAAGCGATAGAGAGAGGGGTAAAGGGAGGAAGGGGAAGCGATAGAGAGAGGGGTGGCAAGAGATGCATCGTGGAGACTTTGAGCCGCCTCAAGAGCTGCGCACGCACACGACCTGGCGGATGTGACGTGGGGTGGAACACGGTGCAACGACCTGCTAGCCCCCTACCCTACCCGACCAGCTAACCTTGCTGTTCCACCTCTCCTCTTCCACCTGTCCCACCTGTCCCACCTGTCTCACCTGCCCCGCCGCACCGCGACCCTCACCTGTTCACGTGGCCCAGAGCGTCTGAAGAGGTGACTTTTGAGTCGACTCAAAAGTCACCCCGCCGCACCGCGACCCTCACCTGTTCACGTGGCCCAGAGCGTCTGAAGACTCGAATGTCGTCCACACTGGCCGTCTTGATGAGCGCCTGATCGCGGGGTGGGAGGGGTGTGCGGGAAGCGTGGGGAGGTGTGGGAAGGCGTGGGGGAGGTGTGGGCGTGATGGGGGTTAGTATGAGCGTCAGGAGACTCGAATGTCGTCCACACTGCCCGCCTTTATGAGTGCCTGGCGTGGAAGGGAGCGGTTGTGGGGTGGAGGAGGTGTGAGGGGCACTTGAGAGGCTGTGGGAAGGCACGGCGTCATCCACACTGCCCGATTTTTGAGGCGCCTCAAAAGAGGCCGTGGGAAGACACGGCGTCATCCACACTGCCCGCGGTTGAAAGACGGCAAGGGCAAAGGAGAGAAGGTAGACGTGAGGTGGGAGAGAAAAACGGGCAGGCAGGTAGGCATGTTAACAGGCGGAGCAAACACGAAGCGGGCAGGAAGAACGGAGAGTGAATGAGGGGAAGGACGGACACGGAATGAGGAGAGAATGGAGGAGGAAATGGAGGGGGGGAAACGCACCTTCTGGCACACGACGTCCTCACTGTCGACAAAGTAGTTCCTGGTGGTGGTGATGGGTGCAGATGGGTGAGGAGAGGTGCGGATGGGTGAGCAGCGGCGAGGAACGGAGGGAGATAGGGAGTAGATGAGGGGAATGCGGAGGGGTGGAGGGAGGAGAGGGAGAGAGGAGAATGGAGGGGTAATATGAGGAGTGCAGAGGAGTGATCATGGCAAACAGAGGAGCCCGGTCAAAGCACATCGCACTTCAACAATGAATGTCACAATGCGGCGATCTGTGCTCATGCACCCTTGTGCAGAACAGCAGCACGGAATGGTAGGGAAGGGGTACGGAGTGGTAGGGAAGGGTATGGGATTATAATGCTTACTCGGGTCGATTAGGGCTTCGGAGTAGCGGATTATTGTACATCTGCGATGGAGAGATGACACGGACGAAGAGACAGACACAGAACGAGAACGAGAGATAGAGATAAGAGACAGAAAGGGAGTAAGCCCACGCAATTGTTCATTCCGAGGTTCGAGGTCCAGTCTGAACGGTGAAAACATAAAAAAATGAAAACACCAGCATCGCAAAAATGCGCACCTGTAGGTCAGGAATCCATTCGGAAATGTGCGGAACGTCGTCGAGAATCACGGCGGACCGAACTCCCATCACTCTGTCTTGCTGCCTGTCTCGCCTCGCAAAGCGACTGGAATCGGAGCAGTTTATACCGCGTCCGTTTTGACGGCGCGACGACCGTAGATTCGCCGCTCCTTGACTCCATCCTCCCGCGCGGCTCCACGCGATCTGATTCGCTATAGGATGACTGGAATTGGAATCTGCGGTCAGGTTCCTGGAGGAGCTAATATGGTGAGCAGGATAGTGCAAGGCACTGTGACTTAGCGCTGAAGCGCTGCAAGAAGCCATGGCTGGTTGTAAAGTCGGAAAGAAAAGGAGTAAAAAAACTATTTTTTACAGTGATATAGGAGCTGCGACAGTCACAGTGAGACCTATTGCAGTGGTGATAACGTGCTCCGCAATTATCTCGTCGCAAAGCTGTTAAAATAGCGGAGCCTAAAGTTTCAGCCAGGCACGTCCTAACAGTCAAGCGAATCGTTACAATGTGTCTGGCAGTCACAGCGAGTGGCCACTACACATGTGCCAGTCACTAACACTCGTTGGTATTCCCAAGGTTTCAGGGGCACAGATACACTACCATCTAACAGGTTCGAGCCGCCAAAAGCCGACTCTGGTACCCCATTTATAACTAGGAGCCGTTTCCACAATGTGGATAGGGGCACTTGACTCACTGTGATTCGATGGTACGTCGCCGGTACTCCCAAGGTTTCAGGAGGGAGATCTGACAGCAAGACAAGTTTCTTCCAGCAGGAGACTCTGCGTGCAGTGTGCTCCTGCAGGCAGGTTCGGGAAATATTTATGGGACAATAACGCGTCACGCATTGCTGATTGACTTTAAAGCCCGAGTCTAGAATGGTAAGGCTTCAAGAATACTGAACTTGAAAGGTGTTGGGAAAGCGACGGAATGGGCAAGCGATGGTCATGTGAAGGCCAGCGATATGATGGGAGAGCGTGGGAGACACTCAGAGTAAGCGTGAGCGATGGACGGACGCGGGAAGGGAGAGCCACCTAAAAGGCGACGGGAGGGGGGGCGAATTCAAGTTCAAGAATCTTGAACTTGAAAAGTTGCCATTCTAGACTCGGGCTTTACGTGACAATGCAAATACGCATAGCTGAAACAAATATCATTGTTGTGCATGACATAAATTTGGGCCAATTTTGGCCACAGTGGTGTTTGGAACATTCATAAACACGCTGTATGCTAGGAACTACCGTACTAGGATGAGTGGCGATTGAAGATCACACTTCTACAAAAGAGCACGGTTGGGGACAATTCAAGAAACAAGGAGTACAGCAGCTTTTTAAGCAGCCACCTGGGCAGCAGCAGAGGCAGGGAGGGATGCAACAGCAGCAGAAACGTCCTTGGCACTGATACCGGCAAGACTGCCGGATGCAGATGCGACGACTGTGCACTTGCGGTCAGCAGCATTGGGGATGAACCGAGTAGCCTTGTCCGATGACCCAAAAAGAGCCACGCTGGAGATCAGAAAACGCCAGAGAAAACAAAAGAGCAGGGGAAAAAACAATCTAAGTTGTGTAGATTTCCTAGCTTGGGTTCTTCCCGAAGAAAGCTTGCTACAGTAATCCTGGCAGTTGTTATCAGGAATACTTGAAAAAATATCAGACACTGACCTTGGCTTTCTGAGAGCGGTGGCGAGTTGCACGGCAGCAGTGTTGGTTGTGACGACCGCAGCTGCATCGTCAATGGCAGCAGCAAGCTGCAGTCGCAGAGGAAACCAAGGGAAAAGGAGGGTCACGGGCGAGAACAGCAGGTGAGGTGGAGAGAAAGGCCTACACCTTGGTATGTTAGTTTGAAATGTCATTTACTGCTGTTGGGCGAGCATCAGGTGATGAGCAACCCATTCTCCAGCCGGCCTTAACTTGTTACAAGAGCATAAAAATTCAACCGTTGCTTCCATATCTTCCTTCTATTCAGTGCTATCCCATTGGCATACTTTCAAAATCAACCTACATGCTTCAGGTCTCCATACACCATGCATGCCATACCTCATGCACACCATGCATGCCATACCTCATGCACACCACGCTTTGTGCACACCGTGCCACACCCTTCCTCTTGCCCTGTACGTGCCATCACGTCATTTGATGTGCATGTCACTGCCATGCCATGCCTGGCCCGGGGTGGTGATCTTGACGACCTTGACCGAGGGCACAGCGCTCTGCCCCCTGTGCAAGCTGTACCCCTCCTCTTGCTCCATGAATGCCATACCCCATGCACACCATGTGCGTGTCACTGCCATGCCATACCTGGCCCGGAGTGGTGATCTTGACGACCTTGGCCGAGGGCACAGCGCTCTGCACCTTGCCTTGATCCGCGTCGTTGGGCACCACCACCAGCAGGTCGCCACTGGGGTGGGAAGAGTAAAGAGAGGGGACGGGAAGGGAGGAGAGGGGAGGAGAACAGGGAGGAGTGGGTCGGGGAGAGGGTAAGGGTTAAGGAAGTGGGAGAGGGAGAATGAGTGACTCGGCACAGCGCTCTGCACCTTGCCTTGGTCCGCGTCGTTGGGCACCACAACCAGCAGGTCGCCACTGGGGGAGAAAGAGAGGGGACGGGAGCGGGAGAGGAGGGAAGTGGGTACAGGGAGGGGTGGCAGTGGGAGGGGTGAGAGTGGGAGGGGTGAGAGGGGAAGGGATGGGAGGGAGACGCACATGCTGGCTCGATTGATGAGCAGCGTGGAGACTCATCCCCTCCTCCCTGTGTTCAGAGCACAAATCCCCACCCCATAACACACCCTCCCACGCACCTCACGCTCTTGGCGATTTCAGCGAGCAGTGCGAGGGAAAGCGCGCTGTCGGTGTCTCCGCGCGAGCGCATGGAGGCGGCGGACGAGGACTCCACGCCGTGCACCAGCGTGTACGCGCCCGCCGCCACGCCCGCCGCGGCCGTCTTCTCGCGCGTCACCTCGCGCACCTTGCGCGGCAGGTTCACCTGCAGGGCCGGCAGATGGAGGGCTGGGCCACCACGCACCGGCTCCAAAAGCAGCTCCACCAAATCCTTGTACCTGTGGGGAGCAAACGGATGGGGGGAAGGGGGGAAAGAGGGAGAAAAAAGGGGGGTAGAGTGAGTGAAGATTCCTTGGAGGGAGTGCATGGTAGGTGGAGGCTGGGAGAAATGATACCGGCTTTAGAAGGAGCTCGTGCCAGGACCTCGTCATCGTGGGGGTGAGGGTTGGGTGGACAGCGAGGTGTGCCGCCGAATTGTTGAGCATGCATTGTAACACCGGGTGTTGTAACACTGTGAGTGGTAATCCACTGCGTTACAACAACATGCGTTGCTACATTATGCATTGAGACGCAGACGGACACCGCCATCCGCATTCGACACCACATCGGGTGATTCGCCATCCGTTACAACACCCTTCCTCCCATCATCAGCAGACCACGTGTAGCAAGGTCATCCTCTTCGCGTGTGTCTCAATCCCCTTCCAATTCCCCTTCCCATCCCCTTTCCCACCCCGTCCCCATCCCCTTCCCCACCCCGACCCCATCCCATTCCCCATCCCCATCCCCCGTGCCAAACTACCCTTACAAAAATTGTGGGCATTCCACTGAGTTTCCCTCAGCGTCACTCCGCAATCGATATCGCCCATAAGCACGGTTCGATTCCATCCTGACGATATCCTCTCATTGTGCATCGCCGTGTCAAATGTACCCGCCCAGCCCCTCTCGCCCACACATCCGCGCCAGCCCCTCTCGCCCGCGCATCCGAGCCCTTGCGCATCCCGCGCCTTTGCGCGTACGCGTCTCCGCCTCTCCTCTCCCTCTCTTCGCAGCCTTCCGTCTCCTGCGTGCACGTCCCCAACTGCCAAGCTGCCCTGCCCTCTCATCCCAGGGCGCCTCAAGGCGCTCCATTCGGCAGACCGTCCTTCGCCGCGTGCGCACGGCGGTAAGTGCGCAGGGCGCATGGTACAGACCCGACCATGCCTCCGCTACCGTCGTCCGCTACCGTTGCCCGCGTAACAAACCACCAATCCAGTAAATAGAATATAAGTAAAGGCGTGTCCACGGCGCATTCCTGGGCGCGACAAGCCACTCACGTGCCGCGTTACAAGGCGCGCCAGTCATCGTACTTTCCCATTTGCAAGGCACATCACCCCACTCACATGTGGCTGCCGTCCTCCGCGAGGTTCTCCTTCTCCGTGCGCACGGCGGTCGAGAGGAACACGCCCGCGCCCGCGCCGCTAGCGTTGGGGTTCACGTACGACACGCGCTGGCGCGCGTCCGACAGGAACAGGAACATCGCGTGGCCCAGCCCGGCCAGTCTGGTTGAGAGCACCAGGTCATACGCCTCGTTCTGCAACAGGAGGTGAGCGAGAATGGGGTCGGGGGAATGGGGAGGAGACGGGCAACGGGTGAGTGGTACACGAAGGCGAGGGGAAGGAGCATGGCGTGGCCTAGGCCAGCCAGCCTTGTGGACACCATCAGGTCGTACGCCTGGTTCTGAGGGGGGAGTGAAAATGGAGAAATGCGGGAACGGAAATGCGAGAGAGGGAAAATGGGGGAGGGAGAAGACGCGTGAGAGGGACGCGAAGGTGATTGTCGGAGTGAAGAGGAACATGGCGTGGCCCAGCCGAGCAGTGGCGTGGCCCAGCCGAGCAGTGGCGTGGCCCAGCCGAGCAGTGGCGTGGCCCAGCCGAGCAGTGGCGTGGCCCAGCCGAGCAGTGGCGTGGACACTGAGCAGCACCGAGCCATACGCCTCGCGCAAACCAAGCGGGTTCGGGCAGACAAGTGAAGGAGAGGACGAGAAGAGGGGACGCGGAGGAGTCAGGGAGGGGCAATGCAGCCCCGTCAGGGAGGGGAGTCGGAGGGTGGAGGACGGAGAGGATGGGGATGGGAAAGGGAACGGCGCAAGAACTGCGAGGCTAGCGCTAGAATTCGAACCCCTTGATGAACTCGCAGTAAATAATCATTGCAGCAAGCGGCGGAACACGAACCACTATTGATGGGTATCGCCATCTGGTCTCAATCAGCATCAATCGGCATTTCCGTTCTCACCTTGAGCTTGCCGAGGA